AAAGGGAGAGAGAAGGAATCACCTCGTACGGCAGTTTTACAAAATACGGCCACGTTACACGCCGGTATTCAACACGGTACATTACATACCGTCCCTCACCACCTTTGGAGGTATTGGTATGTCCCCTGCATCGATTCGAATCTCGACGGACTGCACGACTGTGGCTGCCAGTGCCTCGTTTCCATTGCACAGGGACGGTCCTGGCGCGCCATTCAATAAATTAAGATTGACGTCCCCAAAGTTCCGTCTCGAGAATCGCGATCTCGCTTGCCAGGCCCTGCTCTGGAAACTCGGATTGTTTGCCCTGTCGATTATAGCGCCGTGGCTTTGATGCCTGGCTTCAATTAACTCGTCTCGACAGATTCCTTCGGCGCCACTTGGAGCTACTGCAGACTAAGTTGGGGCGACTGCGAGGGATGTATCGCTTATACTTGCTCGCCCTCAACACATCGACCACCCATCTCATAGAGCAGTCGAAATGAATCCACGATGGCAAGCCCGAGCTCAGGTGGTTCAAGCTGCAAAAGTCCGCAGTGGATCGGCTGGAGGGTGAGACGAGGAAAATGAAGGCGACCGCAGAGCAGCATAAATAGCCCTAAGAGATGGCATTGTCAACAGGTCCAATCGAGCGATCAACGCTGATCAGCGCCCTGCTTCTCCACCGCATCATCATTCGTTTGGTTTCAATCTAGTCGCTTGTTTGACTGCTGTCGAGGCTGGTTCACAATGGTCGCGCCCACGATAGTCCTCCAGCTGGGCTGTTTCTTTGGGTTCTTAATCTGCGACACTCCCCGTGGTGTCTGGCCTGAAGGACGACCGACTGTCTCCCCTTGGCCTAGTTCGAGTGCAGGGACTTCTACCGGGACTTCTACCGCGACTTCTACCGAGACTTCGGGAGATACGAGTGTTCCTACGAGTGTTTCTGTTACGCCGACTGTTACAGCGTCTACTGGCACGACGCTGACGACTCTGCCTTCGCCTTCTGATTCGGCGACTTCTATTTCTAGTACAAGTACTACTTCTACTCCGAGTATTTCTACCAGTCCTTCTACTGCCCCTACTAGTACCGGTACTCTTACTCCTACCATGTCAGTCACTACAAGCACGGCCCCTGCGGCCACTGGCACCCTTGCTGCCAACATCCTGATCCTTGCTCGCGACTCGACCCAGGCCGATGTCGCCTCCTCTGGTCTCAATGGCTACGGCATCCCCTACACTACCCTCCTTGTCCCCCAGGCCGGTGTTGAGCTCCCTGCCCTGAACTCCTCGTCTGGTGGAAACTTTGGCGGGATCGTCGTCGCCGGCGAAGTCAGCTACGACTATGGCAGTGACAGCTGGCGCAGTGCCCTGACGGACGACCAGTGGAACCAACTGTATGCCTACCAGCTCGCATACGGCGTGCGCATGGTGCAATACGATGTCTTCCCCGGCCCCAAGTTCGGTGCCTCGTCTGTCGGTGATGGCGGCTGCTGTGCCGATGGCGTTGAACAGCTTGTCTACTTCTCCGACACCGACGACTTCCCGACTGCTGGACTGCGTACTGGCTCCAATGCTGGCGTGAGCACGGAGGGGCTCTGGCACTATCCTGCCTCCGTCAGCGACACCAACACCACCAAGGCGATCGCCTCGTTTGCTGCTGGCGGCGGGGTCAGCGGCGAGTCTGCTGCAGCGGTCATCAACAACTTCGACGGACGGCAGCAGATGGTCTTCTTCATCGGCTTCGACACCGTCTGGAGTCAGACGTCCAACTACCTGCAGCACGCATGGATTACCTGGGTCACCCGCGGCCTGTATGCAGGACACCGCCGCGTCAACCTGAACACCCAGATCGACGACATGTTCCTCGAGACAGACATCTACTCGCCTGCTGGACGTATCTACCGTATTGGCACTGCCGATATGGACGGCATCACCAGCTGGCTCCCGACCATCCGTGGCAAGCTCAATGCTGGCAGCACGTACTTTGTCGAGATCGGCCACAATGGTAACGGCAACATCGAGGCTGCTGTCGAGGCTGCCGGCGAGAACACCTGCAGCGGCGGTGCCATCGAGTACGACTCTCCCCCGGACACTGAGCTCGAGTTCCAGAAGCCTCTGGGCAGTGGAACGAGTCTCTGGCCCTCGTCTCCGGCCAACTACACCTGGACGACTACCTGCACCAACTCTGACTCCCTGCTCATCTGGTTCCAGGAGCACCTCAACGACTACGCCTATATCTCGCACACCTTCACCCACCTGGAGCAGAACAACGCCACCTACGAGGATATCTACAAGGAGATCTCCTTCAACCAGGCCTGGCTCAGGCAGGTTGGGTTCGCCAACGCCCAATGGTTCACCTCCAACGGTATCATCCCTCCTGCCATCACCGGTCTGCACAACGGCGACGCCCTCCGCGCCTGGGCCGACAATGGCATCACCAACTGCGTAGGTGACAACACCCGTCCTGCCCTGCTCAACACCGAGAACGCCATGTGGCCGTACTTCACCAAGGTCTCGACCGACGGCTTCGACGGCATCCAGGTCAACCCGCGCTGGGCGACTCGCATCTACTACAACTGCGACACCCCTGAATGCACCACGCAGGAGTGGATTGACACCTCTGCTGGCGCGGGCACCTTCACCGATCTCCTCGCTACGGAGCGCGCAGAGACCCTCCGTCACTTCTTCGGCCTGCACCGCGACCCCTTCATGTTCCACCAGGCCAACCTGCGCAACACCGGCATCGACCCGATCACCGTCAACGGCGAGACGGCGCAGATCTCCATCTTCCAGGCGTGGGTTGAGACCGTCGTTGCCGAGTTCACCAGACTCGTCAACTGGCCTGTCGTCACCACCACCCACCAAGAGGTCCCTCCCCCTCCCAACTCCTAATTATATATATACACAGCTAACATGTCTAACATGCAGATGTCGGATTACTTCCTCCAGCGCTACCGCCGCGACCAGTGCGGCTACTCGCTCAGCTACGTGCTCGACGACAACCGCATCACGGGCGTGACGCTCTCTGCGAATGGAAACTCCTGCGACGCCGCTATCCCCGTCACCTTCCCCGACGCGCCGTCCGACACCCACGGCTTCTCGACCGAGCAGCTTGGCAGCGACCCGGTGACTGTGTGGGCGCAGCTGTCTGGGTCGCCGGTGACGTTCTCTCTGGCCAGCCCGATTGCGCTGTAGAATGGACAATTTGGTTGGGTGGTGAGATGCCAGCGCATGAAACTAATTCCTCTGTACTTAATATTTTGGTTGAACTAGTTGTAATGCAGGAATTGCAGGAATGCAGGAAAAGCGGTTAAAATAATTCATTGTCCAGTGTCTGTATAACATCCCTGCAGCGCGCGTCTTGGCTACACCAAATGTCTCACTTGCCCCTCAACAAAGCAGCACGGGGCTCCCAGGTCAAGTCCCGGTGGCGCCATGTTCATGTCTCATCTCCACACAGGTCATTCGTATTATTGGCTTCATGTTATTAGCCTGTTCTAATCGCCTTCCAGTTCCTGCTTAGCTTCCCCAGAACCCAGCCCTTTATTATAATCTTAATCTAAATCAACATGTCAGATTCGATTCCATTCGATTCGCGTGGTCGTAACTCAATTGATTAGTGGTATCAACTAGCTTTCTTTTTTGCCTCAGCCTCAGTGTCGTATTCACGTATCCTTGACAATAAGTCAGGATTTCTGGATACAACTCTGCTCCGCTGGCAGTGCATTACTGCATTGACTATGCTCTTACCTACAGTAGTTCCCGACCTGGACGGCTATGACGGCATGTCTTTTGGTATGTTTGTTTGCTAAGCATAATCTATAGATTGGATACTATTGAAGCTCAGGCCGCGTTTTATTAATACGGGTTGGAGTTAACGAGTTGGTTATTGTTTGCATTGGCAAGAGAAAACATGACACTCTGGACTGCCTGAAGAAACGTAACGAGAACAGACTCAATAGTAAAGGTTCCTGTCGGGTAATATTTCCTTTCGCTTTCGCTGTGTGACGTGTTGAAACTGTTTCTTTGTTGGGGTACCGTAAGTCCTCGTCGGGACTGCTCAGTCAAGAACTCAAAGAAGACAGTGACACCAAATGTCTCAGTTGGTACGCAAGACAGGTCCAGGTGCAACCAGACAAAAAGCAAACACCTTCCTGCAACCCAATACTGCAATTGCAACTGCAACTGCAATGCATACAATGTCTCACTCGTTCTCATCAGACGATGCGAAAAGTCTGATGCGAAGGAGGAAAAAAATGGACGGTTCCAGGTCTCAACCTCATGCAGCCAAGCCTGCTGGTCTGCCAGGGCAAGGGTCGACGAGTCATGGTGTTTGTCTGATGCTGAGTGGCGAGCCCTAATTTTCCTCCGGTAAGAAATATTATTTTGTGTACGGTAATACTGTATGTCGTGTATTGTATGAGATCGATCAGCCCTAACCGGCTAGCCCAGCAGTTCTCCCGAACAAAGCCCTCAGCCCCTCTCGGGAGTGCCCGACTGTCCCAACTCCTTGCTGATCACTCCATCAGACTGCCATCCTTTATCCTGCGGAATCGACGGAATCTGCCATCAGCCCCTAGCCAAAGGACGCCGAAGATGCAACGGCAAGTCCTCAGCGCTAATAATTAGGCTCCTGGATTCTGAGCCCATCTGCTGGCTCAGCCTTGTGCCACCCCAGTGAATGAAGGCAGTCCTAGCTGAGTCCTGTCTTGAGACCTCCAGTGTCTGACCTTCTCGCGCTCTTTCACTTCTTCACTCTGGTTGAATACTCTTTCATCCACCTTAAGGCGTCTATCGCCACTGCTCGAGTTCTATTGCTGTTGCTGTCGCTTCGCATCAGCATCCAAAGCAAGCCATTCTCACGTTACACAAGTTGAGACGAGCGAAACTCCAACCTCTTCTACCCGACTGCATCCTCACTTGCACGTCTATATATCATCTCCATCTACATCTCTACATCCACGACAATAAGTGAAAGTCCCATTATTACTATAATAGTTTGTTTTACCCAAATCATCACAATGGACTCCCTCAAACCCCCCACCACAACCGGCTGGAAATCCTGGAGCGCCAAAAAGAAAGCCCTCCTCCTCACCTCGCTGCTCATCTTCATCATCGCTCTAGGCGTCGGTCTCGGCGTCGGTCTCGGTCTCGGTCTACACAAGGGAGACGACAACGATGAAGGCAACGACAACAACACAACAAACATCTGGCAGCCCGCCGTCGGCACCTCATGGCAGATTGTACTCCGGTACGCATTAAACGACACCTCCGTCGACGCAGAGGTATACGACATCGACCTCTACGACAACGACAAGGGCGTCATGGACGAGCTGCACGCCGACGGCCGGAAGGTGATTTGCTATTTCAGTGCGGGCACGTACGAGGACTGGCGCGATGACGCGGCCCAGTTCCCTAGAAATACACTGGGGGATGGATTGCCTGACTGGCCTGGTGAGAGGTGGGTTGATATTCGGTCGAGCAGGGTAAGGGAGATTATGGGGGCGAGGTTGGATGTTGCGGTTGAGAAGGGGTGTGATGGGGTGGATCCTGATAATGTGGATGGGTATGATAATGAGAATGGGCTGGGGCTGGGGGAGGATGACTCGGTGGATTATATGAACTGGTTAGCGGGGGAAGCGCATGGGCGGAATCTGTCGATCGGGTTGAAGAATGCGGGGGATATTATACCGCGGGTTATTGGGCGCATGCAGTGGAGTGTGAATGAGCAGTGTGCGCAGTATGAGGAGTGTGATGTGTATGCGCCGTTTGTCCGGAGGGGGAAGCCGGTTTTCCATATTGAGTATCCCAAGGGCGATGAGACGAATGATGAGGTGATGGTCCGCGGGGCGAAGAAGGAGCAGGCGTGCGATTTTGATGACTCGGGGGACTTTTCGACCGTCATTAAGAATATGGATTTGGATAATTGGATCCAGACTTGTTAGTCTGCTGCACTGGAAGTATACAGCCTATTTACTGTACTGTTATGAGCGTTGCATTAGCATAGCATTAATTTCAACTACAACTTCAACTTAACTTCATCCCCACGTATCGCTAATATACACCCATGTGCGGTACTCACCCCGCAAGCATGCAATATTCCTAGTCCACGGCAGTGCATGATGCATATCAACCCTAGAAAGGAGACAAACATCTCGGTGAGGCCGCTAGGGACTTGGAGGACGGGAGGTATTCCATACAGTATGCGTAGTTGTACTGGTACACAATACGATACTCAAAGTACCGCCCGACGTATTCTCAATACCAAAACCCCAATCGATGTATCGCAGCCGAACCCAACCATGCAGTCTAATTAAGTCGTCGCACATTGACAACTCGGTTTCCATGTCACACTAAATCCGTCATTTAATCTGTGTTCGCGCTCGTATTCATTGAAATCGGTTGGCAGGGAACAGGAGTTTCCGAGTGGGCCACCCAAATCCTCGGGGAGGAGTTCTGATTCCACCAAGGTCTCATGTCTTCAGCACGGGAACCGCGATGGAACAAGGACATGTTGACGGAGACTGATCGGGCGGCAGTGACCGACCGACCCGCAGTAGTCTAGACTGCGCTGTTCGGCCAAACGATGGACGTCAGGACTGAGCCAACCTTCACCCTCGAGCGAAGGATTAGTTAGCCCCGATCTCACACCCACAATTCCCTCGAGGAATGCAATTCGTGAAGGAAGCCGGAAATTTCAACCGGCTCGCAGTTAGGGTTGAGTCAAGATGAGCGGTCGCAGAAAAACAAATCACAACGACAAAAACAAAACGACGGGTCTGATTGCCTGCCCAGTTGGCTAAGTCTTGCTCGATGAATCCATTTCGTCTCTTGGTCTCTTGGCGTCAAGTCAATTCGTGCGTTGGCGCTTCGCTTCCAAATCAGACACCACCTGCGGCTGAGCTGCTTCGCTGCTTTGTTTACAGCCGTCAGGTTTCGGTGTGGCAGTGGCAGTGCCTGCGGAGACAGCGACGTCTTGCTTGCTTTTTGAACAGTTCTTCTGCGTGGAGACTGAAGGAGCGAGGTGTTCGGTGAGAATACCAGACCCCGCCACAGCCTCGACTGCCAAGTTGTACTGCTGCCTTTTCGGGGCAAGGGTTCGTGCTTGCGGCAGCCAGCGTTTACATTTGACTCTCTTGCCTTTCTTTCATTTATTTTCCGCGATCGATCTCGGAGAAAAGAGGCTGTGGTCAGCCGGATGCGAGGCCTAGACTGGTCTTGGTCAATATTGGCAGCTTGGGCCGATGACACTTGTACAGGGATCAAACGATTTGTACGGATATTTCTCGGAGTATCGACCGGACATTATTGTTTAACCCCAGAGATGCACAGCAGGTGTAGGAGAATAAGTTGCCTGCCAAATACTCCGGGCGTACAGGTTGCCAGCTCCGAGATCTAATGTATATCTGCAGCTTGTAGCCCCCCATTATTCAAACCTGCGTCCTCTCGCTGATTGCCTCTGTTGTCTCAATATCGATTCTCTTACGTATCTTCTGTTATCCATTCTATTGATGGCACAGATGTATGTCTTACCTCCAGAAGCCGACCAGCGAGCCAGTCCAGATCGGGCCCGGAAGAGCCCCGTGGACGGGTCGATGGTATGCAAAATGCAAGGATGCCAATATAGCTCCGGTCCAGTCATTGCTGGTCCCAGTAGTGCTGCACTGGCCTGCTGGAGTGGGCCGCACCATCTGTTCGCAGTCTATTGTGCAGGTTTTAGAACCCCCACCAATTGACTCTTGCGCTGGCCCCCGTCAATATTGGCCCCGACTTCATTTCATCCTAGTTACACTTGTCCCAGTTGAGTCCCTATGTCCGACTGGCTTGCTTTCGATTTATTGAGATATTGATTCCGATTGCTCGGCAGTGTTGGACAAATGAATCAGCGGGATCAACAAATCCGACGGGCGTAATGAAAATTACACACGTCGAAAAACTGAACAACTCCACTTCAAGAAAACAAGATTCAGTGCTGCAGCAAAAAAAAAAAAAAAAAAAAAAAAAAAAAAAAAAAAAAAACCAATACATTTCAGTTGGAAATCGAGGTATCAGTTCAAGGCTCCCGCATCAGCATTGGGCAACGACTCCAAGCAGGAAACAAGGCACAAAGGCATATCAGAGTCAACACGAATAAAATCCTTGATCTCCACCCATCGACAGTACCAAAGATGAGCCAGATCCATATCCCGTATTAGCAGCCGGTTATTGGGCCATAAGGCTAACAAATTCCTTCCATTTGCCACCAAAACTGGCGTAGTAATTGGTGCTGAGATGGGTAATGAAGACCTCATCTGCAATTCGTCGCACTTGCTTCACAAATTCTCGCAGCTCTGACCCTTCCACGCCGTCTGGCAGCGAGTGGATCACCGCACAGAGCTGGCTGCGGTCGCTGTCGGGTATTGCCTCGAACAGCCTGGCTCCATCGCGCTCGTGGAAGGTGTCATAAGTTGCCTCAAACACAACAGTCGAGTCAGCTGTCGACAGGTAGCGAGAGTCTGGCACTACTCCGGGGTTATGGAAGACCTGCGGTGGAAAAACTAATTAGCACCTCACCATCCAATAAACGAGAAACTCGACGGCACACTCCGGGGCGTCGAGCCTGGTCTCAATGCCGAAGAAGAGACCGATCCAATGATTCCAGGGCTAGAACAAGTCACAGATTGAGACATCCGCATCCTGCCAAGGATACCAAGGAGGCAAAAGAAGAGAAGGGGAAAAGAAAAAATAGGATTGTAGATGTGGGATAATGGATATGCCCCGACAGAGGCTCATCCTCGCGTGGTGGGTATCACACAACAGCATCACAAACTTACGAAATGGTCGGGCCCCAAGCCTGGGGTGCTTCTCACGATCGTGGTGAGCTCTTCGAGATACGCAAATGTCCCCTCATCATACTGTTGAGGCGTTTCGTCGAAAAATATCCCCCGAACCGCGAGTTTGGGATTGGCGCTAATGGTCGGCCATGCGGCGAAAGTCTCGATGTCGTTGCGCACTGACGAAATATTGCGCTTCGCATACGTCGTAGCAACATATCCCAATACGCGAACGTTGCCGTGGGCCGTTAACCGAGGAATTTCCTTCGTGTAGTTGCCATCGGGCAAAGGGTTCGGGCCTGGGCCGCTACCTGGGTTCACCACAACCGTGAAGTTGACGTTGGGGTGGGCAGAGATCCTACAGCGGCGGCGTTTAGCTGCAGCACTCCATAAACTCAGAGGCGCTTTCCGTCCCACACTGATCTATTTGCAGGAGGCTGATGGCGTTCGCATGGTTCCAGATGATCCTGTTTGACCGACAGGGGTACGAGAGCGAGAAGTAATAGGAATGCAAATTAGGCAAAACAAAACTTACACATTCACCAGCGGATCCCACGCACCAGGAGCGGGGTACACATAGAGAAGGACAAAGACCTTTGCTTTCGGGCCCATGTTATTATTATCCTTGCGGGAACTGACTATAATTGCGGGTGGGAGAATGGTTGCGAGAAGAACAACAAAGACAAGAGCGGCCACAGCAAGGCGAGACCGCCAGCTGCGGAGGCAGTGTCTTTCTCTCACGTGTTTTCCAGGTTCCATCGCGGTGTAATAAGGCCAGTGCTAAACAAGTAGCGCATTAAGAATATAATGCGACAAAGAGTGGGCACCCAAGTAAAGAAAAAAGTGGTTTCGTTGGCTACGACGAACAACGTCAGAGAGCCTAAGAATAAGTAGCCCCTCTCAAACTTAGAAAAAAAGATGAGGTGATCTGTAGGGAACCGGGCCTCCTTCTTTCGTCAATTGCGCGCGCCCAAAATAGAGTGGATCGGAATTTCGACCATGCAGCAAGACTCTTGTTGGTAATTACAGCCGTCACCGAAGCGAAGAGTCCCTCCTCCCTGCCTTAAAGGTGCTCACGGTGCGTACTGTACTGCAATCCAGTGGAGGCGCCTAGGAGTTGTCTGATACTAGCCAACCGGGGGCGAATTCAGCACCCTTCTCAGAGCGTTTCGCTGCATCCAATTGAAGTTGAAAGAGCTGACGGCTCTTAATTTATTCTCGATCTTTTTTTTTGTTTTCTTTTTCCTTCGGTTTCCATTTCCTGCCGCATCTTACCTTTCTTGCATTCGTTCGCTTTCGAGGATTATGTGCTGGTGTAAATAGGCGAGTCACGACTCACGATAGCTTCGCCTGACTTGACTCGAAACCGTCCCGGTTACATCGAGAAGAGCCCAACGAACTTTGCAGGCCTGGCCTTGACGGAGATATAAAAATTTGTGAACGCCTTGCCCCGGGTGGTCAATCTCGAGTCACTCACACCCGTCGAAGTTTGACTGGATAGATCCCCCTCATTTGCTTCGCACCCGTTGTTGCATTTTACCAGCCGCATTCGCTTGTGCCACATTCTTTGGTTTTGTTCAATATATCTCTGTTTTTGTTTTCTCTCAATGTCCGCAATGGATACTCCTAGTCCTCGACAGTCCGACGCAAGCTCTCCTGCGGAGCCCTGCTCTCCGTCATGCGTGGACACGCCAGCAACGCAGTCTTCCGTTTTGTTCGACGGCAACCTGGACGAGTTACTGCGTAACTTCCCCCTTCGTCAGTACATTCTCGTCACTGGGGGGCTTGGTTTTATCGGGAGTCACACAACATTAGAACTGCTCAAGGCCAGCTATAACGTCATTGTGATCGACAATCTCAGCAATTCTTTCCGAAACGTCTTTGACCGTATTAGGCATTTGGCGGAAAAGCACCATGAAAAGCAGGGAACTGAAATGCCGGCCCTGTATCTGGACGCCCATGACTACCGAGATACCGCCGCTCTTAGGCAACTTCTTGACCAATATCAGGTGGAGTCCAGATGGGGCTCCCCCAAATCCAAGATTGCTGGTGTCATCCATTTCGCCGCTTATAAAGCAGTTGAGGAGAGCATCAGGAACCCATTAAAGTACTATGCGAACAACGTGAGCGGCCTTGTTGACTTTGCAACCACATTGGGCGAGTACGGTATCAAAACCTTCATCTTTTCTTCATCGGCAACTGTTTATGGCACGCTGGCTACTTCCGGTCTTCCGCTCAAAGAAGAGCTCTGCGCCCACAAGGATGAAGTTTTCAATGGTGCTGACGGGTTCAGTCAGCCCATCAAATCTGGATGTACCGGTATCACAAACCCGTATGGACGCACAAAGTGGATGTGCGAGGCCATATTGGCGGATCTAGCAGCTTCTGATCCGGAATGGACCATTGTGGCGCTCCGGTACTTCAACCCAATCGGCTGCGACGAGTCTGGGTTGCTCGGAGAAGATCCAAAACAGATTCCCACGAACCTTCTACCCGTTGTGGTAAAAGTAATGACAGGGGAATACAAGGAATTGCAGATGTTCGGCACTGATTGGGAAACCGAGGATGGCAGTGCTGTCCGCGATTTCATCCACGTTACCGACTTAGCTCGAGGGCACATCGCTGCGCTTGATGTGGCCAACGAAAGAAAACTGGCGGAAAACTTCCGTGCATTCAACCTAGGTACCGGACGAGGACATTCGGTGATGGAGGTAGTCGACACCATGGAAAGTGTATCTTCCAAACGAATCCCAGTCAAAGCAGCTCCCCGTCGTCCAGGGGATGTTGGTTCCTGTGTTGCCGTCGCCACCAGGTCGCAGCAGGAGCTTCAGTGGAAAACTGAAAAGACGCTGGCGGATGCATGTGGCAGCCTGTGTAAGTTCTTGGAAATCAGCGGTCTATACTTCTCAGAGTGTTAAAATCGAGTGTATGAGTCTTTTATAATAATGGGCGTTTGGCGGTCTCCCTCTTTTCCTTGTTCCTCATAATGTGGCAACCTCACGGGTTTCTTTGCCCCTCGTGCATAATAGAAATGTTTCCTTTTTCCGAGGCACCTTCGTCAAATATCATTCTGTATAGCTTTCGCATGTGTCACAGTGACAATGAATAATTTCGCATAATACCCTAATTAGTGGGAAGCCTTCCTGTATATTGTTGCACTCTGTTAGTATGAATGGGATTCCTCCCAGGGATATCATGGGCCGATTTATGCCAGTCGCTGCCACGGGTGTGGGCCACAAGTCACGTATAAGGAATTCGGCAACCACTTCCAAGGTTCCTTTCTCAAATCCAGGACCTGGCCTTGTCAATTGTTAAACGGCAATACCCTATTTATGCATCACTAGCGAGCTCCATTTCGGTTCAAGCGCATAGAGTAGTGTTGACTGGTAGGTCGAGTCGCCTCAGACTTAGCACGGAATGATAAGAGAAGTTCGCTGGCAGTTTAGAGTGGATATTCTGCATGTGACGCTGTGCAAACACACCCAGAGAGCATATCCACGAAAATTAGTGTATGTATCAGGACCTAGTGCCATAGATGGTCCTGCCAGTGTTATCGAAAGTGATATAACTGCCCTTGTGTGGGTAGGTGCCGCTGTTCCATATAGAGATGGCCGGACAAAACCCAGGCATTTGTCTGCAATTTTAACACTCGTGCCTTGCAGGGTCCAAATGCAGGAACCGCGGACATCCAAATCAAAACAGAGGCTGCCAGTCAGTATGGCGGCTATGGCCAAGGCTTCTCTGGAGCTTGTTGATGCTTGTCACCACCACAATTGTCGACCACATTGGCAAGAGAAATGTCCTTATTCAAGCACGAAGTCCTCTTGGTCAAAGATTCTGTTGGTAGGCGACCCCTTTCCCAACACTACATGCGGACTCACATTGCAGCAGAGGTAGTTGTCAAGGGACAGAATAGATGACGAAATGACGGGCCCGTGGGGCAGGACGATGCTTTCCCAAAAAGGTAAAAGTCACATGATTCAAATAACCAGATCACGTGCCAATGACCTCCGGCTTGGCATCAATTTCATCCGCAGATTTCTTGACGCTCCAGTCGCGACTCGTGAGTTTCACTTCCACCATTGCGCAGCTTTATATTCCGAAGGCCGGTAGTGTGGCTCCGTTTCAACATCTCCCTCCACATTAATTCCAACCGCCATTATGAAAATGATCTGCCAACGCTGCCGGTCGAGCATCTTCCCCCGGCTACAACACCAGACCTTCACATCGTCGCTGGGTGCGAGTCAACGAATTCAGTTCCGCAACTACAGCGATGGAAAGCCTTCGGTATCCGCTGCACCCCCTCCACCTAAGCCTCGGCAGCCCATCGGCGACGACATTACCATTCCGTCCGCAATCTCATCAGCTACCCCTGGCGTGTCGCAGCCTTTGAGTACCCCGGGAGGTGTACACGTCGATGTCGACCCGACCCAGCCTGCGAAAGCTGCCAAACCAGCCGTGGAACGGCCGCCAAGTTCCTGCCTGCCTGGAACTCCAATTCAGGGGCTCAATTACTTCAGAAACAAGGCGGATCCCATTGCCATGGAGGATAACGAGTACCCCGAGTGGTTGTGGTCATTACTGGATAGCTCGAAGAAGGAAGCTAAGAAGGGTGGTGTTGATCCAAACAGTATGTCTCCTATCATTGGCATGAAATTCATATCGACTTAGCTGACTTGATTATTTGTAGCCCTCAACAAGAAGCAGCGCAAACGCTACGAGAAAAAGATGGCCGCCCGTGCCGCAACATTACCGGTCCAGATCCCCGTTCACCACCAGGCCACAGATATCACGCCCGCACAATATAACCGCAATGGGAAGGCACCTGAGGATATACTGGGAGAGGCTACCGAGAGTCAAGAGAAGCGATCCGAAATTACCAAGAGTTCGAGAGAGGCACGGAGGAAGGCCATCAGAGAGGCCAACTTCTTGAGCGGCCTTTAAGCCTCTACGTTACTCAGCGCATTTGTTTTTGGAAGCATTGTTTCTACATAAGTGTTCCGATAAGCTGGGGTGTACATTATGTTTGACCTACCCGGAGTTCCCTTACCATGTATTCTATGACATCTATATCTTCCTTGAATTATTAGACAAAACATTAGACGGACTTTCCTTATCCGAGTGTTTTTTTTATGCATCCTACAGGGTCTCAGTGGTAAGAATATCTATTTGGGGATTTCCCATTCCTTATTCTCACCCTGCCCTTCGACCCACGGATAGCAAGCATCCCACAATCTCTTGATCTCGCCGTCTCCTAATGCGATCAGCTCCTGCCAGATCGTTTCATCCGCGTACTTGAACCAAATCAAGAACGCCACCACTATGAAATCTGCGTAACTTGGCTGGTCACCCTCGAAAAATAGACCGGTCTTTTCACTTGAGCCTTTCAGCATCTGCACTATAGGCGTCATCTCCTTCTTCATCTTATTCTTCATGTCCTGGATCACCACTTTATCAGTCGGTCGAATTTCCTCAAAGGGTTTGTTCAATGTTGCCGATCGGGTCCTCCTATAGTACTCTCTGCCCCGCGGGTCGAGGATTTCCGCGATAGGTGGGATTAAAAATGTATACGCCGAGAAGGCAGCACCTCGCATGATCTTGTCGACCGCGACAGCAAGCGCATAGCTAGCGTTACCTGACGGGAAAAGAGGTCGCTCCGGGTGCTGTTTTTCAATCTGGGCAGCGACGGGAAGCGAGTCCATCACAGCTCCGTAGGACGGGTGCCAGATAGCCGGGAGGGTGTATGGGACATGTGCGGCTCCCTCTGGATGAGGCAGAACACCCAGACCTCGGAGAATAGGAGCTATGTCGGGGTAGGAGACGTAGGTCTGCGTGTAGGGGACTCCTTTATAGTTCAAAGCCATACGAGTTTTGATTGTGTTAGGAGACCACGCTTTGGATGGGCCTAGCTGAATGTTAGCAGCAGTCGTCGAGGTACAGGAGAACGTTGATATATACCGGGTAGGTCCGACAAGATGTCAAAAAAGTGCACCGGTGTTTTTTCTGCCATGGCGAGCGTTATACAAGATCTTGGGGCGGATGTTGTCTAGTTTCATGGATATCTTGGCTCAGGCAGAGATATATATATACTGGTTTCACCGAGAACATACTCGGAGACTTCTTTGGTGGTGCCCCCGAGAAAGCGGGGAAAATGGAGATTGATTGATCAGCCAATTTAGCAGGACGATAAGAATACGAGAATCTGAAATCTGGCTTAGTTGTATCGGGCCTACACAGTTTGTACCTTTCTGGACCCTTTTTACTAAACGCCTTGCGTCCGCCGAGTCTAGATACCGTGATGGATGTGGATCTAAATAGCTTCGCTATTACCCCGCAGAGGAAGCTCGACCTTGGAATCTCGCCAATTTATTCACCACCAACTCGTAATCAGCTTCCACGCCAGTGAACAGATGCGCATGTATGTTGGGAATGATGCCCAGGCAGTCGGTTTCTCAAGTGATCATAGGTTGATCTTGCCATGCCCGACCCCCCGCCGAGCCACGCACGCGGCATGGGTGGAGCAAGGTCCCTTTCGACTGTTTTGTCTCAACTCACCTTCCCACAACTTCTCCTACGACAACCATTGCGGTTTATCTACCGTTAACTAAAGATTTTCGATTCCCAGGATCTTAGAAGCACCACCCTAATCAGTCTTGCGTCCACGCCGACAACCTTATCGGTACAATTTTCCGCCACGCAGAGTCGATCACACCGCTATAGAGCGCCATGGCCAACATCAATGAGCTCACCGAGCGTACCGGCCAAATCGCAATAGACCCTTCGTCTCAATCGCCAGCAATGAAGCCGCTAACCACACTTTCGCCGTCGTTCCAAACCCATCTCGACCAGATATACAAATCGCTGACCGACTCTAAGAGTTCCAACTTTATCAAGGATATTCAGCGTGATGAGCAGGAGGGAGCTCCTGAATCGGATCCGCTCAGCTCCTTGGATGCGTTTCGTGCATACATGGCAAGCCCTTCAGCGTCTGCGTTGCGGCCCGCTAGGAAGCCAGATACCACTGCGCCGATCACCGATTATTTCATCTCTTCGAGCCACAACACGTACCTGACTGGGAACCAGCTGTCTAGCGATTCGGCACCTGTTGCTTATACAAATGTGGGTCCCTGTCACTATCTGGGAGTTGATGACTCCATCTTTCCCGGATAACGTTTCTTGACCTCTCGAGGCAAACAGCAGTTGCTGATATTAAACAGACCCTTCTCAGCGGGTGCAGATGCGTCGAAATTGATGTTTGGGATGGAGAGCCCGAGTCTGACAGCGATGATGACACAAGCAGCTCAAGTTCCGATAATGAAAACAATAAAGACAAGCCGAAGCTGCCAAAACGGAAGAAAACGGTTAAATCTAGGATAGGCAATTTTATCAGCCGGAAAATGGCATCCCAGGAACAGCGTGGCGAGGATGGTAAAGCCGCTGATGCTGCGCCTGTTGAACCAGTACGGTTGGAACCTAAAGTGCTCCATGGCCACACCCTTACGAAAGGAACAACATTCCGAGAGGTTTGCTATGCGATCCGTGATAGTGCTTTCGTCATAAGTGATCTGCCCGTGATTGTGAGCTTGGAGGTACATGCTTCCCTCGAGCAACAAGCGATCATGGTAGAGATCATGGAAGATGCTTTTAAAGGATTGTTGATTGAGGTCACACCGGAAATGGAGGCCTTTACGACTCCGCCGCCGCTTCAAGATCTGAAGCGAAAGATTTTAGTGAAGGTCAAATGGGTTCCCGCTACTCCTGAGGGCCAGGAAGATGTGGATGATCGTACGGATGACCTAGAGCAGCTGGAACAGACCAACTCGGCAGCGTCTACCCAGTCTGCTTCACAGGCTCCGTCAAAGCCGGCTAAAATCCTGCATTCTCTTAGCAGACATGCGGTTTTTACAAAAGGTTTCAGCTTCAAGCAGTTCACCCAACCCGGTATGTCCAAACACCTGGCTTACCTTCATCGGTTTGCTAATTTCAAATAGAGGCCAAAGTACCTGGTCACGTATTTTCCCTCTCTGAGCGAGCGGCCCGACAAGCAGATGAAAAGTACGGCCATGCTCTCTTTGAACACAACCGGAACAACTTTATGCGCATCTACCCTTATGGTCTCCGCGTCACCTCTTCCAATCTAGACCCCACCTTCTTCTGGCGTCGTGGTGCACAGATTGTAGCCCTTAACTGGCAAAACAGAGACAAGGGCATGATGCTTAACCAGGGAATGTTCGCAGGCGAGGAGGGCTGGATCCTTAAACCCAAGGGCTACCGAAGCACGGAACCAGAGTCCGCTCCGATTACTCGCCGGACAGTCGGCCTCTCAATTGAATTCCTAGCAGGACAGGACCTTGCACTGCCTCTAGGTCACACGAGCGAGAAGGGGTTCCATCCCTATATATCTTGCTATTTGCATGTAGAGACTCCAGACGATGCGCCCGTGCCCGTCGGAGAGGACAGCACAGATTCCGAGAAAACTAGTTACAAGCGGGAGATAAAGTGTGCAAACGGATGTAATCCGGATTTCAGATCCCAGAAACTCGAATTCCCGACCCTAACTGGGGTTGTTGAAGAATTGGCTTTCGTTAGGTTAGTCACTGTTTGTTGCTTTATAGAACTGCACTTGCTGATTGATTGCAGATTCAAAGTCAAGGACGATGAAATTGGCCGTGATTCATTGGCATCCTGGGCGTGTATTCGACTGACTCGGTTGCAAGAAGGCTACCGAGTGCTTCACCTCTTTAAGACTGATGGATCACAAACTGGCGGCTCTATTCTGGTCCGGATCGTGAAGACCGTCTCATGAACTCGTAGTACAGCCGACCACCGCGTTCAAAGCACTAGGCAGCTCGATAGATTATTGAACGTTGTCCCTGCAGCCGGCCGCTGCATATGATAATGAATCTCCACGGCCACCTCCAGGCTCTACTTCCAACGTCCACTTGCCTGGTCCTTTGTTGATTGGACAATGCACCGATCAAGGCTATTAGAAGGGGCAGCCAAAGACAATACTTAATCTGCTCCTAGCGCCCTGAACCGCTGGAGTACTAGATAGTCGGCGTCTTCATGGTCAATATGCGCAAACCCCAGCTTGGCTCCACGTGTAGATAGATATATTTAATGCCAAACATACACCGTACACCGATATTTCAACGACCCTTCAAAACACCCCCACGAAATATCCCCCCTTCACAACGCGAAAAAAAACCATAAAACAACAGACCTCACCACCAGGATACTCAAGGACCTCGGCCTCTCGGTACAAAGCTTAAAAGGCATCGCACCCTTTTGCGAGATCACCTCGAACTCTGGTCAATTGCGGAAATTCACGCGACGCCACTCGTGGGGCAAAAAGTCCCCGATCTGGGGAAACCAGGGTTTACTGGCTCTGACTGGCTCAGGAATCGGTCCCAAAGCGGCAGGCCGAAGCGCAGGCCGGGGCGGGGAGCGGGAAAGCACAACCGAGAGGACGCTTAGGATTACTGCATCTGGGCACGGATAATACAGCTCATGACACATGATCGTCCAGCTTCTCTCCACGATCAACTGTCCCACTCTTCAAATTGACTTTGCGTTGCGGGTGTTTATTTGGATGTCTGGAGAGCTAGAATCATGGATGAGTCGGCCGCTGCGTCGATAACTCATGATAATGACGGTGATGCGCGCTCCTCGACGAAGTTCACGCGATGCAGAACGGGGTGTCTGCGATGTCGGAAGCGGAGGCGGAAATGTGAGTTTTACGACGCCATATTCTCTTCAGATACCTAGAGGGGAGCTCGTGGTGTATGGTTGATTATCTAACGCTCGATTGAATAGGCGACGAACGCAAACCCCGATGCCAGAACTGCATTGACAAAAACTTCGACTGCAATTATGGGATGCAGGTAACCTTTCTCCCAAAGAACTCTATCACTGTAGCAGCGGGCGAGCTCCAACCCCCAGCTGTGGATAGGAGCGCGAATTATAATAAGATCCAGGTGAGTATGGAGATGTACTGGATTGAGGCAATGTTGTGCTGATGACATCCCATGAGATCTAGTTTGTCAACGAAGATCCTCTTTCAATAGACAATCTTGTCGGGCTCTCGGAAGAAACTCAACTATCCTCTCCTACGTCGACCATCTCAACTACGCCCTTACTTCTATCTCCTCCTCGAAAGAGCATAATCCCGGCAGAAGAAAGCCGTCGCAGGCACTCTGCCTCGGTCTCCATAGCAGAAAGGGAAAGAGAAACCCACCGCGACTCAACCCCCAGGTTTCACGATACCAACCAGACACATCGAGATCCACAGTTGCGCACCGCCCTTGCACCATGGGAACTCGACAACCGCAACCACCATCATATCTCAAGCCCAAATGCAAACCCACCCGGTCCCCTTGAACCCCCAGTCCGACCAAACACTTTCAGCGCAAATGACGAATTCGCCGTGCGCGGACTCCTCGCCCTAGGAACCCAATCTGGACCAGGGCCTGATAATGACTCAATACCGGGCCCAGTAACCACTATCCCAGACCCCTCCGAAAAGGCTGGAATGGGCACTACAGCAGCAGACACGCCAAGCAGGACAATAGGCGGAGGAGGAAACGGCAACGGGCCAAACGGTATCTCACCGAGCTTCATCGACGGTATCCTAGGCGTGTCCACCCCAACTGCCATGCACAGCTCCGTGCTGAATTTCGACATTGGGAACGGGACTCCAAATCCAAACCTACATCCAAATCTATATTCGAATACTAATCCAGATCCGGAGGGCTCGGAGACATGGAAGATGAAGCTTCTCCAGCACTATCGGTATCATGTTGCGCCGTGGCTGGACATCCACGACCTGACGCACTCATTCGGTATCACGGCTCTCCAGATCGCCGTGAACTCATCTTCGGAACGGCTTCTCCCCGCCCTCCTAGGTCTCTCGGAGGCGTGCTTACGGACGCAGCGGGGCCGCGTCTATTCCCACGCGTACGGGCCCCAGGCGGTTCATTTCGACGATACAGCAACATATTCTGAACCTCCGTCAACGAACCCAGATGTAGACGTGCATGACGATTCTACGGAATCTGTGCTGCTGCGAGTATTTGAGGAGCTGAGGGGCCTTGTTTCGGATGTTACAAAGGATTGGGCGAGGGGTAGGGATGGATATGACTATGGGTACCCTGAATACAGACCATTGCAGTCAATAGTTCATAGAGCGTATGGGATGGACATGGATGCGGCAGTGTATTGGGTGTTTTTGCGGATGGGTATGTTTCTCGATTTCTCTTTTGAAAACTGGTAAGTAATCTAACAACAACAGACATTGGCAAATCTCTAGCAAATAATACGCCCCTCCGCGTGCCGCTTCCCTCACTTCCAATCTCGAGTCTCGCGCTCCTCTGTCGCACAGAAAGCACCCCAGAGCGAGTGGGACATTATGCGCAGGTCCTCCTCTGGCTCTGCGGCAAAGCGCTACTAACATATCATCAAGACTCTAACACACACCAGGCACCCGGAACAGATAGCTGGCTACAAATATTCGAAGAGCTGAACCAATGGAACTACCTCCGTCCGCAGGAATTCCAACCAATGGTGGAATTGAGTAACGACGGCGGCGCCGAAGACCACGCCCTAGGTCTCAACTCCGGTAGCGAGTTCCCAATGCTACTATTCACGAACGGTGCGGGCGCACTATGCAACCAGCTATATCACACCGCGATGCTGTTCATGTTAGAGTGCAAACCGCGGACAACGGCGCTCCTGAATCAGAGTCATCCGCAATACTCGCCGGTGTTATCGCCAATCTGGCATGCCCAGCGAGTGTGCGGTATCGCGCTGAATAATGATAGGCGCGAGTGCTGGGACCCATGCTTGCTTGCTTCGTTCCTTGTCGCGGCGCGACATATGACGCATGAGTCTCAGCAGGTTGAAATTGTGCACGGGTTTGACCGCATCCAGGCGCTTACTGGATGGAGTGTGGGAGAGTATCTCACGCAGCTGCGCGAGGAATGGTCGTATCTCGATGGGTGTTGAATGAACGAATAGCTGGCTGGCCCAACCGCCAATCGCATCGTATTGGATCACTCACCCGACAATGATACGTCGCTGATCGATTGACGTTGAGAAATGTTGGTTCATGGTCGTCTCCCTCCGGCTACTAACACTGTATCCCCACGCAACCTCCAAATCGCGAATACGCCAACAAGCACCCCAACCGGTCTCGGCCTCAATGTCGCGAATGATCTTGACAATCTGCTCGTGCTCTGAGGCGTGGCTGAATAGGCGCCCCGCGATCCACAGAGGCTGGATAGCATTATTCAGACAACCTTGGTGTTTATTGCTTGTTGAAATTCCGCATATGCGGCGCGCATGCCAGAGTAGAGACAGCGTTGGCGACCGCGGCAGTCGCAAGCCTTTGGGCATCATCTTTAGCAATAAGATGCAAGAAGTGTGGTACAGCTGGTTTGAGGAGATAGCCGACCAGTGCACGAAAAGGATGTGTGGGAACGGCTTGCGGCTTATTGTTTGGATGGGGACCAGTTCTGAGGGTCGTTCGGCGAGCCAGGTCTGAAGGCCGCTCCATAATGATGTCCAGCGGGAAGTGAATACTTCGGTCGTACAGCCGTTGTCTTCGCCAAGCTCGACGAATTTGGTGCGGTTGGATACGAGCTCGGTTGTTTTCACGGATAAATACACGGCGTAGTTTGCGTGCATGTCAGGGGTCCGCACATCTTTAAATAACCTGTATGCGTCTTCCTCCTGGCACCCAATCGGAAGCCACTTAGAAGGATGTAAAACAGTCGTCCTTGTTCCATCTGATATCAGCGCACCGCAAAGATCTATTCATACCCTTAGCCAAAGTCCACTCTCTGAGAATGAGAGAAAGTTAGAAAGAATTTAAGAAACTCACCCATCCTTGCATAACACCAAAAGACGGCCTGCAGTAACCCCCCACAGAATCCATGAATTCCACTGGCTTCGAACAATGCCGCACACCCCTCCAAGTGCCGGTGCCAGTCCTGCGCCCGGGCGGACATCATCTCCAGACAGCAGAGCAACACACAAGCCGCGACAATCTTCGGGTCACGGACCTGGATAAGCGGGCTCAGAAGCCGAATTGCCTCTTGGTAGAGCTCTAGACTGTCGTACCAGTCCTGGATGCCGGACTTGCGTTCCATTTGGCGTGCGGAGATGGCAAGGATTGCGTAGAGCAGCGCTGGGAAGGAGTGAGAGAGCGCAGGGAGTTGTTGGCGAAATGTGCAGTGGGAGTCAAACATGTCGAGCTGTAAATAGCAGAAGTTAGCATGTATATAACATAGAATAAAGGAAAAGTAGGGAAAGTGATAGTTCACACCCAGGGCGCAATCTCAGCAACATAATTCTTCAAATACTCTATCCGTCTTCGACTTGAGAGCGGGGATTCCCTTCTCCTCCGCCGCTCATGGAGCTGTCGCTGATACGACCGCGAGACAGACGTAGTCGGCGACGCATTGGAGTCTAGGTCTAACTCCCTCTTTGCAGTTTCTGGGCTACTCGCGCGTGTCGGAGCCGCCGAGTTCGCAAGTGTGAAGAGAATGGCGCGCAGTTCTTCCTGCGACGCAAGGAAGCCTGGGTCCTGGGAGAAGCCATCCTGGTACCAGCTCCCGGGCGAGGAGTGGAAGGGGTCGGTGTTGCTTGTTTCGACAGTTCTTATATTTGCCGTGGAGTGCGGCGATGCGTAGCTAGTCGGTTCTGGGTAGTTTGATGGCGCTTGCGGGTGAGGATAAGGTTGAGAGCTGGGCCATTTTGTCGAGTTGCGGTCTGTCTCCCGCTCTCCCTCTGGTGTTGATGCGGCCTCGGCTGCGGTTGCGGTTGCCGTTTCTATCGGGGAGCGGCCGTGGTCAACGACATCGAGGCGTTGTCGCTTAGAGGGCGGTTCAAGGCCAAACATGACTGCGTTTGGACCGTTGGAGAGCGGCAGACAAAGGATGCGCGGTGATGCAGGAAGTGAAAATTGGCTCTCGTCAAGCCACCGGCAAAATTGCCCGAAATGGAGGCAGATCTCTTGACGTTTCGGAGGAAGACCGAGGGCCCTGATTCATGGGCGGCCGCAAGTCAAACTCAGTTTTGTGTCACTGTGAATCGAAGCAGGAAGGATAACAGTCACTCGCCATCATCTGACTGGGGCTGTCTGCGATGAGTGGTGGATGTGAAGAGGCATTTCCGGGCCAGGACGTGGTGCTGCAACGTGAGTGGGCGGACCGGGGAGAACAAGAGCAGGCGGCTTTGATCGCCGCCCTCCGCGCCTTCCCCTCATGGAATGGCAGTCCCTTGTGGAGGAATCTGGGGAAACCATGGAAGGCATTGGCTCAAGCTGCCCTTTTTGGGCGTCCGGCCTGGGGATGTCCGCGTGGTTACATCCAACCCGGAGACAGCGTCATTTCCCTGGTGAAAGACCTGGGGACTCAACTGGAGATGTCCTCTGTCATTCCATATAAATACTCCATCTTCCGCTTTCTTTCTCTCCCCACAGTTGACTCTATACCCAGTCGCCACAATGGTTCACGTCAACATGTTCGGCACGGGGCGCACGCTCCAGGCCGCTATCTGGGCTGCTTGTGGCATGGCCTTTATCCTCTTTGGTATTATTTTCCCTTCTTTCTACGGCCTATGCGGGCATCCAATTAGCTCTAACAATCTCCAGGCTACGACCAAGGCGTCTTCTCCGGCATCGTCGAGAACGAAAACTTCCTGGAACACATGAATCACCCCAACGACAGTCTCATGGGCATAATCGTCTCGATCTATAACCTGGGCTGTTTTACCGGCTGTGTCATAAACTTTTGCGTTGCCGATAAACTCGGTCGACGACGCGCGATGTGGGTGGCCATGATTTGGGTTATTGTATGACAGACCATTCATCGCATACTGGAAAATTTTTCCACCACTAATCAGCCCGTTTTCTTAGATTGGAGCAACTCTCCAAACATCAGCATATAGCGTCCCCCACATGATGGTCGGTCGATTCGTCGCAGGTATCGGGACAGGCATTGAAACATCGACTGTTCCCATGTGGCAGGCTGAGCTCTGCGAGGCATCGAAGCGCGGAAAGCTGGTTTGTAGTGAGCCGCTGCTTGTAGGTGTTGGCATCGTTATCAGGTTTGTCTTTTCGTTTCCGTCTTTTCTGCCCTTCATCGCGCGATCGTCATACTAAGTTTCTGTAGTTACTTCTTCGATTTTGGGATGAGCTTTGTCGGCGGGCAAATTGCATGGAGACTCCCGATCGCCTGCCAGATGCTGTTTGCATTTGTAAGTCTCGCGTCACCTAGGATTCTTTTCTTCTTCTTTTTTTTTTGGCCCATGGTGCGAATGCTCACCTCTCTCGTTCAGTTCGTTATTTTCCTTGTCTTTGGAGTCCCCGAATCTCCGCGATACTGCTACCAAAAAGGACGCAATGACGAAGCACTTCAGATTCTAAGCGATGTTTACGGCAGGCCAAAAGATGACCCGAAGATCCAGGCGGAACAAACCGAGATTCTCGACGCCCTTGCCATCGAGCTAAAGCACGGCGAGTACAAGTGGAGGAATGTGCTCAAGAGGGACCAGGTATCAACCGGTTACAGAGTGTATGTTGACTGACTCGAAAAATGACTCCGAGCTAACTTTGATCCCATGCAAGTCTCCTCGGTTATGGTATGCAATTCATGAATCAGGTCGGCGGTATTAATCTTATCGTGTAAGTTTAGATCCCTCTTGCTAATTAGCAACCACTGACAATCACCTCCACCCAGATACTTTATCCCCACTGTTCTCAGCAGGAACGTCGGCCTGAGTCATAACCTCTCCATGATCATCGGCGGCTGCGTTCAGATCATGTTCGTTCTCGGCAGCTTCTTCCCGACGTTCTTCGTCGATAGAGTCGGCCGCCGCGCACCCATGATATGGGGTTCGTTTACGCTTGGAATTTGCATGATGATGGTTTCCATTCTTCTCAGCTTCAAGGGCAAGGAAAACGAGCATGCGACGTCCTCGGCCTCTATTACCTTTTTCTTCGTCTACATGTTCGCTTTTGGAGCATCTGTGAATTGTATCCCCTGGGTATACGTGCCGGAGATTTTACCCCTCCATGCACGCGCAAAGGGAACGGCCGTGGGAATTTCGTCCAACTGGATATGGGTAAGTAGTATCTATAACCCAAGCGCGCACTGATGCCTGGGAGATGCATGCTAACAAGTGTTGAAGAACTTTTTCGTGGTTATGATCACACCAGTAATCATCAACCGCCTTCAGTGGAAGGCATATCTCATCTTCATGTGCACAAATTTTGCTTTTGTCCCGCTCGTATATTTCTGCTACCCTGAGACGGCCAATTTCACTCTCGAGGAGATCGACTATCTCTTTACCAATCGGGAACAAAGTGCTGTCAAACTCTCAAAGGAAATTCACAAGGAGCGGAAGAAGTATGGCCACGCTCGTCGCCTTACTGCCGAAACGACTGGTGTATTCGGAACAAGAACTCCAGGTGATGAGTTAGCGGAGAAGTCGCCGACTGATGAACATGTTGAAAAGGTAGTCTAGACGGCCTAGACAATGGGGAAGTGATCTGTCCTGACGCTGGGCACTGGGTCGAGATTGGCACTCTGTGAGGGGCTTCATCGGCCCGCATTGATCGTAACCGTGTTCGCCTTTCGCGTCTGCAAATTGGCCATACACACATACACTGTACAGTAGACTATGCGAAATGAAGTTAAGAAAACACAAGCAAAAGACGGTCAGGCTTTAGTTGAACCTTGTTCTCTGTTGAGCCTGCGTCCACCGCCGTATCCTCCCTCAGACCGCGAAAGAGGAGTTGGTAGGGGCGATGACGATTTGCAGCGGCTCAGTGGCCCCATCAGAGGCGTCGAGCCTGGCTTCCGGAGCTGTTCGGCACGGGGAGTTTGCCCAAAAATCCTTGGTCGAATATGACATTTCCTGTGTCCATGAAACTTGCGCGAGCCTCGGGTTGTATCCTCCCTGAGTCGTCAGACGACGAGAGTGGGAGTGAAAGATGAAATAGCAAGTAGATATACTTCATTTGGAAAGAGCTTGTCTTTCAGATTGTATCCACCCTAATTGGTTGCTTTGGTTTTCGTGCACCTCGTATTGCCTGGAGCAAAGTCGACGATGGACAATTTGAATCTCTGATTATCCGAACTTCGGTGATGGATCTAGTCTCTCCCGTATCCTCCGAATGGCCTCCGTTGACTAGCGGTGTGTTAAGATGGAGCTCAGCTCCGCCGAGGCGTCACGGCCTTCATCGAGATTGTCAACTTTCAGCTCTCATTGAACAATCGGGAATCGGGGCCTTGGTCCAAAAAAAAAAAAAAAAGCCGAGGCTCCTGATGTCTGATCTTGCATTATCAACCGTGCGACTTTTCCTGATCTGGACGGACGGTTGGAAGGCAGGGAAAGCAAAAAAATAATAATGGAAGCCACGCAAAGGAAAGGATGCGCGGAGAGGCAAAGAGGAGAAGATCCATTGGTTGATCGAGGGGTGCGAGAAGGCAGACGGTTCTCCCATTCAAAAGCCGAAATTGCCATGATTTGACGAGCAGATTGCTGGAAACCCAAAAATTCGACCTGTCACATTCCAAATAGATAGATATCAAGTGTCTTTCCTTTTCCGATGATGAATCCAGGCAACTGACGCTAGTTAGCGTGGAAAACGGGTCTTTGACGATTGGACTTGTATGTTGGGCGATTTGGAATTCGGAACATCAAACTTCGGGGACTGTCCTGAGCATGGCTCCTTATTAGGAGTCAGATCATCTCGTATTGCATCGCCTATGCAAAACGCAGCAGGGATTATTTGTGAGCTGATGCCGGACATTGTTGGGGAACACCATGTTTTGCATTCTTTGAATCTCGCTGTGCATCATCGCCCTCAGACAAGTTCCTCAAAGAAGGATCAAATCCGATGCCGAGCCCGCAGGAGGTGGTCAGCTCCACATCGTTGATGTATCGATTTTCATCCCACAGCAGCCTGCGTCACAATCTCCATGCATCACTCCAAGGCGAAAGCCAAGACCTGAGAAATAAACTGATCGACGCTCTGCTGGGTGGGGATGCGCAGGATTTCAACAGGACATTTACCCCAGACCATAATAGAGTTCAGCTTCAACAGCGGCACAGCCCACTGCTCAGTTTGAGACCCGTGCTGCATGCAGGCGGGTTCAACCGTGGAGACACAAAGAACAGGGTCTGCTAAGAATGGATCATTTCGAACACGACTGGAGCTGGAGCGTTCGCATGCTTGAATTCCGAGCTTTGTTTCGAAAAGTCTCGCTTTCGGAGGCGACTGGTATGTGATCGACTGCGAAGATACCTAAACTCCGCTGGAGTACGGAAGACTTCCCATCCACCAAATTCCAATCGAGGCGCCGGTCACTCCGTGGCAAGGGTGTGGATGGCGCCTTGCAGGTCCAGCCGAACACTCCGTCATAACTGAACGCCCCCGAATGTGGTATAGTTCTTGATTCGACTGTCACCGATAGACCGGAACCCCAAAATTAATATACAGATAGTTCGACGCAGGATTGTGCATCCAAAAAAGGAGCTCCAGGGATATACCATGCCGGTGGAACAGGGTTGAATGAACGGTGGCGCCGCTGAGCAAGCCTTCCCTGCAGTGTATCGGCCGGGCGATTTTTTACTGGCAGAGCTGGTGCTTCCCGAACTCACAACCTTCCTTGACCTCGCCCTCCGGTCTTATCCCGTGATTGGGTACTGTTTATATGGTGAATGGTCAGCCAGTATGGTCGCTAACCGCACTGGAACGGGCGAAGCGAGGGACAATAATAAACGCTGGGGCCACAATCTGTGACAGCAGGGCACATGGGGCCAATGGAGCACTAGGACCCGCAAGGCCCATCGACCGGCAGTTTCTGGTTCTCGCTTATACATCATCAGTTGGTTATCACAAGCTTGGGTTGATTTGTGTCTGGCTTCGCTCAGTCTCGAGAAAGATGGGATAGATCTCTTGACATGACAACTTCGAAAACCAGTCACATCTGCATGTATATTCTTAGATTTTGCCGATGACTGAATTCACATCGACTGTCGCGTAAACGGTTCCAAAAAGTATGTGTGCCACTGCCAGTTGCCCAATCAGCGATCTCGCTGGTGTTTTTCCCCTATAGTATTTTTGCTTTTCCGAGGGGTTTCGCATTTTTTTGTAGTCACCAAGGTTTGCGAAGCCACACAGAAATCGGTATCCATCACCCTCGCACTCGACCCACCGGCCTTGTCAAGAGGTGGATGCAAGTCATGGACGGGAAGATCCGAACAATCCGAACAAATCCTGCGGCTTGACATGACATGTTTGATAACAGGGGGTTTGGGGCATGGGGGAGACGCTGGAGGGGTCGACATGCGATTGTTCTTTGGATGTATTGAATCCAGGCTAATTGTCACCCCAATCGATCGGTCCAAGCTAATGTGAAGATCTCCCGGGGGGCACTCGAAAGGATTTGGCTGCATTCTCAGCCGGTTCCCAGGTTATTTAACCACAAGCCGATCTATATAAGGAAGGGCCCCAAAGGATTAAGCTCTGCAACTGGAACGCAACCAAAACAACCAGAAACCCTCGGCCACCGATACTTTGACATTCAATCGCATCCCGTTGACCATGTTCGAGCATCCTACCCTCAATGACCTGCCTTCTTATCAGCCCATCCGAAGGTCTCATATTGTTCGGTCCGTGAAGCCGCTCAGCGGCCCAGAGAGCAACGAAACAATGACAGTGAGTCGACAACAGAGGCCCCGCGACCTTGAGCACATCTAACCACACCTCATGCTCCTAGATGCCCGGCGTTCGCTGCCCAAAATGCCAAGGCTCAGGAAAGGAAGTTTGGGTCATTCCAGGCAAATATTGTCATATTTGCGGGACTCCTTGCTGATGGGGTCATCTCCAGTAAGGCAGCCAGCACCTCGAAGCGCGGTCTTGTTTCTTCAGCATTTGTGACTGACAAACTATGTGCAGGTTTACCGAAAATCACGAATCCCTCCCTGGAATGGGGGACGACCCGAGGGGGCGCAACACTCCAACACCGCCGCATCAAGAAACAGGCAACTGCAACGCCTTTCGCATTTTTTGCATTCGCCCAATGCGGGACAGTGATATGGACGAAACGAACATCCTAATTACCGTCACCCTCGTCGTATCGAGGGGCACTTCCCTGCTGACCCGGTGGGGAATGCGCGCATGATACAGAATGGGTACTGTACCATAATAACGAAGACAAGCGAGAAACGGGACAATGGATCAATCATGGGAAAATGTATTTCTAGACAAAGTCCAGGCTCCAGCATCTGGCAGGTAATAATGGGAATAATCACTGAGTTTCCAAAGAAAAATCATATTTGTCCATGGGCGGGAGCTGGACCATTTGCCATGTATGGCAGTTGCATGCTCTCCGTTGCGCCTTCCTAAATGGGTCAGCTACTGCAGCCTTAATTTTCAGGCATGAATGTTGGGCCCTTCTCAGCCTAAGGCAGCAGTGCTGTTGTGCTTAAATAACGTCATCGCCCTGAATCCCCACCAACTACTGACGGGGAGTGTATTTCCAATCCATCGTGTCTCACCTTCACATCAAGCCAAGAATACGTACCTCGAGGATAATGGCAGAAAAATATTCCATCGGTTCTCGCAACGAGTGCGAGCGCCTCGTCAAGGACTGGGGTTTTAGACATGTTTTCACCTGGGCAGATGGGAGGTACGTCGAGTTGCTCCACTATATATGCTGGAAAATATGTACGTTGGCTCTGTTGCTGCTGCTGACGAGGATAGTAATGCATACTACCCTCCTCATACACATGGCGGCCTAACAACTCATCTCATCCGCCGTGGTACTTTCACAATTACTTATCCAGACGACAATGCTAAGCTGCACAATGGGGAGACCAAGAAGGAGACCTTTGGAACAGGTGCGAGGATAGATGTGCCGGCTGGTAAGCGACATGAGGTTTGGATCGGGGATGAGGGGTGTGAGTATGTCATAGGTGAATAATAAATTGTTCTCTATAATCCTGCATGACATTCTTTATGCATCTATATCCCTTAAGATGTCGTCTAAAATATACCCGCTTCGCGGAGGTATCTGGCAAGTCTATCAACATAAGCAAATATACAGAGTAGGCATAGCCCAAGGGCACTTCAAAGGAAGTTGTCCCGACATCCGGTGTCGGACTTCTAGTAAGTAAATCTAAAATCGAGTCTGGAGAGGCAATTAGTTACTGTTGAGGTGCATATGTGGATAAGACCCATACCGTTTGTTTCCTTTGTTACTATTAGCAGCCAGATATGCTGTCCGTTCGTCACTCGACATCCTATCCCATATTTCTGCCCTCTTCCTGTGACATATATTAGCATGAATAAATAAAAGCATATCTCTTGGGTGTACACATACTTGTTGCGCCACATGTAGTAGTACTTAGCTCCGACGAAGAGTGCCAAACTCCAGGCTGCCAGGGCTATAAGAACACGATTTCCAACACGGTAGTGCGGCTTATCTTGTTCTCGATATATCTAGTCTCCAGTCAGCGATACGAACTCAATCAAAGAACGGACGCGGGGACAGCTGGGGCCACTTACGTTGTTGCCAATGATGTTGGAGACTTGAACCATCATGTTGTACAACGCACTAGCAACTGTCCTTGTCGACACGGATCCCGCATTTCGGGAGGTCATGGCTACAACAATAGCATGCACATAAGGAGCGCCAATTAGGATCACGTTGAGAATCCATAATGCCCATGGACTAGTGTTGTCTGGAAGGACAGCGAGTGCGATCAGGGGGACCAGGCACCAGACCTCAGCAACAATTCCGAGCAGGAAACGGATATCAAAGCGCTCAGAAATCCATGTCCAGAAGAGAAGGTTGATGATGAAGATCACGTAAGCCGGGATGGTCAGCAAATTGGTTTGGAACGTGGAGAATCCCAATGACTTCAGTTGAATGGAGATATAACTCGTTGCCGGGGTATTGGGGATCATCCAGGTCAAACCCAGTAAGTAGATGGGCCACATATCGTAGTCCCAAAGAGCTTTCCAGAGCATCTTGGGGGTGACTGCTTGGCGGTTGTGCATCGTTCCCTTACTAGGGTCGTCTCGGATAATCCGATTAACTAAGATCTTCTCCTCATGCTCATTAAACCATCCATTCTTACCCCTGAGAATTCCCTTTGTCTGGGTTGGTGAAGGGGGCATCCAGAAGGCGGCGATAATGGCAATAACTCCAGTAATCAGACCTTCGTAAGCAAAGAGGTATCTCCACCCGCCGGTTCCATCATCCCGTCTAATATGGAGGAATCCAAATGCGAGGAAGGCGCCGATAATTGCGGTTCCTTGGTAGGAGACCCAGAAAAAGCTGAGTCGGATTGGTAGTTCCTTCGACTTGTACCAAAACGAAAGAAATAGGATCGTATCAGGAATGCTGATAGCCGTTAGTGAGAAGACAACTTTTAAAGGCCTAGCATTAGGGTTAACTCACAAGCCACCCTCAAACAATCCCAGAAGTGCTCTGCAGACGTAGTATCCGGTCTTATTTTCAAGAAAAGCTTGGCAAGCAGCAATCAAGCTCCAAGAAAACATCTGTATGGGAATCCATCGGTCCGGTCCGAGCTTCTTGGATATCAGCTGAGATGGGAGCTCCGCGAAAAGGAATGCGCAGTAAAAGATTGTTTGACCGGTATTGTAATCATTGGTGTCCATTCCGAGGTCCGCAAGCATGGTATCAGATGTTGCTTGAACCACATTGCCACGGTCCAGCTGTAGCGCAAAGAACGTGATGCACGCAAATGTGCATACTCTCCAATCAATCTAGCCTCTCTGTTAGCGCCTTTTCATGACTCGGAACCGATATTTGGAGTATGGACGGAGTATACCTTTCTGATGAGCCTCGTCTCTTCTGCCTCTGTCCAGTCGAAGTCGGGGTCCCAACGGTGTATGCCCTCGTATTCTGGGATTGGTTTATAGAATCTCGGGTCCTCTGTCTGTTCAAATGCGGCCTCGCTGAATTCCTTGAATCGCCTGCGATCCTTGCTTTCGGAATTCGAAGAAACATCTGAATCGACGATGGCATCTGGACCTTTCTTGGCCTCGTCATCGACAGGGGCAGCAGTAGTATTGATCTCATTGACGACGGTGGCATCATCTACAGCCATCTTGTCGTTCGAGCTCGCCATCGTGGGAGACAAATCAGAGCAACTGGGTGGTGGGCTAAGGATTTTGGCAGTATGAACAACTCCGCGGAGTACGGACAGTCGGAGAATTTAAAGCGTCCTGCTCCCCGGTCTGTCATGTTGGTTGATTTTTTTTTTGTTTCCTGCTTCTTCGCCCATTCCATCACGCCATTTGAACATCCATTTCGCCAACGGCTCTAAGAGATCGAGAGCTGCCCACATAACTGTGGATAACATCTAAGCATAATAGCCAATGGTCAATCGTGGATTAAGAGCGCAATGTGGGACGAAAGCAGAAAGTATGGGAGCGGCCTTTTTACCCACCTGCGAGATTCCGCAGTATTATCTATCCCCTTTCCTTTTTGAGTCGCAAAACATTGTTCTAATTGGTAAGTAGACTAACCTTTTCACGACAGCACTGTTTCCGGGCTTGTCAGTAATGGATGCAGTATCTGAAACGTCCAATAATAATAGACAAAAAGACGAGCAAGGAGGAAGTTCGGCTTGTGCTAATTCTGGAACACGAATAAACTCCGCATAAATCGCAGCCGGAAAGACGCCGAAGTGGAGGCGGAAGGCGACGAGGATGGACTCTCCGAAGAGATTCTATCATAATACAAAGCTGGTCCAGTCAGAAATCCTCAACTGGGCCGCGGTAGCCCAGAGCAACATAGGAGCTGGCATCACGCAAACTATGCGGTGGTTGCGTTATGAGAGACGAGTAAGGAGAGAGGGATGATATCAAATGCACGTTAGTGTCTGTTTTAGCTTTGTGCAGACTGGAGCCACATGGGAGTTTTCGGTCGGCTATCTTGAGGCTGGACATCGTCGCCTTGAAAGTGTTGAGATTGGCCTAAGAGGGTAGTATATGTCGCCATCGTCGCCGTCGTCACAACATCTATCTAACCAATGATTGGTGTCCGGCTGTTTCCTAATTGATTCGGATGTCTAAACGAACCAAGCTCGTCAGTCTTGGTTCTTATGGAGAGTTTGGAGGTGCCTTGACTTCACTTCAGCATCTGGTAACTCGTCTTCCCCAGACACACTTCGGATAGCCGATGTCTGTTTGACAACAAGGACGTCTAAATGAACGACGATTTGAATTCAGAGCAATTGTAGTGGAGCCGCGGGTGGAATCAATTGGCGAGGCTTGTTCGAGGCTCGAGACGCGGCTCGGTTCGGTGGAGTGATGAAGCGCAATCTTGACCGTTTGCGCAAATAAGAGCGACAATGGCGCCATGCTTGGCCCATCAACTTGCTCAACTTGCTCTCTGTCTCTCCCCCACCACTCCTCCCACCACGCTTTGGACTCTTGCCATTTTCATTGTCAGCCACGGAGCCGAATGCAAGTCGCTTCACTATTGTTTCAAGATTGATAAACAGGTTAAAAGGCACTCTCTGGCAACGACATGGGGTTCGCCGAATCAAATGCACGGACGATATAGACAATGCTCATCGCTCAGTCCCATCACGCAATATAAAAACAGCTCGTTTTTATCTGATCTGCGCGTTGTTCTCGCCCGAATGACTCCAATTACCTATTGCGTTATGTGTACGAGCATCCTCTTGTAGTTATGGAATATGAACCCCGCCTTGCTGAGTCAAGGCCTATCCAGACCAGGGACAAGGATCAATCATACCCCGCAGACATTGCGCCAGAGTGCCTGCGAACCGGATAATCGGATGAGAGGGTGACTCTATATAACTCGCCGGTGGTCCTCAGACATGTCTGTGGATGTTTCCAAGAATAAAGAGTTAAAAGCTGGCAATTGTTCAAATCAAACATAATGGCACCATCTCTTGCTGAGCCCGTCAATAGCCTTCGCGCACCACCCAAGTCGCTTCTCAAGACAAATGGGGGTCACAACAAGGAAAACCTGATCGGATACGGAGAGACCTACAAGCATGCGGATGAGATAAAGGGCACCGCCAAATACTCAGCTGCATCATTTCCCAATTACCTACCCGTTTGGGACAATGAGACCGAAAGGTCAGTATACCAATGAATCATATGCTAGAAGAGCATATCTAAATAGTTCTTGAATAGATACCCACCACTACAGCCCTTTGAGCACTACGAACACGGAAAGGATGCCGACTCAACCTTCCCGGATCTATTCCCGAAGGATGGAGACTTCCACCTGGAAGAACTCACTCCCAGCATCGGCTCCGAAGTTAACGGTGTCCAGCTAAGCCAACTGACAAAGGAGGGCAAGGACCAACTCGCCTTGTTCGTTGCTCAGAGGAAGGTCGTAGCATTCCGCGACCAGGACTTTGCGCACCTCCCCATCGACAAGGCCCTTGAGATCGGCGGCTACTTCGGCCGTCATCACATCCACCAGGCCTCCGGTGCCCCAAAGGGCTACCCCGAGGTTCACATCGTGCACCGTGGAGCAGAGGACACCAGCGGCGCTGACTTCCTCGCTGGCCACACCAACTCTATCACCTGGCACTCGGATGTTACCTTCGAGGAGCAACCCCCCGGCACAACCTTCCTTTACGTCCTCGATGGCCCCTCCAGCGGCGGAGATACTCTCTTCGCAGACATGGCTTCAGCCTACAGGCGTCTCTCCCCAGAGTTCCAAAAACGCCTCCACGGCCTCAAGGCTGTGCACTCCGGTGTCGAGCAGGTCAACAACAGCCTGAACAAGGGTGGCATTGCCCGTCGTGACCCTATCACAACAGAGCACCCCATTGTTCGAACTCACCCAGCAACTGGCGAGAAGGCTCTCTACGTGAACCCTCAATGTATGCTCCCATCCAATTCACGCCTCAACTTCAAGACATTAGAGCTAATCGTCCGCACCAGTCACTCGCCACATCGTCGGCTACAAGAAGGAAGAATCTGATTACCTTCTCAAGTTCCTCTACGATCACATCGCTCTCTCCCAGGACATCCAGACCCGCGTCAGATGGCGCGCTGGTACCGTTGTCGTTTGGGATGTAAGTTACCTCACCTCCCTTATCTCTGCCAATCTAAAGCTCCACCGGCTGACTATTCTTTTAGAACCGAGTTGCCTGCCACAGCGCACTCTTTGACTGGGCCGACGGGCAGAGACGCCATTTGGCCAGAATCACACCTCAAGCCGAGCGGCCATATGAGACTCCGTTTGAGGCTTAATTGGCTGGTATCGCAATTATGAAGTTGACGTTGATGATTTGACGGTTGGCACTATGCATACAAATATTGTAAATAGATGAACAGAGTGTATATGTGGAGCGAAGAATGGGGAGCTTAAATTGCGCCCCTTGACATGCAGAGAGCATGGATATCAAAATTATATACCCAATTACAAATGAACAGCCTTGCTCTTCCAGGTTTATTGCGAAATGCCTTCTCCATAGAGTAATCTACGTAATGGAATTATTTGGTGGCTGTTTCACGTCTCTTTTCTTAGGGCTAGTCCCATTTGAGCAAAGTGTGCTTCAGAAAACCCCAAATAATGATACTAATTCGCATCTCGCCATCGACATGTGTAACACTGGGTTCTGCATCACGAAGCCGTTAACCACCAATTAAGAATAAAATTCAGGTTGATGTATAATCTAAGTCCAATTCAAGTCTTTGGCATTGACCCATCTGCCGCCTCAGGAGGTGTAATGAAAATAGTTGGAGTGATCAGTGGATGATACGACCCCTCGCGATTCGAAGATCCAGAGGGTAAAGAGTCTGTGTTTGTGATAGCAGATTCATTCGGGCGTTCTGTATCTGCTCCGATATCGAGTCTAGCGAGAGCATCAGATAGTGGATCGACTATAGCCTGTTTATTCGTTGTGACGGTCGAATCCTCGATGTGCTCCCAACTAACGGTGTCTTCGTATTCCCCGCTTGAATCGGGGGACTGTTGAGGGGTGCGCGTTGTGTCCATGTTGACGAGAGGAACTATTTCAGGTCCTAATAGCTGTAAAGATGCTCTAACGTGGCTATTGCAACGATTGTTAGTTCTTGGTGTTTAGATGTGGCATGTTTTACCACTCACAACAGCCCTACGCGTCTTGAAAGACACAGAGACAGCCTGAATGAGTGATTCTGGTTTTGTAAATGATGTAGTTATGAGAATGTTGAATGACCAACACCAATCGCGAACGGAGTGGACGCTGGTGATAGAGCCGCAAAACACCCACTGAACCTCTTCAGGAAGGAGCCCGCCTTTGTTTGAGATCGCAGGTGGCGCCTTCCCTCAAGTATATTTCAGTCTCTCAAAACGGTGCAAAATTCCCACTTTCCAGTGCCCCTGGAATGTTCTTGCTGACTGCGGAAGCATTCTGTTGCTGGCCTCCAGTGCAGCTAGGAGAGAGTCGTAGGTGTTCACGGGAAGTCTCAGTTCTTCCAACGACAGAGAGGACGTCTTCCCAGGCTCTGGATGAAGTAATGCCTCAACGTGATCCTTAGTTTGGAAGAATATCTTCATAGCTCGCTGCGAAGCAGTGCTGTGTTCCGAACTCGAGTTGGAATATCGCATATCTGGGTTGAAAACCCACAACTACACAGCAGTCAACCGACTAGGCCAGGGATGAAGTCTCAAAATGGATTGGATGACTTACCAAAAGACCGTCTTTCTTTCCACAGTGGATGATGAATCTACGGGCGCTCTCGCGTTCGATGAGTTCCAGCAGCTGGGCAGCGACCACGAGTTCTGTCGGATGGCTTTCCCAGTGTACTCCCTCGGGTTCTTCAGTCGATGGAAGCTCTGCATCAAGGCTTGTTTTGAACAGTCTCCATCCCTTGGCTATGGTGTCTTGCACGCCAACCAGTGCGTCACACCCGTCACATAGAACCTCTTCGTCAGGTGGCAGAAGAGATCCATCGCTGCGTTCTTTTGTGACCTGATAATTTGGAACATTAGCAGCTATTTCGACCAAGAGATGTATATATATTCAAGTGGTAGGAAATTTCGAGATGAGGTTCTATTGAGGAGTAACTACTAATTCGCTTGGCTACAGATAGCTGATAGGGACCCCGCATGTACCTTGTCATAATCGCGTTGATGCCATCCCTCTGGATCAAACAACGAAGAAACAACGAGGCGCAGTCTCGCTCTGGATACCTGCAGCATGCAAAGGTCACAACATTAATAGACAGGAATAGAGTGCGAAATCCATCTGGTGAGGATAACTCGGCACAAAGCCCTAGTCGTATTACTGTTATGACCACCATCCATGCTCAACGGCACTGGAGACAAGACATTTAGCTATAGGGCAATTGTATCGAAGGCCTGATCATGGAAGGGACAAGGTCTCCTTCTTTTTGCCCAGCAAGCGTAACTAAACATTGGTGCGGGCACCTCCTACGACATCACAAGGGGAAAATAACGCCGAATCGCGGAAATAATGGGAAATAATAGGGAGAGAGTCCTGGCTTACCTTTTTTAAGTCCTTACAGTCTATTTCGGAGACGAGAAACGTTGCCACGTCCACAAGTACAGTCCCTGGCGTTGCCAAAACCTGGTTGGATGCACCATAACCCTTGACCTTTGAATTTTCATCCTCAGTCGAATGCTTATGAGCACTATCAGCGTCGTCCTCATGCGGATCCGGCTTATGGCAATGCCAGAAATCCATCATCTCAGCCCAGTTCCCGCTGGGCAGGTCTTTCCACACCAATCCCAAAGACTGCATCGTGCTGTTCTCGTTAGACGGAGACGTGGTTGTTGCAGTTGGCATATCAATAACAATCCTCTCGCACTGTCTGCATCGTAATTTAGTAGAGGGCGCCATGTCGCCCGCAGACCACGGAACAAAACTATCCATAAGCTCATCCACGGCACTCCGCTGCCTCAATTCAGCATCATTATCGACCTGCATCCGGTACGAGAATTCCCTCCCGAGACCTGCATCCTGCCCAGTACCATGTCCATTCCGCGCCGCATTCGCACCCGTACCGCTCAAAAGACGCCTCGAGCCCTCCGTAACCCTCGCCGGCAACTTTATCGTTTCCGAAACACAGCCAACCGGTTCAGGCAGGGTAAGCGACGCCGACACAGCGCGACGCGACTCGGACAAAGCGATCTCGGGGTGTGAGCCAGCGGGCGCAGATATCTGGACACTGACTTGGCGGATATTAGGCAGGTATTCGGCGTGCAAGCCGAGCGGTCCTGCTTCGTTTTCCGTGCTCATTGTGGTGGTATGGTCTTGCGGTTGAGAGAGGTTGTGTTGGTTTCGCGTTCTGGCCAATTTAGTGGTCAACAGGGCAAACAGTGCAAACCGGCTGTGCTCCACGTGACTCCATGGATATGTTTCTGCCTGAGGCATTATTCTACTGTTTATATATCTTCTAACTATCCATAAGTGTGCCGTAACTCAAAACAATTCTTGTGGTTTCATAATACTATATAACGCTTAGCTTAACAGTGCCTAGTTAACTCCTAGTATCCAGAATGAGAATCATTACTTTTAGCCAAAGAGGGGAATATAACCAACTATATAGGAATACAACACAAGAAACATTACAAAAGTTATTTTTAAATCCGCGGTGGGAAATTATACAAACCCACCCCATCCGGTAAACCCATCCGCAAACTTGACAGCAGCCTTCAAATAGAACCCATCGGGGTCGCCCCACATCTTTGCCATATCCCTGAAGACACGGAGGGCCTTGATATAATGCGTCTCCGTGGAGTGTTCGCCGTGGAGCGCCTTATCCTTAACATAGTCCCAGCCCTTCTTAGTGGTATCATGTTTCCGAATAGTGTCGAGGCGGATTTCCGGTCTTAGCTGGCCGATGTATACAGCCAGAGTCAGGAGCCACCATTGGCGGACAAGGGGGATTTGAAATTTTGCGGGTATTAATGGAAGGAGAACGCGAACGGCATGGCTGGAAGTGAGCACGTGGACAAAGAAGAAGTCGTATTTCTGGTCTGGGGTGGCCGGGTTTAGGGTTGCTGTTAATAGAGCAACGGCGAGTTCTTGGCTTTCTCGGAGGCATTTCATTGCGTCGCTTCCTGTGGGGATCTTCCATGCGTTCCAGTGGTTGAGGATTGTTGCTTCGGCTTCGCGGAAGACGACTTCTGTGTTGTGGTCGCCGGGTGTGGTGAAGAGGTTTGTTAGGCGTTTGTCCGTGCGGACTTTGGTGAGGATTTCGAAGGGGGAATGTGAATAGTAGGATGCTTCAGCTTGGGAGTAAGATGGGTCGTCGAGATATTTGTGGGTTGTTCCGTAGCAGACCGAGGCGAGGGAGAGGGCTTCCATGGCGACTTCGCGGCTAGACACTTCGAAGGCGTAGGCGAGGTGAATGAGCGGGTGGCCGACTGTTTCAATGGTCAGTACATCGATTATTTGGGTACATAGCTGATGTTTACGTACGGTCACAGGCCAAGGCGTTGAAGAGAGGCTCCTTTCCTTCGAACAGGTAATTGGCGACCACCTTTTTCCAGTCGTAGCCATGGCCAACGAGCTCGTCTTCGAAAAAGTCGACATACGCTCGTTGATATCTAGTAATATTCATTAGCCACCTCCGAAGTGACATATTATAAGAGAACGAAATGGCTGGGTAGCTTACTCTCTCTTCCCCAAATAATCCCTCCAGTCGTATGTACTGATCTCACCCGGCGAGTCGGTCCACCGATCCAGCGGCTTCTGCTCATGCTCATACAGGCGATTCAAGTTATCCGCATCAGCACCCAACAAAAAGTACGAGGATAGCGAGTGCGGAGCGTGATTATGGAATCTGCGCTCGTTCCAGAGGATCGCATTGTTCGCGTGGTTGAGCTTAAGCAGGTGCTTTAGAGCTCGCGCAGCCTTTTCGTGCGCTGTGTCGATTTCAACCGCTTCAACGGGGGGTATAGTAAAGACAACCCGTTCACCCCAGGGCAGCAGATTTCTAAGGAAAGCGGATGTGAGCATGGTGCAAGCTCACAATGACACTGCAGATCTTATCTGTTGATGAGGAAAAGCTTGGCGTTGAGGTGGGCTGGCTTGCGCGACGGCGTACGAGGGGGGGCTTCGTTGTTCAGCGGCGGGCTATGAAGTTGGCATGTCCATACACGTTAGCGGGAGATGTTCCGAGTATCAGCGCAAGGCTAGAGGGTGCGAATGCGACTGCAATGTTGATGAAGACAAAGGTTGAGGCGGAAGAAGAGCTGGGGAGAGCTCCGCTGACTGTTGGGACGCATGACGTAATGATATCTCCATCAACTGTACAACCGCCGCCGTCTCTGTAGTGTGGCATGTCAGTGGCTGCTAGTTGTCCGTAGCACTCGGATAAAATATCCAAAATATCCTTTCTATGATCAAAAAGGAACTCGGTTTGTTCATACTACGTAGTACGAGGTGTCATGCCGGTCGATTTGCAATAAGCAAGGCATCTACTCTTCTACATAGGGATATTAACAAAGCTAGGTGAAGCACCAGTGTTCTATGGGTTCGCTCGACGATCTTGTGGCTTGTTCCAGATATGGTTGGTGAATATAATGCTTTAGGTAGTCTAGTGCCGGTTACCTACTAGGAATAAGAAAGTATATGTACATCTATTCTATCATGTGCCACTGCAAGGTCCGGCCGATGCAACTTAAAACAATCGGTGTGGTCCTGTGTATAAAGTATATAGAATATTGTAAATGATTCGGCGGCACGGTTTATTTATCCTCCCGATGTTCAGTAGTACCTTCGTCAATACTTGGGGCACCGCCCACCGCGGCCAATACTTCTGTATCCACGCGTGGCCCAGTAAAGTTCTTTCGGCCATCAACGATCCATTGGATGGTTGATACAATCACGATGATTCCAAATGCAGCAACACAGTAGTCTATATAAAGAATTAGTTTCTGTAATAATTTATATGAAGTCACGGGATACTTACTCATACTGCTGCCCGTCACCGGCAACTCCGGAGGGAACATGAAAAGCACAGTAGTCAGCGCTATATATGCAAGGGCAATCTGCAACAAATGTCAGTCATTTCCATAAAAGCCACGGGTTAGTTGAGCTTACCATGTTCACGATCCAGCCGAGAGTGTGCGGTAGAACGAATGCTCTTTCAGGGAGCATCTGTCTGCCACGGACGCAGTTTACTGCAATCGGGAGGCCATATGAAATATCAAGCATGACAACTGATGAAGAAATAATGGCGTTGAATGCACTGCAACAAGGTTAAATGCCATCCGGATAATACTATGACAAGCTGGGATTTACCTTGAGGAGCCAAGAAAAATGCATCCGAATATGACGACACAGAAGAATGTCAGAAACAGGCCATTAAGAGGGACGCCAAGTTTTGTGTGGACTTTGCTGAAGAAAGGTGAGGCAGGCAGCCCGCCGTCTCTCGCAAATGCATAGTTCATACGGCTGCTTGTAGCCATAATGGCGGTGGCCGCAAAGACAAGGCAAACGAGTGGAAACCTGGAAGTATACATGAGAATTAAACGGCATGGTTATGAGATTGATAAGTGAGAACGAACATAAGAAGACAGATCGATCCTGCGTTGCTTTTCGTCGCATCATAGAATATCTGCAGGAGAGGTGTTGCGGCAGACTCAATGACCTGATTGATGTCTCCTGCAACGAAAAGCAAGACGATCAGGAAGATCAACCCGGTGAAAATACCGATGAAAACGCATCCGATCATGATCCTAGGTCCGACCACGGAGGGGTTTGGGATTTCTAATATATATTAATATAAAACCGTAAGAACGTTTTCCTTCCATTGCATACCTTCAATCATGTGGGCAACACCATCCTTTAATAACAATTAGTCCAAGTTTCCAAAATACAACGTGGGTAACTTACAAATCCAGTGAGACCGAGACCACCTTGCAGCAGCTTTTAACGAGTCAATTAATCATCTTCAGCTTCAAGTGCAAGCAGTCTTACCCCAAGAAGCCAAGCAATACCATCAGGCCCTAAATTGTATGAGCTTCGCTTTCAATGTCCAAAGGATATATGGTAACGTACAGCCTGTTTGGTTGATGAACTCGGAAAATACGAATTCTCCAGTATGGTAGTTTGGCGATGCGCATGAGAGAACCGTGATAGAGATTATAACGAACCCACTGAGAGACCAGATGACTGGGCAGGTAAGCTCCCGAAAACACCATGCAGGGAAGGACAGCAGGCGACATACAGGCACCTTTGGTGACATGCGGGAGGATGGATCCCATAAAGGCATTGATGACGAACGCAATAACGTTAATTCCGATGTATAGAAGAAACTGGTGCCATTTTTGGAACTCAAATAACTAGCGTACCGAGTCAGCAATAGGTCAAGTGTTAAGCAAAACAGCTAATATCATACCGGGTAAACCAGAGAAACAATGCCCATAATGAGAGTGCTTCCTAGCAGCCCACCAGTAGCTGTTAAAGCCAGCTGGAAGTTATCAGCAACGTTCTTTCAAGCAATTGAACGGCCTTTGCTTACCCAGCCAGAGACATTCGCCCAGCCTGTAATCCATGATAGGGCTGGCATCCATCTGTGCCATGAAACTAAAATGATCGTTTAGCGCGTGCGCGTTGTGCAGGAATTTTCAGGGAGACAAACTAGCTATAATATTCGCAGCGTATCAGTAAGATTATTTCACAGAATCAAGTCCATAGGGGGGATAACTAACCTGCAACCCAATGATACTGTCCGCCAGCGCTATTCGACTTATTAGATGAGATATCCTGCCTCAGGCGGACTAAGAACTCACGTAGGATAAGCAGAGAGGAATTCTGCAAGCGACGCGGCAATGGAAACATTGCAAATACCGGCCGTAACCAGGCCTGGTAGAAGTGATGAGTAACTGAAAAATTCATAGACCAGGGATCATTTAATATCAACAAGTAGATCTTACCCCATACAACACTGGCACAGCCGCCAGACCCAAGACTAAGGTTTAGACTGGATGATAGAGCTGTCCATGACTGCAAAGAATGAGCGATTCGTCCGTAATCCAACCCCCTATTCCTTCTTGCTCTCCGTCACTTTGGGCAACATACATTCAGAATGGCAAAAGCAAGCCCTAACATTGACCTAAATCATGACAAACGCCCATTAACAATCCAATCCTTGTTGCAAAAATAACGTAGTCCAGAGGAAGTTCGACACTTACAGCATTGAAAAATTCCGCTTCAGCTCGGGTCTATGCCCAAGGGCGGCCAATTGCACGTCATCATCCGCTGGTATGTCCTTCATGGTGTAGGGTATGGTTTTCTGGGTGGCGGTATAGATGGTATGTCAATTGAATGAGCAAAGGACAGGGGCAGCTGCTATGAAATAGGCAGCCTGGAGTCGCAGAGGTGGTTATCTGGGGGTAACCACATCATATCGCGTGTCCGGCCCACCAATATCGCGGGGAAGCCCTGTCGTTACATAATGAGGCAAGACGAGGGAATTCGATAACGGGGATGCTCACTTGGGGATGAAACCGAAGTGGAGACTGATAGACAAGCTCATGGAATCTCTTGTCTCGAGAATCGGCGGTTTTCATTTGTTGACAGCGCCGACGGAATGACGCGGAGGAAGACCGACGGGGAGATCGGCAGACGGACCTTAGCTGGGCGAACCGCGGTCGTGCAGGTGAACAGAAAGAGAAGCCGGGTGCGATGCGACGTCGGGAACCCCGTGGATTCAGCCCCTCAGATCCTTAGTGCAGTGCCGGCCTCGCTTTACAGTTTACGATATGCAAGGAACATATGTCAAAGTGTCAATGAATCATGAGGGCTCGGATTGAAATAACTAATCTACATATCATTAGAAAGTATGGGGATACTGCATTGTTCGCATTGTCACTTCGAGTCTAGATGTACTTGCGTAGCTATAACCGAGTTAGCATATTCTTATCGCACCAAGCAACGCGGTGGAAACTTACATCAAGTGTCAGTGATTTACTACTGTTCTCCGACTGGTCCCTGTAAACTCCGACCAGGGCCTCGCTGTTCTGGAACAGCCCGTTCTTCAGGCTGATCACAATGAACTGCATTCCAGGCGCCGCATGGTCGTGAATGTAGTTCGCGATACGAGCGACATTGGTATTGTCGAGCGCGGCATCAACTTCGTCCAGGACGAAGAAAGGCGAGGGCTGGTAAGAATGAATGGCAAACAGCAGGGCCAGGGCGGCCATGGTCTTTTCGCCACCCGAGAGGTGCTCCATGTCTCGGAACCGCTTCAGCGGGGGCATAGCATGGTACTTGATGCCGTCTAGGTACGGCTCGTCGGAGTCCTCGATATCCAAATAACTGTTCAAATTAGGTTTTGGCATTCCATGGCTGGGCGGGGGAAACATACGCTTGTCCCCCCAAGGGGTAATTTTGGCTACGGGTCAACTCCCTATAGATAGGCCCGATCTGCTCGGAAATGTGGGAGAAGGCTTTGTTGAAGAGCTCCGAGCGTCGGCGCATCGCCTCTTCGAAATCGTCCTTGGATTTCCTGGCGTGTTTCCGCGCTTGTTCAAAGTCCTTTTCTGTGCCTCGAAGTTTGTTTTCTACGCTCTCGAGACGCTCCATCGCACGTGCATTCGGCGTCATCTTGTCGAGTTCGCTATTGAGACTTCGGACTTTGTCAAGCAGTTCTTCCTCAAGTTTCTCGTCGGAATCCTAATCTGTTAGAACCCAGCCTCCTAGAAAAAGTCGGGGAAAACTTACCTCCTTAAGAGTGTCGCCGAGAGAATCAAATTCCACCTCAATGCCGTAGTCCTGCACAGCGAAGTCACCATTTGCCTGTGTGTCTTCATCAATGTCCATCGCGTCTGGATCAACTCCCTGGACAAGTTCGTCGATAGGAAGATGGTCAAGCGGGTTCGAATCCTCGGTTAATGGGACATCAATATCCTCAAGCTTGCAACGTCGGAGAAGAGCATATCGGCTGGATGAGTTGCGCTGGATCTCTGTCTCAAAGCCATTGATAGATTTCAGGGTAGATTCCACGTCTCTGCTGCGCTTCTGAAGCTCCCTCCGATGCTGAGCAAGGTTCTCAGCAGAACCACCGTACCTCTCTTTCTGCTCCTCAAGACTCTCGCGGAGAAGCTCGAGTTCGGCATTAAGCTCGTCGAGCTTGTTGCGCACCTCCTCCTGTTCGGCCTCGAGCTCCTCGATCAGGTCTGCATCCCGCTTGTGCTGGGTCTGCAAACTGTTGATGCGATCAGTGGTAGCTTGCAGCCGTTGTTGCTCAAAGCTCAGCTGATTCTCAATTCTACTCTTCTGCGTTGTGAACTCGAGTTTCTTCTGCGCAGCCTCTTCATGCAGTGAACCTTGCTGCACTTCATACTCGCGAATATCGCTGTACCCAAGACGTTTGCAGAATTTCCGGTAGATCTCATCCTCGACGCTGCTAACAGAATCTTGGGAAGTGGCAATGGCCTCGTCAAGCTCATCCAGTGACTCCTTCTTCTCCGTGTACTTGGGCCGAAGGTCCTCAAGCTGTCGCTTGACGAAATCCAGCTCGGTACGTTTGTCCTTCAGGTTGCGTTCAAGGGCTTTGAGTTCATCACGGGCATAGGCGAGTCGTTGCTCCAAACCAACCAATTCACCCTGTAATGTCTCCTCTTCAGTTCCCCTACGGTGACCCTTGGGCAGGTTGGCTAAATCTGCCATGATCTTGTCCTTCAGCTTGAAGAGGTTTTCCACCTCCGAGTCTTCCCAGCGCTTGGAGTTCTGCTGAAGGCCACGGCCACCGGTCATCAAGCCTCCCTTGTGGATCACGGTCCCATCCAGTGTGACGGCCTTTGCATCCACGTGTCTCTCGTAGCATAGGAACTTGGCGGTCGCGAGGTCGTCGCATACGATAGCATTGCCGCAAGCGTAAGTAATGGCTCTTGCCACGGAATCATCGTAGTCAACTGTTTCGATTGCAGGGCGCATGGCACGGTGCATGCCCTTCAAGTTGGAATTCAGAGCTTTGACCTGAATTGTTTCCAGGGGAATGAACGTAGCTTGGCCCGCTCTCTGGTCACGAAGATGCTGGATGCACTCTTTGGCAGTCTTCTCGTTGTCTACAACGATAGCATCGAAATGACGACCCAAAACAGTGCTCACGGCGTCAGCATATTTCTTCTGCTTGGGCTTACACAGGTCGCTAACACGACCTTTAACCCCGGGAAAGATACGCTTCAGGGTCGAGATCAACTCCTTCGCTCGGATTTCTCGCTCCGTCTGTTTCTTGCCATCGTCTGCTTCAAGAAGCTTCTTCAAAACAACCTGCAGTTTCTCTTCATACTCCGTTCGCATCTGCGATACGCGTAGCCGCTCTGATGTGATGGCATTGAGTTCCTTCTTCTTTTTCTCAATATCTTTCGAGGTTGTTTTGGCGGTCTCATTAGCAGTCGCCTTGCGTTCGCCCAAAGAGTTCGTGTCGGTCTCCAGCGCCTGAAGCTGCCATTGCGTACTCTCAAATTTACTCTTCAGGCTGTTGTATGCTTCCACGTCAGTCTTTTTCTGGCGCTTCAGATTGTCAAGTTTCAGTTGTTCAGCGGAAGACCGTTTATTGACTTCTTCCTTAAGCTTATTGTATTCTTGCTGATCGGCTTGGCTGAGCTGACCACCCTGTTTGCTCAAGGTCTTTTGCCAATCAGCCTCCCATTGAGCCTGAGCCTTCTCAACTACCTTGAGGTCCTTTTGTAGTTGCTTAAAGCTAGCTTGTTGCGTTTCGCGTTCCTCGCCGATTTCAGCAATGCGAGAATTGAATCTCTCTGCCTTCTTCTTCGTAATGTCAACCTTCTCATCGATTGGAACAAGGGCATTGGTTGACTCTTCAATCTCCTTCTCCTTTTTCACGATGTTCTTTTCGGCCGTAGCCACGTCGCGACCAACCCTGGCGTGGGACTTCTTTGCCTCTTCGACATTTCGCTCATATTTCTCCACGCCTCGGCGGTATTCTTTCAACTCATCTTGATACTTTTGAATCTCGGCGCTCGAATCGTCAATCATGCGCTGAAAATGGAAAAGCTTCCACAGAATATGGGTAATGATGGCCTGGTCGCGTTCCTCTGCCTTTCTCGCGTAATTCTCGGCTTCCCGCTTCTGCTCCTGATACTGTTTGATCTCTGAATTTATGGCACGGCGGCGATTAAGCTGGACCGTTTGTTGTTCGGAAGATTCCTCAGCCTCCGCTTTGAGCCGTTCATACTCTGCCTTGTACTCCAGACTTCCAGAAATCTGCTCGATAAGGCGCGTAAGATCCTTCGGAGACTGCGAAGCAATAGCTTCCACATCACCCTGGAACACTAGGAAGTTGCGGGCTCTGATGAGAATATTCTCCGCCTCCAGCGCCTCGTTATACTGCTGCGCAGTCACCACACGGTTGTTGATTCGGTACTCGCTCACTCCCTGGCTAGTAATTGATCGCCGCCATTGTTGTTCCTCTCCTGCATCATCTTCGTAGACGGCCATGACCCAGGCGGTCCTCGGATCGTGCGTTCCGCTGGTGTCCTGGGATTGTTCGACGTCATTTTCGTCCTGAGTGGCCTCGACCCCGTTGGTCTCTCCATCCACGGCGTTTCCATCGGCATCGACTTTAGATGTTCGCAGGACACGGCCTCGATAAATAAGATCGCGCAAGTTCGTTGATCGTAGGTGTGAAGATTTAATTCCTAGCACGAATGAAATCGCATCCATCCTAAGACTTGTCAGCGCAAATACAACAAACCGATCGTAAATTCATCGGACGTACGAGTTGGATTTTCCAGACCCGTTGGGCCCGACAATCGATGTGAAATAGGCATCACCAAAGAGCAGCACATGGTGGCCCTTGTAGGACTTGAAATCTGCGTGTAACTTGTTAGCTGTCGCGGTCATGACTTGTCTCGGAGGTCGAATCCACGTACTGTAAAGCTCCAGGCGAATTAGTTTCCCCATCTTGCCACTACGAAGTCGCACTTCGCTGCGACTGTAAGAGCACGACGGCGCTGGGGTAAAATATTCGAGGAGAACACAAGGCGGTGATGCGGAGTGGTGTTGTTGAGGGGGTCCGCGCCCATCGCGTTTAGGACCGCTCCACGCGTAGTCGTCACGTGAGTTTCATGATCTATAAACCGCCAGCCAGTTTCTATTCCTTCTACAACGTACTCATGTATAATTACTACTACTCATGGGATATGTGCGTATTTTAGTGGTTTAGTAGCATATAAAATGAACATAGCTATAGACCAGGCCGTCGAGTTTCGGACTGTGTGCGTCGAGTTCCTAGCATCGAATCGGCTGCCGGATATATAGGCTAGGATCTATCTTTCACCATGAGTTTGAGAATATATAAAAGTTACTGGTAATAACATGGAGTACCTTATGTCATAATCAGAGTTTATATATACAAAATAAAGGTATAATAAATGTTAATCCCCAATTGCGCTTAAATAACGAGTAATAGCTATACAGGTGACCCGAAAGGATCATCATAAAAAAGGGAAAGGGCCTAGTTACTCGGGCGTTTCACCGACACAGGGTTCCCGACGACCAAAAAGTCTTCTGAGACGTAGCCAGCTGAGTCCATCCGAAACGAGCCCTTTTGGCCCTCAATTTCCAAGAGGATAAAGTCCTCCTGTGTGAAGATTTGTCGAACAGACCGGAAGAACCTATACCCAAGCATGCTCAACTTCTTCGTGGGTTCCTTAAAGAAGCTAGTACTCTTCGAGCCTGTCGGATCTTGTGCTCGGTCTGCGCGGTGTGCATCGGGCGATACAACCAGACGGCGTGAGAAAGCAATTTGACGGGGTAGTGCGTCAAATTCCATTGGCTTTAGGAACGGGATCATGCGCCGCACTGTAAAGCGCAGATATGCCTGGCCATTTGAGTTGACTGCCTTGATGCTTTTGATCAACCTTCCGGTCTTGACCAGAAAGACGGTGCCCATAACACTCATCACGACACAAATACCTCCAGCCAAGCCTTGCTGCCACATGGGTAGCGTCACAATTGGATCTCGGAAAACAGCATTAGAATTGTACACCGAGTAAGCGAAACAGAAAAAGGCGATTCCGTAGGCCCCGAGGACGTAGCTGCGATGCGACGGCGCCTTGAATAACATTATGTCGCCTTCTTTAGCGACCTTTCGTTCTAGCTTCGCGAAACCCATTGGGCGACGTCCGGCAAATCTCAGAGTTTCTTCCGGTTGAGAAGAGCTTTTGGGCTGTAATGAAGGTTTCGTTTCACGATATGGTATTTTCTTCTGCGGTTGCTTCACCTTGGGGGCCGCTTTCGTTCGGGAAACACTCGATGAGAAATATCTCCATGTCGGACTAGATGGGTAGAAAATCGGTGGTATAGAAGACTTGGGGCATGGTTGCCCGAGCGCCCTGAATGCGAATTGCCTGGCAAACATTCTGCTTCTACATGAATTGCATGATTAGCTAGTGGTTCACGAACGCCAATGCAGCAATGGAGACGGCTCGAGGCACAGCAGGACATATATCCTCCCCCGGATTGTCATCTTGACGGCAGTTCAGTTGTAGGGATTAAAACTAACCTGAAAACGAAAAAGAAACCCAAACTGGGGGAAGCTCAACGTCTTTCCCGTTGCGACGGTTGAATCGGGATTGTTCCGGTAGAAAAATGTTCCCGTCCCGGCCCGCCGGTGAGATCAAATCGGGACCTCTCAACAACCTCAACGTCTTAGCTTGACGGCCGGCGCAAAGCATTTCAATCGTGAATCGCTAATCGCACGTCCCATCGCCGACCCTTATTCTTAATCGTCGTGGGTGATTGTTGTCGGGATCTTCGCGAATCCTCGACCTCGTCTGCCTCACCCGCCGATCTCGACGAGCTCTTCTTCAGAACCGGAAAACGGACTGCGCCCTAGGTAGCAGACCACAGCCATTTCGTGATACAGCAATGGCTTCCAACTACACCGTTCGTCACATCCCGGGCGTTCTGGCTAAATGCCAGCCCCGCGTCGTCACCCGCACCTCGCGACGTGAGTATTCCCCCTCGAAGCTTAAGCGACGGAAAACCCGACGGAATAGACGACAATGGATTGCGTTATTCATCGACTCTTTCCAATCTACCGTTATATGAGGTTAATCCGTTCTTTCATTCATTTTTAGGCCTCGCTTCCACCTCCGCTTCTCAAACCCAGAACCCCGCCTACCCGCTCTATCCATCTGTCACCCAGCTCCTCCACGAAAAGGGCATCCCCGACTCCGAAGTATCTAAGATCCCCGCTTCAGGCCCCAAAGGCCGTCTCCTTAAGGGAGATGTCCTCGCATACCTTGGCCTCATCGCATCAGACTATCCCGCCTCTCAAGCATCGCGGATCGCGAAGCTCGCCCACCTCGATCTAAGCAACATCAAGATCGCTCCTCCACCGGCACCTGCGGCTCCAGAACCTGCAGCCGAGAAGCCAGTAGTAAAGGCTCCTCCCACAATATCGGTTGCCGTCTCAATCTCCCTGGGAACTGTTCTCCACGTCCAGAAGAAACTCCAGAAGTCTCTCGGCGTGACAATCCCACTATCCACCTTCCTCGCCCGGGCCACCGACCTGGCCAACGATGATCTCCCGCGTTCACCAAACGCTAAGCAATCGTCAAGCGAGATATTTGATGAACTTCTCGGCGCAGAGCCCATCAAAACTACCCGGGGCGAATATATCCCCGAACTCAATGCTCTTGACGGGCCCATCGAGGCACCACCCACCCAGTCAGTGAAGGAAGACCTCATCGACTTCCTCAGCGGAGCTAGCACAAACAAGCGCGCGCCGCAGGTCGTCGATACCGAGTCTTTTGAACCTGAGCAGGCCCTCAATGTTTTCAGCTTGACCGTTCCCGTGGGCGAGGAGAAGAGAGCCCGCACTTTTCTGGAGCGGGTCAAGACTCTATTGACCATTGAACCAGCACGCCTAGTTATATAGACTTTCCTCTCCTAATTTTTACTTTGTAACAACTGAAATAGCGTCGAGAAGATATTCATTATGTACCATTGACTACCTTCGTTATATTTAAAGCACTCCGTACAAGAAATCATAGGTTAGGGCTGATTCGAATACATATATATATATACTGACCCCACGGGCCCACGCCCAACCAACTGATCTACTAGAGAAATCCAGACCATCAAGGATACTACAGTATTACCTAGCTTGCAAACACAACTTTAAATGTGATTTTATTGATTATCCGATCCATCCTAGCAATGCAATGCAATTCCGTCACCTCGGAAGTGTAGCTATAGGTCAAAGGGAAAAAAAAAAACGCAAGCAATGTGCATCGAGGTTTTGCATGTCATTTCGTCATCAATGCTGCAACAAAGAAAGCGTAAAGAAGCAGCTGGGGAAAAGGAAAGAAAAACAAATGTAAAGCAACAGAGCAACAACAATGCCAAGCCAAATGAGGGCTCGCAGTGAAATGAAAACGAAAGCTGTCCGTGAAATAATGAGCAACGCCACGCTCTGTCCATCCTGAGCAACACCATCAGCGCCGTCGCTTACATCCAGTCCCATGGTTGGAGGGAGGAAAGGAGGATTGGAAAGTATTTTCCATGTTAGACTTATGTCTGATATGTCGAGTCAAAAAAAGAAAAAGAAATAGGAAAACAGGGTCGCAAAGGAAACCCTGGGTGACGCTGCGTAATGCTGAAAGGTGCAAAGCAAACGGTACATGAGACGAAGATCCGATGATATCAAAGTCGCAGAGAAAACAAACCACCTAAGAAGCCGCCTGTGAAAAATGCTGAAGCCCACTAAGATGCCACAGATGCCGATTTAAACCCCCATAATGCCAACCCCAGGCCGTTCTTGGGCGTTCACCCAATGTTGTAAAAGGAAACACCAACGCCAAAGCCGAACGCCGCGTCTAATGCATGATGTAGAATTCCAATGGGTAGTCGTCAACAGTGCCCTAGCACCGTAATTGTCAAGTCGTTACCGAATCGTACCCCATTCTGCCAATTTGCTACCTTCACGGCCATTATCCCTGCCAGGTCGTCTATTGAAAATTTTCCAGAACCGTAGGGTCTCATCACCGGCACCTGTGACCACTGTTTGACCATCGGGACTCATGGCCAGATAAAGCACTCGGAAGGTATGGCCCGTTAGCGACACAATTTGCTCCATACGAGGATATTTCCAGATGACAATCTGGTTTTGGCTATAACCATGAGTACTGATGATCTCATCAGAATTCTTCGACCATGCCAGGTTACAGACTTGGCTACCAGTGTCAACTTCCCTGATCAGAGAGCCTGTTGATGTGTTCCAAAACTTGATGGTTCGGTCGGCTGTACCTCCTCCAGACGCCAGGAGATGGTGTTGATGGGGAGACCAAGTGATAGCCTTCACGGCGGCAGTATGATCAGAGAAACGGTAGAGAGGTGTCTCGTTCAATTTGTCCCAAACCATGAGCTTATTGTCGTTGCCACCAGATGCTAGTTGGCCATCTTCTGTATTCCACCTGAGCCCACACACCTCCTGCTTATGGCCGGAAAGCCGACGAAGATACTGATCTGGGGACCGGACATCGCGATGATATATGTGGCGATCTCGTGAGCCTGAGGTGAGGATATGATCATTCCAAGCAAGTGCGCCTACTCGGTTAGTATGCCCAATCATAGTACGTAGGCGGCGACAGCGCTCGGCATCCCAGATTTGTACGAGACCCTTCCCCGTGCCAATAGCAAGATGAGTACCCTATTTGACCATTATTAGCACAAGATTATGAGTTATCAAGGAGCAAAATGGAAAATTACCCTTTGGATCCAGTTGACACTAGTCACCGTGTCGTCCTTCAGCTCACAGAGCTTTGTTACCCTGCCCGATTGTGAATTCCACATATAAACCGAGTTTCCCAAGCCGACACCCAAAACGTTACTGCTCCCCCAGTCGACTAGATTCAAGTAGAAATCGTCCTGTAAATCTGGCGCGTCGAGGACTTTGAATGGTACTTTGTTCACATATCGCGGTTGTTTGCGCGGGGTTTCAAGTATCCTTTGGCTGTCGTATCGAATGGGGGACAAGCTGTAGAGTTCTGAGCGAACATTGAGATTAGGGCCATGTTGGCTGCGCGGGGTCTTAGATGGTGTGGGGTGGGCTGATCCAGCTCGTGGTGAGGCGTAATTAAACATATTTTTATGAGGGGTTGAGGGGGTGATACTGGCGGGTGGAAGGGACGATATAACATGTGAAGGTGGGGTATGAGAGCGAGTTTTGTCGTTGATCCCAGACGCAAAACCGCGGACAGGGTCAGGAGATATTGAATCCAGATCGGCTTGAGGAACTGTATTTCCGAACATCTCGCTGCGCAGGACCTGCGAGTACATTCTGTTTGCTTCTTCCGCTAGAGGGATATTAACATGGGGCGCCAAAAAACTGGCCAGGGTGATGAAACATACTCTTTTGAAAATGGAGTTCGGAGTGGGGAGTTCGCTTTTTGGTCTTGGATGGTGTTGAAGGACAGCCGTCCTCGTGGAGCAGACTGTAGGTAGCTTGAAGATCTTGACCTTCCCGATTTGGTATGAATCTTTAAGGTGGGATGGTAGTTAGCGACAATCATTCTGGACCAAGTGTAACAGATTTAGATAATGCGTCTTTACTCACCGGTCGCCATAAACCCTCTGTCGTTTTCGACTGGGGCTAGCGCCCGGCGTCCTTTCACGGGAGCGCCCAGCGTCTTCAAAATCTTTCAACGCTTTTGTCAACGCATTTGGATCAATTGCGCCGGAGCTATTTCGGCTATTGTGCTGTGCTCCCGTTGGCTCGGGGAAGAAAAGGGTAGTTTTTGCTGGCATGCTTGGGGGTGTTCTTGAACCCGGGGGAGATACAATATGTGTTGCTGCTGGTCGTGCACCCCTCGCAATACCACGAGTTGTGGGATTACCCGGCTCTCTGTTGCTATCTGACATGGTGCCGGGGGCGAGGAAAGGGCTCAGAGGAGGTGCTTCAAACGGCGGTTGAACGCAAGATCAGTCGAAGTCGAGCGAGCAAATGCGACAGGTCTCAAATGTCGGACCGCAAGCTGGTGGGCGGCAATGAGCAAATCAAATGTCAATGACGGCGCCTCCGATCAGCTGTAAGGATGAAGAACAAATAGGGGATCGTTGTCATTCAATCAGACGTGAGTTGGTCGTGCAGTTGGCGAATGCAGCAGTTGGGGCGTTCAGCTCCGCTCCGGACAATAATCGAATGAAGTGGTTGGAATCCAGGCGGGAGCGGGTTGAGGGAGCGACGATGTAGTTAAACTGGGCGATAAGGATGCTGGGGGCGATAGTTCTCTCACCAGACGCAAGAAGAAACGGAACGAGTCGGTCGGGACGTGGAGGTCATTGGAGAGAGACCTGCCCACGGGTCTGGTGAGGATGATGGAGATGCAAGTTCTCTTGCCCTCCTCTCTTTCTGTCGGGGTGACGGCCACCACCGTTGGAAGGGGACTTCCCTAGATTCGGTCACGCGTCGGGAGCGCTAGTCCTCTTTCGTATACAGGGGGGCTGGACTGTCTGTTGATTGTTTGGCCTCTCTCTTTGTGAACGCCCTCTTCAATGGAGTATTTATTAATAGACAGAGACAAAATTAAACCAAACCCAAGATCACTGTTGAGTAAACAGCAATTCACAGTCTCTATCTGTAGCCTGGCGCTGTTCTGCTCCGGAGTTGCTTGTATACGTTGATTCCTCAGGCCAATATCGATAACGTCTCCCGATCAACACAACAACATTCACCCGGGGCCGGGACTTGGCTTGAAGAACGAGACAGTCGATCTGAACCATTCAATAATCCTGTGACTCAATGATATCACACGGCCACCAGCTCGTGTCGAGTCAGACACCGTGTTCCAGGTTTATTGACGCGAAGCGCCCGCCAGGTGATTGGGTCAGCGCGTTCGACGAGAGGATTGTTGTTGTTTTGTTGCTCTCCCTTCTTCCTACGGGTTCGTGATCGGTTTCGCGACTTCCTCGCATTCCACGCGCCCTGGAACGCGACGACGCTCGGACCACAAACGCCCCTTCTCTGGCTGAGAACGTCAATAATGAACTGCTACACTTGGCACTTGTAACTTGGAAGCTCAGGGCTGTGCTTCGAAATTCTCCGCGTTTTTGACTGAAGATGATCTTCTGTCCCACGTTTCGCCTTGTCTCGTTCTCAGATTTCCGACCGGCGATCGGCGTTTAATCGAAGATTTAATCTTCGGGAGGTTGGGGCAAAAAAAATCACTCAGTAATTAACTATAAGTAGTCCTTGGCAAGATATTGTTTTTGTCAATGTCTTGTATAGTTTGCTGCCTATCTACCAGTCTTCTCCAACCCCCAATCTAAGCGCCAACGCCCAACGTGCTATCCTGTTGTGCCACAATTATGCAATACCACAGTGGAAATGTATGGAAATCGTCAATAAGATCATCAATTTCCTCTTCACAGGTATACCAGGCTCTTCCTGCCCTAAACTACGAGCTTTACTAGTTGCACCCGCCACAACCACTTCGTCTTGGAATACCTTTTTGACTTTCAACAGACCAGGATTAAGTCTACTGGAAGGCTTTTATGTTGAAAGAGTACGCGTCAGGGCAGGCATGTTTGAAACAGAGGAAACCATGTCTTTGCATTAGCTAGTTATGTCCGGTAGATGTAGCGTTAATGGCCAGTAAATGTTCCCATGACTTGTCGATTAAGCTACCTGACAGCTGACTTCTTATATTAAAGCCTCAGCCGCAAATGTGTGGTGCTGTATTTTGCCCGCTACCCACCACCTACTAGAAACAGGCAATGGATTGGTCGCAGGCTAATGAGTAGTTATGGCACAATTTCATTTCCTTCCTGCTGAATACACTGTGAACATCAAGCCCCCTGTATTGTCCTCGGTAGAGGCAGACATCTCCTCCGTATGTATTAGCATTATATCAAACTTCAGCGCTTGATCCAACCCCCATTCATTAACGCTCCATGCTTTAGGTAACTGTTTTGAAAAGTTTGTATGGCCAAATAAAAACGCGTGGTTTCAAGATGCTGTACATCCGTCTTTACATATGAAGTTGGATTTCATATCGGCTTGTCGAGTGTCACATGAGCAGGTGAGTGACTGCGATTTCACAGTGTGGCCACAGGTAAACGATATCATGTTATAGCACATTGCGGAAGAAGGTAGGAAATCAACTGTATACTTAATTTCTTTAGCTAAAGTAGTATAGTGAGGATCATGGTAGACATACATTGAGCCTTCAAGGTTGGTTACCAGGTTTCCGGTAGTATTGTGCTGGGTGGCAGAATTGCGAGAGATCAAGAGGGAAATAACAAAGACATGGCAGCCTTCACTGTTATATGGAGGCGAAGTTAGAACTAGACAATCTACAGCCACTTGGAACATGGAATAGGCGGCCTCTGCGTCTTGGCAGATACAGTCATGCGGCCAGGTCAAACTGTTTGCCTCGCGTTATGGTCTATTCTATTGGACTCTTATGTCGTGGCATAGGAAAGGCTGAGCGGGGTAAGTAATCGAAGCTCTGGGAAATTCATTTTATAAGTCAACTCGAGGTTCAGACGCACATGCTTGATACTTGATCAAGGCTGGCGATAGAGATAACACAGCTGGCGCAAGGCTGCGTACAGATTGCAAACTCCAACACGGGAGGTTCAATACAGCTGGATACCAAATATATTAGGAAGATAAATTTCGTGGATGTTAGTTAGTATAAAGTAGTGGTTTGATTCAAATTTCGAAATCATGAACTGCAAATATATAATACGGCGGAGGTGGTAAAACGAGGTTTCACAGATAACCGGGGAGCATATTAGCAGTCCACAGAGAGGCACAAGAAAATCGCAGACAAAGTATGACGCAGTGGTCAGAAATTAGCATTATCAATCAGCTCTCACCCAGCTTCTTGCTGACTCTTAGTTGATCTACTGCGTATAACGACGTAGTAGATGGTAGTCACATGATGAACTAGGTCAATTGGTGATCGCTCGATTAGGCATAATTTCAACAAAAAGAATCGTTGCCTTGCTGATAGAATCAAGTCTTTTGGTATTCTTTTGCATAGATAATACTTGTTGAGGTGCGCCAATAGCTATTGCTTGGATCCTGTATAGTACAGTGGAAGGAGTGAGTGACTGACCGCCAAGCACCGCCTGATCTATGGAGGAAGGCTACGCGAGCTTCTGCTCTGGAGGCTTCGACTCCACTTTCTCCTCGCATTGAGCTCACTGCCATCACAGCTTCTGGCATCCCAAGGTACTCAGCGATGACTTCCAACTTGACCAAGAACCTCAAGCAACCGGCTTTGGACTTTCTGTCCTTTGTCAATGCTTCCCCCACTCGTAATGCCTCCCGTCTCCGGACATCAAAACATCCGGCCGTTATCTAACGTGGAGTCTAGCTTTCCATGCCGTAAATTCCGCCAAAAGTCTCCTTGCAAACGCGGGATTCCAGGAAATAAAGGTATAAGCGGGATAGCTCATTATATAATGTCCAGTTTACTAACTATATCGACAGGAGAAGGATTCATGGGCGTCCACTTGCCGTCCCGGTGGGAAGTATTACTTGACCCGTAATAGCTCAACCATCGTGGCTTTTGCGGTTGGTAAGAAATGGAAGGTATGTGAAATGAAGCCAACTTTGTGATGAATTTACTGATGGAGTTAGCCTGGAAATGCTATTGCCATGATTGGAGCTCACACAGACTCTCCTGTGTTGAGGATCAAGCCAGTTAGCAACAAACGTGGGGAAGGCTATATCCAGGTCGGCGTTGAGACCTACGGCGGTGGTATCTGGCATACATGTAAGTGTTAACCACGGCATTCAAGTTACAAATTTCTAACTGATATTCCTAGGGTTCGATCGTGACCTAGGTGTCGCAGGCCGGGCGATGGTCCGGACCGACGATGGCTCTATTGTTCAAAAGCTGATCAAGATTGACCGCCCAAGTATGTTAATCCCGATTATATACCTCGCTTGCCCCATCTAATATCACTAGTTCTCCGTATCCCAACGCTGGCCATCCATTTGGAGCGCCAGGAAACTTTCTCCTTTAACAAAGAGACCCAATTGTTTCCTATTGCAGGCATGATTGCGGCTGAACTTAACCGTACCGGTCAGTCCGGCAGTGCCGCCAGTGGCGATACTGAAAAGAGCGCTGCCGCCGAGGGTGAGAACGGGGAGTTCTCTCCGCTAAAGGCCATCACGGAGCGTCATCACCCGCATATCGTAGAGCTGATCGCGGCCGAGGCAGGCGTGACGGCGGACAATGTGCTTGATTTTGAGATGATCTTGTTTGATACGCAAAAGTCCTGCCTTGGCGGATTGCTGGAGGAATTCATTTTCTCTCCGCGGTTGGACAATCTGAACAGCTCATACTGTGCTACTGCGGGCTTAATTGAGTCTGTGGCCGATGCTTCTGCTCTGGATGATGAGTCGACCATTCGCCTGATTGCTTTGTTTGATCATGAAGAGATTGGAAGCACCACGGCACAAGGTGCGGATTCTAGTATGCTCCCCGGCATTATCCGCCGACTGTCTGTCCTGCCATCTGGCGCCGGGGAAGCCGATGCATCCACCGCTTACGAACAGACCCTATCGACCTCGTTCCTCCTCTCAGCTGACATGGCACACGGAGTTCACCCCAACTGGTCGGCCAAGTACGAAAACGACCACCGACCAGAGATCAACAAGGGCCCAGTGATTAAAATCAACGCCAATGCACGCTATGCCACAAACTCCCCCGGTATTGTTCTCCTCCAGGAGGTTGCGCGCAAGGCTGCTGAGAATGGTGGTGAGGGTGTTCCCCTACAGCTATTCGTTGTTCGCAATGACTCCAGCTGTGGAAGCACCATTGGACCCATGCTCTCTGCTGCTCTTGGTGCTCGGACACTGGATCTAGGAAACCCCCAGCTAAGCATGCATAGTATTCGGGAGACTGGCGGAACCTATGATGTGACCCACAGCATTCGACTCTTCAAGAGCTTTTTCCAACATTACGCTAGCACTTCGCAGACAATTCTTGTGGATTAGTAGTAGTATATTAGCATAAAGCGCAAATATCACATAAATGACAATGCAATTACCGTTGTTGATGAAATTCTCAGCAATAGAAGCGATATAGAAATGGGTTATGATCGGACCGAGATATTTCCGAGTCCGGCGTCTCCTCATCCCGGGGTTGCTGCCTCCATCGACTTCCCCCCTCAGTCTTATCTCCACACTCCTCACTTCTCCCCGACCCTGAACCACACAGTTTTTAGACTGTAGTGACCGCACTTACTATCCGTCTCGCTGTTGAATAACGGCGCCTGACCTCGGTCCTTTTATCATATCATAGATGTCATCAATGCCCGGATGACCCTCTATGACAACACCGGATGTCTTTCGAGATGCGGAATACATCGCTGACGTGTCCGGCATCCAACATGGCAGCATCACGGAGGCGTCTCCCACGCTCCAGGACGAGCGCCTGAGGAAGAAGCTTCAGACCGCTGCGAAGCTCGCATTCATTGACCGTCTACTCCGCGATCTCGACATCATTATCTACTGCGAGTTATCGGCGCTTTACTACATGGAGTGAGTACTCTTATCGCCTTGGAGCTCAGTCGCCCCGCCCTCAAGCACAGGAAAGGCTGACTTTATTAGTTGTTCAATAGTACTTTTCGCGATCCGGGCTATTGCACAACTGATCTTCTTTACCCCCAAAGCACCTCCTTTCGACCCAACGCGGAATCAGCCCTTTATCGGCGCCATCCTCGCAAGCAATCTCTTTTGCATGATCATTCACAATTTCTTCGGCCAACCCGAGGCCGACGAAACAACGCGCGGCTATTTACATGGCGGAATCCTCATCGATTTTATCGGCCAAAAGGCCCCCGTGCCGCTCACACGACTTTTCTTGCTCGACTTGCTCGTCATGTTCCTCAATTTCGTCATGCTAGGCCTTATAGTAGAGCGGGTAAAAGTAGCGGAGTCGAGGGATATCACTGCGGCTGCCACTACTACCACGCCTGCGGCCACACAGGATTCATCCGCCCAAGCGCAGGACCACGACCATGAGGAGCGAGGCCTCCTAAACCGTGAAACCGAGCCTGGAACGCAGCCAACCAACGACGATAACGAGACCAGGGAGCAGGCCTCCCATCCCCCAAGCGAGGAAGAGCTCGAACGAACCCGATTACTAGCTGACCCAGAAGAGAACGGAGTAGGACACACAAACCACCAACATGCCCTAGATGAGTATTCCTCGGGTGAAGCCGTGATAGTGCGCATGGGGCTGTTCGACGTTATTCGTGACCAATGGCGATACCGTCCTTCTCCCGTACGGCGACCAAACAATTTTGCACCGTCTGACCAAACGGCGACGTTTTTGCGCGAACGTTTCGGTCTCCAGGTTGGGGCCAATGGGCGGTTGGAGAGGATCACGACGTAATCTATCATGGGGTTCTTTCCTTTTCTGTAATCTAACTCAATGGTGTCTTGGTGTACATATACTCTCTAATGCCAATTTTGACGAAAGCTGAAGAATGAATGCTCATTCCTAGGAAATGATATGTTGTGATTGAATTATATGAAATGATAAGCTATGGGAATCTCGAACCTCTAAGAGCATAACACTGAATCGTCAAAAATCAACACCAACAATGCAAGTAAGGAATCAAGAAACCACCGAGTATCGCATAGTCGTATATCTTATCTATATCTGAACGCCGAATATGCCCTTAACAGAGAAAAAGATGAGAAGACGAACGCAGTTAGACAGCCAGCCCTTCGTTCTGGGGAGCTGGGATAGTGGATGAGTCCACCTCCGCTGGCTTCTCTTCAGTCTTCGTGGGCTTAGGGATGGAGTTTGTGCGAACAGGTCCAATTCCGCCAGCAGTGGCAGGGGAGGCGGGCTTGGACCTCGGACCGCCGCCCGCGGCCCTGGCAGTGTCGTTGTTGGTTTTGGCATTTTCAACAGCTTTGCTGCGGGTGGGTTCGTTGCCGGCCTTGATAATCGACTTCTCGGTGAGGTTGAGGGTATCGTCAACCTTCAAAGCAGCGGGCATGAGGTCTTCGAAGCCCAGGATGTGGCAGAAATCAAAGTAGCATTTTGCTTGCTTGGACCGAGCGATGTCCTTGAATTCTTTGTCTTTTCCAGGCACAATAATGTTCATGAGGTATTTGGTGTTTCCGAAGCGGTTTTCGCACTCCATGCCGAACTTGACGTAGGTGTGGGCTACCTCACGCCAGTGAGCGATGCCGCCATCTGCTTCGGACCGGAAACAGGAGGAGTTTGCCTCTGCAGCTGTGGCAATCATGGCGCCATCTGCGCCGTATTCTTGCATCAGGGCGAGTCCATCGTCGCGAGAAGTAACATCTCCGTTTATGACGCAGGAGACACCGGCGTTGTGGCAGGTTTCGACGATCATACGGAGCTGGTCCCGGATTGCACGCTCGCGGGGGCGCATAGGTGTTGTTCGGCAATGAATAGTGAGGCCATGGATCCCAGTTCGTACTAGCCTCGACACCAGGCTTTCTGTAAGTTCAGGTGTCTCGAGAAGACGAATCTTGACCGAAATGCCGATCTGATATGGCTCGCCAACTTCCTTGACCAGCGCTTCAAGGATGGACACAAGTTTATCCGGAGTACGCAGCAATGCGGCGCCCATCCCACCCATCGTACTGAACGGCTTTGGACACCCCGAGTTGACATCGATACCATTTACATCAGCTGCGACCAACTTGCCTGCCTGAACAGCCAGTTCGGGCGAGGCTGTCCCCATCTGAAATATAAGCTTTCCCTTCTCTCGAACTGGATCAATACGGTATATAATGGATTCTTGTGCGTTTTCCTTTTTAATGCTGTTCGACGGCATCCGGGTGAATTCGATAGTGCCATTGCGGGGGTTTACACGCCGCGAGGTACCAATCATCGCTTTATCGATCGTTTCCGGACCCCAAACAAGGTCTGCTCCGTAATGCAGAGCTAGGAGGCGGGATGGCAGTTCTCCGGACCGCACCATCGGTGCAAGTACAACCTTGCCACGGTAGTCGACCCCGTTGGCGGGGATGGGAACTCGTTTCGGGGAAGAAGTCATCGCGGCGCGGAGAAACCTGAGCATAGCATTCTTTGCGTCCTGAATATAGCAAAAGGGGCTGCGAAGGATTGCAGCCTAAAATGGTTTAAGATATGGGAAATAGTCCAGCAAAAGGCAAATGATCCGGATAATATTGATGGTGACTCGGGAGTTGAAGAAGGTGGAGATCAAAAATTCTCATCACGTGCGATAAGAGATTGGTTTGTTTCGAGACCGTACCGCCCGTAACCCCGATCACGGACCGTTCCTGCCAAGAATATCACGCGGCTTCATAATTTTCTGACAGCGAAGACCCACGATGTCGCAATAATGAATGGATGGAATTTTTGGAAGACCTCCCCAACGGGCCCAGACTGCATGAGGCAGGATGACTGCAAATAAGTGCAGGCCATCAAATGGTGGATGCACAGCAGGTGCAGGACCAGTCATGCGAATACAGAGACTCGAAATGATGGCGCTGATGGCGAGGGTCTTGTAGCGTACATTAGGTGTAACTTGCAGGTATCAATAATTACGGGCCGAGCCATCTAGCATCCAACAAGCTCTAAAATTTTTACTGCCAAATTGCTATCTCAGGATCTGGAGCCAGAACTGCCCCTGCAAAGAAGACGAAATTGAGTCGGTTGCTGTACCTCGATAGATAGCTTCAGTAGCGGTCCTGGGAACTTAACAATCACATTGTTGTCGGATTTCAGAACGACCTTGAATTAACCTCGGGAGGTTTGTGACCGAATTTCTTTCCGATCACTTCCACAACCCATCCCTTATAAACCTCAACGGCGCATCGCCTCCGGTCCTATGGTAAGCTCCCCGAATTTGCCTCGCCCAGCTTCCACCGTCCAATTGACCCGATCGGCAAGGTCTCTGCATCTCTAAGTCGGTTCCCCCCTTCGATGCTCGTGGGAACAAGCACCCTTGTCCACGGAATACGTACGACAGCTCCATTGACCCGGCGACTGCTGCCCACCGCCTGTCCGACTCTCGCCCTGACTCGCTGCTCGCCCGCGCCTCGTCGCACATCAGCAACGCTGGCTCCCCCCACTAAACAAGCCCCTCCCTCCTCTCCCTCCTCCTCCTCTCGCTCTCTCTCTTCCTCTAACCCCTCCCAAACCTTGTCATCCTCTTCAGCCTCTCGAATTGATCGTTCGATTGCTTCCGTAACAAACCGTGCCGCCTTAGTCTCTAGACATTTTGCTACATCCGCTACCCCGCCGTCTTCCACAATGTCCTTCACCGTCCGCAAGATCGGCCAGCCCTACACCCTGGAGCACCGGGTGTACATCGAGAAAGATGGCCAGCCTGTCTCTCCATTCCACGACATCCCCCTCTATGCCAACGCTGAGAAGACAGTTCTCAACATGATCGTTGAGATCCCCCGCTGGACCAACGCCAAGCAGGAGGTATGCGCTTCAAAACCCCGTTAGCAGAGGTCGCCGCTGACCAAGGATTGTGTTTAGATCTCCAAGGAGGAGTTCCTCAACCCTATCAAGCAGGACACCAAGAAGGGCAAGCTGCGCTTTGTTCGCAACTGCTTCCCCCACAAGGGTTACCTCTGGAACTACGGTGCCTTCCCTCAGGTACGTTGAAACGCGCAAAGAAAAAGATCACACCGTGTCATGCCAAACTCTAATTCCGTGATAGACCTGGGAAGACCCCAACGTCGTCCACCCCGAGACCAAGGCCAAGGGTGACAACGATCCTCTCGATGTCTGCGAGATTGGTGAGCTTGTTGGCCACCCCGGTCAGGTCAAGCAGGTCAAGGTTCTTGGTGTGATGGCCTTGCTCGATGAGGAAGAGACCGACTGGAAGGTCATCGTCATTGATATCAACGACCCTCTTGCCCCTAAGCTCAACGACATTGAGGATGTTGAGCGCCACCTCCCCGGTCTCCTCCGTGCCACCAACGAGTGGTTCCGTATCTACAAAATCCCCGACGGCAAGCCCGAGAACCAGTTCGCCTTCTCTGGTGAGGCCAAGAACAAGAAGTAAGTTTTGACTTCATTGGTGATGTAATCGTATAAACCCTAACCATCTATAGGTACGCCGAGGAGGTCATCCACGAGTGTGCCGATGCCTGGGAGAAGCTTATCACTGGAAAGTCTGACCGTGGCGACATCAGCCTGTAAGTCATGATCCTGTTTGCAAAACACCGTAATCAGAAATACTAACATAAATTATAGTGCAAGCTCCACTCTCGAGAACTCCGCTGAACGTGCCGACCCCTCCAAGCTCGCTAACATCCCCAAGGGCGAGAACCTTCCCCCTGCTCCCGTTGATGGCACCATTGACAAGTGGTTCTTCATCTCTGGTGCTGCTGTGTAAATCTATGTCAAGCAAAAATTATAAAATGTCAAGTTTTTGCAACGCCTAGCGACTGACCATATAAATTCCCATCGGTTAGAGAAACAATACATTGCAATTGGTCTACCGTATTTCATGCTTTAAAAGATCCTGCAACCCCGTCATTAAGGAGTAACACCAGGAATGCCTTTGTGAAGCCTTGCAACTAGGCCGTGATGCTATCCAACCACACTAGCAATATCTTGTACGAAAAATCAGCTGGAGGGTTACCATCAGCCGGCCGAACCGCGACTACCTGGCCATGGGGTAAAATATGATCTATTTATAGTACGATCATTGAATTATGGCTTTGGACGGGCTTAATGGGCGTATATGAAACGAAGAAACCGCCAATATAGTGCATGACATCCACATCGAAGTAAATCAAGTGTTTTGCATGGTCCATATGGAAACCGCATCGCATGGACAGTCAGATTGCGCATTTTCATATCGCTTCCAGCGTCTGTCCCCTTAAGGTATACAAAGTATTCCAATGCAAGAAATCTAATACCCTAGCGCCAAAGGCATGGTATATTCGCGAACTAATACAGAAATAAAAGTCGGTGCTTCGTAAATATACAAGATAAAAGTACACCCAGCTACCACCTCAGAGACCCAGCAATAAACCTCTATTGCCCTGCTCGCTCCGCTCCATCATCTCAAGTCGTGCCACAACTAACCCTGCAAACTCGCCTCGCGCTCAATACCTCTCCCGATTCGGGAAATCTCATTGACTATATCTCCAATCTTTAGTTGGCGCTTCCCGACCTCGAACTTCACTTCCTTTCCTCCCTTGAACCCCACCGTGATCTCGGGCTCTTTTGTGGAGGCCCGCGGGAGCTGCGTGACTTTGATGTCGATATGTGTCGGGCTGCTAGCGGGGGTTGTGGAGGGATTGCGGAGGAGAGAGAGGATGAGGCGGCATGGCCGCGAGGAGCGGGCGAAGGGGTTGAACGTTGTGCGGAGGGTGGTTATTGTTTGAAGAGGGATTGCCATCTTGTTGGATTGGGACCTGTTGGTCGCGATGCGTTTCTGTCGGCTGTTCGTTAGCTGAGGTTGGTTGGCAAGTTAGAGATGGGAGGGATCGGAACGTACCGGTAGAGATTGATGGTGATGGTATTTGAGATAGTATAAATTATGTGTAGAGGTATTTTAACTTGACTGAGGGCGGCTAAATCGTCAATTGAACGTCTTCTCTTGTTGTTTCACTTTTTGGGCGGGAAAATCCGCGGAGTGGTCGGACACCTCCAGTTTGCATCTAATGCAAACTCCCGCCGTCAGGCCTCAGGAACCCATGACGATGGCCCGCAACGGAATTGGACACATGGATGCTTTTGTATTCTGGATTAGAGCTCGAATGGTGCCCGCATTTCTTCTCACACAAAACTGTTTATTTATTTTATGATGCGACATTAACGAGGCTGTGACGTACTTTGAATCTGAACTTCCTACATATCATACACGGTTGTAAACGTCGCAACGATGTCAACCATTTCCGCACTCCAAACTCGGCTGAAAGAGCTATCTGCTGCTCTCGCTCAAATACAACCACTTGTTTCTCGGCTACACGGCTTTACTGTATTTGTTGGACAGGGGGATGAAGCCCGCCTAGAGCTTGGAGGAGAAATCCATTCCCGACTGAAGGATGCTGAGGATGAGTTGGAGCTATTAAAGGACGATGTCGACGCTTTAGAAACGCCAACAGACTCTAGAAGAAAGGGCGTGGATTCAGAAAAGGAAACGGAGAAGGAGCGGGTTGTTGCGCTGGGTCGGCGATTGGCGAGTGATTTGAAAAGGTAAATAGCCCTATCCACCTTGGGAGTTTCTATACATGACCACTAATTGCACTACTCCTTTACAGGACACGAGGCGACTTCCGCAACGCACAGTTACAAGCGAAGCGGAATGCTGAAGTTGCTCGGCGCAAGGAACGGGAACTACTCCTTTCAAGGTCGGATAGCGTTGAAAGACGAAACCCAGCGAAAGAGAAGTTGACGCAGGATGATATCGTCAAGAATGCCTCGCGAGATGTCACCACGGCGTTGAGGCGAACGCATCATCTTATGCAGGCTGAGCTTTCTCGGAGCCAGTTTGCACAAGAGACGTTAGGTATGCTTCTAACTCGCTCGATTCAAAGAACACTGTTCTAACAAGCCATTGCAGAACAATCTGGTGCTGCGCTATCTTCTCTATCAGAATCATACACTAGCCTTGATTCGCTTCTCTCGTCCTCACGCAACCTTGTTGGTTCTCTTCTGCGTTCGCAAAAGTCGGATACCTGGTATCTCGAAACGGCGTTCTACATCTTAATTGGAACAATTTCTTGGCTAGTATTTCGAAGGCTCTTGTACGGGCCGCTTTGGTGGGTAGTATGGATGCCATTCAAACTGATCCTGCGAGTTATTTTTGGTGTATCAGGGGCTGTGGGCATCACCAGCAAAGCTATCGAGTCTTCAGCGACTACTGGGACGCCTGAAATGTTGGTCCAGGAAACACCAGCTTTAAGTCATGTACCAGAAGCCAAGGCCCATGGCATTGGAAAAGATACCGTTCCGGACCAGGTCCCAGGAATGGAATCGGCGGACCGGGACTGGATAATTGATAAAATTGGTGAAATAGTGGAGGATAATGAGGAGCAAGCAAAGCTGGACGATTTTGCTTCGGAGGAGCTGCAAGGAGAGGCGGACATACCTTCGAATACCAAGAAGAGGATGTTTGAAGCCACCCCAGAAGTAGTGCAACCCCCACGGGATGAATTATAGACAGACAATATATGCTACGATATCAATGAAACAAAAAGATAGTTTAATAATGGCCCATTGCATAACTGTGCATTCCGCTGGGGATTGTCGATCGAGTTCGGATTGGGCTTAATTGATTCCTTGGCAAACGCGTATTGGAGTGGAGACGCGTTCTTTGATGGCCCTTGCGACCCGAGCTTCATCAAGCTTCGTGAGCAATCTTTACCTTATTGCCGCCCAGCAATAGAGCCTTGTATCAGATAGCCAAACTGTGCAATTCTAGCATGGCCGCCAATTTCTTCAACAATAAGGCCCGCGCGGCTGTGGTGTCCGGCAGCTCAAAGCAAAAGCCAACAGAAGGAAAGGAAGAGCAATCGCGACTGCAACCATGGGTTGAGAAATAGTATGTTATCACGCCGATTGAGAATTGCGATGAGATGGCATTGACAATATCAGCCGTCCTAAAACACTAGACGATGTCGCGGCCCAGGATCACACAACAAAAGTGCTCCAACGAACACTGCAAGCTTCCAACGTACGACACCTCTTCTGCGCCCTGAAGTTCCATGCTAACGATTTGCTATACAGCTACCTCACATGCTCTTCTACGGCCCTCCAGGGACCGGAAAAACATCCACTATTCTCGCTCTCGCCAAATCCCTCTTCGGCCCTGCCCTCTACAAATCTCGCATCCTCGAACTCAACGCATCAGACGAACGTGGTATCGGGATTGTCCGAGAAAAAGTGAAAGGTTTCGCCCGTGTGCAACTTAGCCACCCTACAGGGGTAGATGCCGAATACCTTGAAAAATACCCGTGTCCTCCTTTCAAAATCATTATCCTCGATGAAGCGGATAGCATGACCCAGGATGCACAGTCTGCTCTTCGCCGCACAATGGAGCAATACAGTCGGATAACCCGGTTTTGTTTGGTCTGCAACTATGTTACTCGAATTATTGAGCCGCTTGCTAGTCGATGCAGCAAGTTCCGCTTCAAACCGCTGGATAACTCAGCTGCTGGTGACAGATTGTCGGAGATTGCGCGGACCGAAGGCTTATCACTTGAAGATGGAGTTGTTGATAAATTGATAACCTGCAGTGATGGTGATCTGCGACGCGCCATCACATACATGCAGAGTGCAGCACGGCTGATAGGAGCGGCGCAGACTGGAAAGAATGACGGGGAAGATGAGGAAATGAAGGACCAAGGGTCTGACACAATCACAGTTCGAACTATTGAGGAAATAGCTGGCGTGGTCCCTGAAAGTGTTCTGGATGGATTACTCCAGTCAATGCAACCGAAGAAGATTGGCTCGTCATATGAGGATGTTTCAAAAGTGGTCACAGATATTGTGGCGGACGGTTGGAGTGCGACGCAGGTTCTTTTACAGGTATACATTTCTTCGAGCCCATTGTCCACGCCTGATACTGACTACTCACAGCTCTATCGACGAGTTATTTACAATGACGCAATTCCTGATATCCAGAAGAACAAAATCGTGCTGGTGTTCTCAGAAATAGATAAGCGGCTAGTCGACGGTGCCGATGAACATCTATCGATTCTTGATGTTGCTCTTAAGATTTCCGGAATTATTGGTGGATCCTAAAGGTCATTTTGAGCTGGAATATCCGCAGGGAATATGTTACCCTAACAATTCCTCTTCTCGAATATCATGGATGCATATAATTGCCCATGTAGGTACATTCGAGCGGGCCAAATCGAGTGCCACGGCCGCTCATTGGACGCTTTGGGAACAATGCTATATCCCGCCGGAGAATAGTATCACATATCTGGGAGGCTTGCTATTTTCGTGCTAGAAGCGGACTCATCTAGAATAATGACTGTATGAACTAACTCTGGCCATCATGGGACCGTAAGATAGCCTCCCTGAACATCCGCTATAATCTCAGCATATAATCTAAGCCCGTCTTAATCTCCCCGGAGTAAACGAGTCGGCTTATTCTGTATAGTTATAACATAACAAAGGCGTTCAAAATGCCAAGGTTACACACCACAACCGGTTTGTCGTTCGGTGGACGTTGGAGTGAAGACATCGGTCGACAATGGGCCGTGCCCGCCTTCCGAGCGATGACGGCGAACTGTCCGATCATTAATATTGCGACGGCTCCGCCTTTTCACTCCCAAAAGCTTCACCTATACAATAATTTGCAATATAGAAACGCCCCAACTCTACAGAAAGATTTCGGCCTTCTCCTCCCGACCGTCCACTCTTTCTTTCTCGATCCCATCTCGCCGCCCCGAACCCCGCAATGACCGTGCCCCGCTACCTGTCCGGCGATGCTGCGGGCATTCGCGAATTCCTCGATAAATTTGATGTAAGGCTATTCTGTGGCGATTACCCATGGCAGTACCTGATTATGGCTGACTTTCGTGGGATAGGTATTCCTGTTTGACTGCGATGGTTCGTTGTCCTCATTTCCAATCTCCCCGCAACCTTTCGTCGCGGACTGCACTGCCTTATAGAATCACGCTGACATGGGAGGATAACCTATTCTAGGTGTACTATGGTCCGGTGATCACGTCTTTCCGGGGACAGTCGAAACTCTAGAGTTGCTGCGATCAAATGGTATGCAGATACTCCGACAAGCCTAATCAGAACTGCATTATTGATACACCTCTCTCCGCTTACCAGGAAAGCAGATCGTATTTGTCACGAACAATAGCACCAAGTCGCGCGCGGATTATAAGAAGAAGCTAGAGGCATTGGGAATCCCGGCTACCACGGTATATACATACGGCCCATTCATCACCCCCAACTTCATAGGGAAGCAACAACATTAACATGAAGTGAATGTTATAGGAAGAAATCTTCTCATCCTCCTACAGCGCCTCAATCTACATATCCCGCATCCTCGACCTCCCACCCAACAAGCGCAAGGTCTTCGTCCTCGGCGAAACTGGTATCGAGCAGGAACTCCACTCCGAGAACGTCCCCTTCATAGGTGGCACAGACCCCTCGTTCCGGCGCGACATCAATCCAGAGGATTACAAACGCATCGCCACAGGCGATGAATCCCTACTTGACCCAGAAGTCGGGGTCGTCCTTGTTGGATTGGATTTCCACCTGAACTACCTGAAGCTCTCGTTAGCATACCATTATGTGCGACGCGGAGCGGTGTTTCTAGCGACGAATATCGACTCGACATTGCCGAATTCGGGGACTTTCTTTCCTGGTGCGGGATCTATGAGTGCGCCGTTGATTTTCATGCTGGGGAAGGACCCTGTGTCGCTTGGGAAGCCAAACCAGGCGATGATGGATGCAATTGAGGGCAAATTCCACTTTGATCGGAGTCGCGCGTGCATGGTTGGGGATCGAGCGAACACTGATATCCGGTTCGGGCTGGAAGGGAAGCTAGGTGGGACCTTGGGCGTTCTTACAGGTGTTAGTAGCAAGGAGGACTTTGTGAATGGGCCGACTCGACCGATGGTGTACTTGGATAAGCTTTCGGATCTTCTTCATGCTGCGAAATGAGCAAGCATGATGTATGCACATATGATTGTTGGTAGATATAGAAATAGAGTACAGGCTCGGTATACATATAAAAATACAGTCAGATTCAACGCTTTGAAAGCGTTGGCCTGAGATATCCCTGCAAATGCCATAAACCCAAAACTGCATCAACAGTAACCTTGTTAGATGGCCTGAGGAGCACCGCAGACTTCTGGAACCGTGGATGATAAGCTCGAATCTCCTCAAACTCGGCCTTGGAAAAGAGCCGTGAAAGATCGAAAACAGGAACTTTCCTATCTATCCCCGGGAGTGTGACGATCTCCGGTGCAATATCCGCCTCGCCAGTACTGGTATCAATGCCATTGCCAGTGCCATCCCCAAAGACTAGGAAGACACCGCGCTCAATGTGTTCGAACGTCACCCCTCGGGCGGTCCCCTCCGTCGTTAGTCCCTCCAGAAGCGTCTCACCCGAATACGGGTACGAGGCATCAAAAGATACCCATACGTTATTCACATCCCGCTTTTTAAACCCGTCAGATGCACACTTTAGCTGCTTCATCACCTCCTTACGCTTCATCCTCAGCACGAAATCGGGCATATCAAACCGCCAGGCCAGACGCGATTCACAGGCAGAAGTAAGGGACCCGAACGGAGATTTCCAACGGAGAGGGATCATGGGCAAAAAAGGCGAGTGCTTTGCCTTACGGCTGCGTATTACCGCGTTTGAGATTTTCTGGAGGATGGGCATGCGGTCGACCATGCGAAGTCTGAGGCTGCGGCGAGTGGCCGCCTTGCCATTGCCCTCTTCAGCTGGGTCTCCCAGATACTCTTTTATGAGATTAACGGGAAGGATCCACAACCCTTTGCCTTCTTGTTTTATTTTTTCGATTGGGGTGCCTGGTCGAGATTTTGGATCGAGGTTGGAGCCTGCTGCGGAGGCGGGCTGCTCTACCAGCCCCCACTCGGTTAAGAAGGCCTTGGGCATTCGCAATCCTGTGGCACTGCACATGCGGACTGGAGATGCGAGTGCTACGGCCCAAGGGTTGTTACTAAGATCGGAATCGGAGAGGTCATCGCGGGTGGGCAGGCGTTTCTTGCGGTGACGGATGGCGCGGCCGGGATTGGGGTGTGTGATAAGGGGCGATTGAGGTAGAAGTTGAGACGGTGGGATCGTAGGTCCAGTGCTATCAGTCCTATTCCTGCGGTGTTTGTGATTTCTGGTGGTTGCATCGTGGTCTTCCTGGACACGGCTGTTGCTAGAATGCGCGCGACGGGGCAAAAAGCCAGGGTTAGACGAGCCGGATGGAAGAAATAATTGGCGGAAAATTCGAAGACGCCATTGAGCGTATGGGATACGGCTGTGAAGGTGCTCCATGGCGGAGTGGAGGGGGTTGAAAGGAGAGCTGAAGAAATGCAGAGCGGAAACTGCGGTTTTTAGTCTCCGCTCCACAGTTCAGAGTTGGCAGCTCCAACTACAACTTTAACTCCAACACCGCGGAGCTTCATCCACCGTCCCCATTCCTCTAACACCCTTTCTCCTTCCTCTCTCTCTCTCATAACCACTCCTTGTTCTTCACAGTAACAATGAATGTCGGTCGCTCATTACAGCGACTCGGTCTCCTCACCTCTCGCCCTTCCGTGAGGAGCTTCTCAAGCTCCCTCCAAGTTCGGTCGCCCGCGCAACCCCCGCGGGGCTGGACCCCAACACCCTTCGTAACAGAGACAGTGGTAAGCACTTATCTTCTCTTTCCTGGCATTGGAGAATAGATATTAACGATCTATAGGGAGGTGGCTGGCACACCTGTACGTGGATCCTGCAATCAATTACACAAGCACTCTCTAACCGCAGATCTTATGCAGATGACATCTTCTCTAGACTACTCAAGGTACATACATGAGACTTTTCTATACCCTCACTTAACTGGGCGCTACATACTGATTTGGGAATAGGAACGGATTATCTGCCTGAATGGCGAAGTCGACGAAACCATGTCCGCGTCCATCGTCGCGCAGCTCCTCTTCCTCGAAGCCGATAACCCTCAGAAACCAATCCACCTCTATATCAATTCCCCCGGAGGTTCTGTAACAGCCGGTATGTCTCTCATTCTATAGCAACCAACCAAGTCTCCCTTGGGGGGTTAAATGCGCACGTACGGAGTACCTGGTCTAATCTGATTTGATTTGTATCAGGTCTCGCTATCTACGACACAATGACTTACATTGCCTCTCCCGTCTCCACAATATGCGTCGGCCAAGCTGCGTCCATGGGCTCCCTACTTCTCTGCGGTGGGAACGCTGGCCAGCGCTACTGTCTTCCGCACTCGTCGATCATGATTCACCAGCCGTCTGGTGGATACTTCGGGCAAGCAACGGACATTGCGATTCATGCGAAGGAGATTCTGCGAGTGCGGCACCAGTTGAACCGGATTTACAAAATGCACTTAACGGGGAAGAAGGAGATGTCGATTGACGAGATTGAGAAGTTGATGGAACGGGATTACTTCATGGGGGCGCAGGAAGCGCTGGATCTGGGGATTGTGGATAAGATTCTGGACCGCAGGGTTCAGAGCACTGCGAACGGAGAAGAGAATAAGTAGTAAGAATAATAGACAACACCGAGAGACATCTACTAAAGAGGAGGACCGTGTTAATACCCGTGGCATGTTCCTTTTTTTTTTATGAAACTTCAAATGTAATATTAGTTCAATGATATGTATGACAAAGTCTTAATGCTCATGAACCTGTGTGTCTAATAGTAAGGCCCAAGTATGGGGGGAAACAAAAAAGCCTAAAACGCCCCTAGTATATCGAAAATCGCATCCCCCAAAGTTAGGTCCAGGAGTAGGACCGTTGTACCTATATGCAACAAATGCATCACATCCAACAAGACAAACCATCCCCAATTAACTGGCTGTAAGTGCACCACACCACAAAATGAAGTAATGCGAGTGTCTAGACCGCACCGCTAATAAACAACCTAGATAAAATCAAACGCGAAAAAAAGAAATAAATGAGGTAGACGTTCAGGATGTTTCCTCCTTTTGCGAGATATCTGCAAGGACCATCTCCTCAACGGCCTTCATACCGGCTTCTTCGGATTTCTTAGAATCGGCGCCCTCCTCGCCAGCAACAGCTTGATCCAGAGCCAACTTTGTCTGTCCGAGGGCATAAATTTGTTCTTCAATGGTGCCCTTGGTCACCATGCGAATGACTTCGACCTCACGAGTTTGACCAACACGGTGGGCGCGGTTCTCAGCCTGGACATCTTCCTGTGGGTTGAAGCTGGAGTCAAAGATAATAACCTTGTTTGCACACGCCAGGTTGATTCCAGCACCACCAGCCTTGGTGGAAAGGAGGAATACTGGGATGTCAGTTCTCTCGTGGAAGGCATCCATGATGGATTGACGATCTTCGACGCTTGTTGTTCCGTCAAGACGGACGAACTCTAGATGCTGGTTCTCGAGCACATCTTCAAGAATGTCCATGACCATTCGAAATTGCGAGAAGACGAGGGCCCGATCACCGTTTTCTTTGAATCGCCTTAGCAGCTCGCACAGTTTGTCGACTTTGCCGGAATCCATCCACTCGTTATTCTTAAGAGCAAACTTTCCAATTGACTTGGGGTTATCCAGACATAACTGGTGGCATTCGAAATCGCTGTAATTCTGCAATTCCTCGAAGATAGTGTTTGGATCGGACATCGCCCATTTTTCTTCTTGCAGACAAGCCTTGGACATCCGCATGAGGATCTTATCATCATAATATCTTCGACGCAAGAGTGGATGGATGGCTGCTTGGCGAAGCTTCATCAAAATGTTCGCTGACCTGTTTCCTGTCTTCTTCCCCGCTGCTCTGTCTTCCAAAAGTTGCTTAACCTCGTTTTGTTCATGTTCATAGATGCCTCGCTGAGCAGCGTTCATCTCGCAATATTCGACGTGAGAGGTTTTTGCAGGCAAATCGATAACTTGGTGCTTCTTTCGCCGAAGAACGAATGGCTTGAGCATCGACTTTGCCCTTTCAATTCTTTGTGCAGAGAGAAGTGCTGAATGTGAGTCGTCGACGGTCTTTGCTTTGTTCGAAAAGATGTACTGGAGATCGTCCTTGCGATCTTGGAAGACTTTGGGAAGAATAAATCCAAGCAAGGAAGCAAGTTCCTGGAGGTTGTTTTGAAGCGGCGTACCCGTCAAAAGGAGCCTAAACCGGGCACGGATTCTGATCAACTTCTCATATAAGACCGAAGTGCTGCTCTTGAGCATGTGGCCTTCATCAAAAATGCAAGCGCAAAAATCCATATTGCGGAGGAAATGTGCGTCAACTTTGCCCTTTGCAATCGTATAGGTCGTAATAACAACATTGATCTCGTCCCTGTTATCCTCGATTTGTTCACGAATCTGGGCGCGTACATTCTGGTCGGCGTAGTACGGCATCACCGAAAGTGTCGGACAGAACTTTTGGAATTCTCGAAGCCAGTTTTCGATGGTGGAAGATGGCACAACGACTAGATGCGGGCCCTTGATGCCCTTCTCATAGAGATGAGCCAGAAACGCTATCACTTGGCAGGTCTTTCCAAGACCCATGTCATCTGCCAAAATGCAGCTAAGTTCATTCTCAAACAGCAATGATAGCCAATTGATGCCGACGATCTGATAGTTCTTCATTTTAAGATCCTCAGCCATAATACCAGGCTGCGAGATAAAACGAGCTTTCCGAGACCGAGATCCTGGTCCATCACTATCCTCGTCAGATCGTTGGCTAGCGGGCGTTCCGATTCCTGAGTCATGAGAGCCTGAGGGCTCCATTGACACAAGCTCAAGCTCCCCTTCGCGTTTGCCGAACATATCAACTCCCCATTTCTTCATCTCTGTCGCAATTGGTTTACCCAACGTTTCACACTGAGCGACCAATGAATCCACAGCTTCGTATCCGACCCACATATCAAGGCACTTGTCAACTATACGATCACCAACCGGCTTAGGTGCCTTGCGCTTCCTGCCTGTCTTGGTAGTTGTCTCTTCCGTAGGCGGAGCTGGGATGACGCGAACTTCTTCTAGGGAAGAAAATGGTCGCTTCGTAATTATATACTCGGCGAGGTCCTCGGTTATCGCGGCCAGATCAGCAAGGCCTGGGGCGTCACATTTGTTGAAGAAATCAAGAACCTTCATTTCTACACCTCCGGCCCCTTGGGCATCAAACGCGGAGTCGGAGTCATCATCAGAAATGACCAGAGGCGCCTCGGGAGACTCGGAGCGTGCGGGCGATGGACGCCTGCGTCCTTGCACTAGTCGACCGAAGCCCTTTTTAGCCGGTGTTTCGTCCTGGGTGGGACTTGATTGCACTGGTGACTCTCGAGATTTCGGGCCTCGGATCAACCGCTTTCTCGGTTTCGCCTCCTCCTCGACTTGTTGGGAAGGTTTCTGTGGCGGCCCCTTTGGAAGATTCATCGCCGTCCATTTGTCCTGGATCCTCCCCCGGGCTTTGATATTCTGTTTTGCGGGGGCTATGGGCGACGTCTTCTTATCTATACTTAACTCATCCTCTGACGAGATAGCATATACATTTTGATCTTCGATGCTAGCCAGATAATCCATCGCATCTTCGAACCTCCCTTTCTTCTCCAAAAGGGCTTGCACACAATCATATACTGACTTTTGCGGCAGAACCTTTCGTATCCTCTCCACCTTCACCCGCATTTGATAGTCATCAATATCCTGCAATGACAGTGATTGCGAGCCCACTGGTTGGGCGCGCGAAGGGCCATCTTGGCGAGCTCTCTTGATGGCAACCCCCTTCGGGGTAGGGTCCATCTCTGCAGCAGATCTCTTGGGGTTCGACGGGTCGTAAACAGCGGACGAGGTGATCTCTTTAAATCGATCGATTGGTGTTGCCTTTTCTGGGCTCTTTGATGATTTGGCAAACGTGGCCGGCTTGATGTCGGTACTCATCACGGCGTCGTCATCGGAGGAGCCACCCCGGTAAGTCGGACCATCATCGTCCAAGTCAATTACAGGCGCGCGCTTTGCGGGAGGGCAGAATTGAGTACCGTTCGGAGCCATAAGACTAGAAAGACGACCAGGGCCGGTTGGCGAAGGGCGTAAAGGAGATGAGGGGGGCTTCAAAGGGGAAGAAGCTGCAACTTGTACAACACTCTTGCCTGAATAAGGGACGTCGACAATCTGCGTGGGCTGTGTAAATCGTTGTGTTGTGGGCGTCAACGACTGTGTTGCAAGCATGTGTTGGGGAGGGTTCGCAGGGAGGGTGGCGACCGTCTCATATTCTCCATCGTCGTCGGCCATATTGGCAGGAGGCGTGCTATGGACGATTTTTTTGTCGCTGACGGGGGTGTCGGGAACTGTGTCTTCCATGGTGGGCAGCTAAAGTGTGAAAGAAAGCTGAGGTGTGCCCAAGATGGTTGTCTACCTGCTCCCACCTCCAGGTCGTTCGGGGATGTGAAAAGAGAGCAGTCCAGCTCGGATTCTCCAAGGCGACTTTTTTCTGCCTCTCCGCAAAATCGCGCTGGGACGCGCCCGTCACGTGATACCGCGAATCAATTAAGACCAACTAGGAAGGCTGTCATTGTACAAGGTGAGTCCTGCTGATGCTGCGTTTTCTTCGATTGTCCATGTAAACATCTCCTTTGTTGAGACTTGAATGACAAATTGGTGGTTGAGTTGGCACATTGACAGTGTCGTCTTTGAGAATGTAGGCGGTGGATCCATATCATACGTAGCAAGGATGCCAATGACATTGCTGCGACTCAGCTGAACAAAAAAAGAGATGAGAGTGAGAAATAGTAGACATAATTCCAAGAAAGCGCACGGCAATACATCAGTTAAAGTAGGAATACTGAGAGTGATGATTGAGTTGTGTATAGAATAGCACACTAGGAACCCTAAGTAGCAATAACTAGACACCTGAGGCAATAAATTACTAACACACCTCCCTCTGCTGAGCTTCAAGTGACGACTATATATTCATCATCTCTACATTATACTTCTGCCTTCTCTGTAGTCGCTCCCATACTAACACGATACTGAACTCCTCTGGAGTGGCCAAAGACCGCAATGCTAATGACCAACGCCAGCTGCGATGGCAGATCCCCTTTACGAGAATCAGCTCTCGAGTGAGCAACCGGCAAGAACAGTTGCCAACCTATCAGTTTATTTGCCGACGATGTGATCTGCTTGGGCCTCTCAAATGACTTCCGGAAGCGTTCCCTCTGAGACCAATTATCGAGGCAGACTACGAGAGCTTGTGGCGTTAATGTGGCGTTCTTGCACGGGAAGGATTCTATTTAACCGGGGCATGATGGTCTCTCACAGTATGGGAAAAACATGCTCTATGCGGGAGTTTTCACAAAAATGCCTATATTTTGATGATATATCAGATATGTTTAGATGCACGACCGTTGGTCTCGACTGAGGCTCACGACGGCCAACAGAATACATAGACCAGACTCTGCGTGGAGCCGATCTCAGGAGCAGAGACCGGCAGAAAGCTCAAATTGGCCGATTCGCCGAGGCCAATGCTCTCTCGAATGGAGACATACTTTGTCGTCTGACACTCGTACACGGTGCACCTTACAAGTATCCAGTGGGCAGAGGTCTTCTGGCCAACAAAAGAAGGGAACAGAACCATTGATGGAAATGTTGTGGGTCGCAGACCCTTGCACCCTCAGCCTTGGCCGTCCTGGGGATCTTGGCTGGGAACAGCGCCGGGGGCGGGGATGCTGGATACAGTCAAGAACTGAGTCCCTTCCTCTTGGCCTTCCTCCCTCTTGGCTTGTTTAGGCTAAGGCAAGCTTCGTGACACCTGGAAATGGGCAAAACCCCGGCGGCACAATGCTGGGACCCTGCCTATTGAGAAGCGGTCGGTTGTCCGATGTCTCCCCTTGAAAGTCAAATCACAAGTGAAATGACTGTTGGTGCTGAAACAAACATTTCCCCGGTCCATACTCCGGCTCTCAGCTATTCCTATTAAATAGTCGTGGAGCTGCCCATTTCCTCCACTCCCTGCGCTTTCTCCCCCTCTGATTGTGTTCATGAGAATTTGGTACTGGGGTCAAGTGCAGATTGACCAGCGGCACGATGAAGTTCCCTAAGATCTACAATACGTACTTCGTGGCGTTCATCGCCACCGTTGGTGGGATGCTGTTCGGGTTTGACATTTCCTCCATGTCCGCAATCATCGGCACAGATCAGTACAAAGATTATTTCGATAACCCGGCTGGTCTCCGCCAGGGTGCTATTGGCTCTTCTCTTGCTGCGGGATCGGTGGTGGGCTCCGCCATGGCAGGTTTCGTCTCTGACAAGATAGGCCGCCGCGATTCGATTGCGTTTGCTTGTATCTGGTGGCTTGTTGGGACCGCCGTGCAAACGGCAACTAATGGCTTTGGGTCACTGATTGCTGGCCGCGTCTTGAACGGAGTTTGCGTTGGAATTACTAGCTCGCAAGTACCTGTCTACCTTGCAGAGATCGCCAAAAAGGAGAAGCGTGGACAGCTCATCGTCATTCAACAATTGGCAATTGGTAAGTCCCAAGATCATGGTCATCCGAACTCTCGTTCATCCAACTAACCTGCCTCAGAATGGGGTATTTTGATCATGTACTTTGTAGGATATGGCTGCCACTACATCGACGGAGACGCCTCGTTCCGGACCGCCTGGGGAATTCAATTCGTCCCTTGTGTCTTCCTCATGATTGGCTTGCCATTTCTTCCGCGCTCTCCTAGATGGCTTGCCAAGGTCAACCGTACCGAGGAGGCTATCGAGACCCTCGCCAATATCCAGGCTGGCGGTAACCGTGATGACCCGCTTGTCGTTGCCGAATGGGAGGAGATCACGACCGTACTTCAGGCGGAGCGCGATGCCTATCCTGGCTGGCGTAAGTTCGTCTACAACGGCATGTGGAAGAGAACTCTCGCTGGCTTTACAGTGCAAATGTGGCAGCAGAATTCGGGAGCTAACGTGATGACCTATGTAAGACATGACTCTTGATCGATCAGTACTTGTATCTTTGAACTAACCTCAAATAGTATGTTGTGTATATCTTCATGATGGCAAACTTGACGGGCAACATCAACCTTATTTCCTCCGGCATCCAGTATGCACTTTTCATTATCTTCACGACTTTCATCTTCTTCTACATTGACAAAACCGGCCGTCGCCCACTCCTTATATACGGAGCCCTTCTCATGGGGGCTTGCCATTTTGTCGTCGCCGGTATTCTTTCCTCTGGCGAGTACGTTCCTGGGGGCGTTGACGGCGACGAAAATGTGTTGATACGAGTTGTGGGACCAAAATCCCATACTGTCATCGCATTCTCGTATTTGCTTATTATTGTCTACGCATTGACCCTAGCGCCCGTGTGCTGGGTCTACGCAGCAGAGGTCTGGTCTCTTGAGACCCGTGCCAATGGTATGGGTATCGCGGCAATTGGCAACTGGCTCTTCAACTTCGCTCTGGGCCTATATATCCCCCCGGGCTTCCAGAATGTGACTTGGAAGATGTTCCTGATATTTGGGATTATGTGTGTCCTTGCCGCTGTGCATTTCTTTTTTACATACCCCGAGACCTGTGGAAAGACGCTTGAAGAGATTGAAGAGATGTTCGCACCAGGAGGACCGAAGCCCTGGAACACCAAGCCCGGCCAGTCTAAGCTTGATGCACACGTTGAAGAAGTCCGTGCACACAATAAGCATATTAACTACGACACTATGGAAATCAAGTCTGGCACTGAAGTGGCTGAGAGGACTGCTTGAATGGGGCCTCCGGGGGAACTATAGGTCACGTGATATATTGTGCCCTGGATGGTCGTTGAAGCAGGCGGCCGCGCAGATAATTGAAGACCAGGCTCAAAGTTTAATTAGTATTGATTGGTTGTACTCAATTTATCCATTTGAAGACAAGTAAACCTAATATGAAGTGTCTGGAAGATGGCCATGGCTAAATTAAAAACGAAATAGTGTATGGGTTTGGGAATAGAGTCTTTCCATTCTTGAATGAAGACCCAGGCAGCTTTAACGAACCGTAACCTAATTATGTAGCGTTCTAAAATATTCAGTTCCTCAGGAACTCTCATTACTTGTGATTTGAGTCCTGGTAATGCCAAACCATGCGTTCATCGGCAACTATAAGGACGGCTTTGTTATGCCTAGTTCTTCGCAAAGGAAAACCGTAGTTATTTGACGAGAGCTTTTAGCATTAGGACGCACCGATATCAACAACCTCAACAAGTTACACTCTATATTACTTCTATATGCAGATGAAGCCATAAACAAGACACCAGCCCTGGGAGCCCAATCCGGCTAGCCCGCCAAGACTCTGCATCATCCGCAGTTTCTCCACATTCCGCAACATGAACAACAACACCACTCGGTAGTTATAGCTGGGCAGCTTCCAATCTTCCTACAACGAGAGCGGACAACTTAACACGGTCTGAAGCTACTGTTAATTATAGTCGATACCTTAACGAAAACATGGCCACCCGACGATCCGGAAAGTCCTACGCAGATGCTGCCGCCCCCGGCTCTGCGCCGGGCGAGCAACCCTCGGAGTTTGACTCTGATACTTCGCCTGCTGTTCCGATGTGAGTGGTCCAGTACTATACATCGGTGCCCACTTGCGCCATGGCTATACCATTCTATACTATCCCATTCTGAAACTATTCTACTTCGTTACAAATACCGAAAACAAAGCTAATGAAGGTCCATTCAGGCACGTTATCTGGAAACTCGTCGGGTTTACTATCGCCATGATCACGACGCCCGTGGGGATGTATTTTGTTTCAGTTAATTTTGGAGGTGAGTTTTCTTTTGCTTTCCATTTATTATTATTCTCTTATCTTCTTATTACCTACGCTCTACCCTTGTTCAACCTGCTATGGCCGCGCGTATGCTGATGTTACTGGAAAGCGAGCACGACTGTTTCTGGGATTATCGCGGCCGTCATGGCCAATGTTATCTTGTTTCTGTATATCTATGTTGCATGGCAGGAGGATAAAGAGGAACGAGAAGCCGAGGCAGCAAAAAAGAAAGGGAAGAAGGCTGAGTAGGTGGTTCAGGTGTATTGTATATGTACGTGAAGTATTAAAGTGTCATTATAATTGCGCTTCGAGCTGCGGTGCTGCTCTTACATGGTGTATGTCCAGTTATGAAGATCAAGATGTGCGATTGGTATCCATACAGCAAGCATTGCGAATGTTAAAGCTCCAGCGACCCGTTAGCTGTTCAGCCAAGTACGTATTATGTCCAGTCTATGTTGAATAACTGCGCCTGGGAAAATGCATCGCGACTTCAGCACATAACGGAGAACCAAGGGGAAAAAAAAAAGAAAAGGACCCCAAGCGCGAAACACTATGGTCGTCTCCTGACAAACTCCTCCAAATCAGCCTTAGTCGCAACTCCCAGCACAAACTTGCGCTCCACATCTGTGACGACTGCAAAATCCTGCTTCTCTCTCTTCTCCCCATTCGCGCCAGTATCGCTTTCAAAGAACCGCTGCAACTCCTCCAGCGGCGTCTCCATGGTGATAACCTCGTACGTGCCGCGTTTTCGGTTGAAGCGCTGCATCGCAGCCGCAACAGTATCCGATTCCTTAACCGTCCCCGCCGCCAGGAGCTCCTTCAGCCGCGGAATGCTAAGGTATCCGAGAAGAGAGCGGTGCGTGGACGAGGTAACGGTGAGATGTGTGTAGTCGCGTTCGAAAGCCGCGAGAAGTGCGGCGGATATAGGGGTGCTCGGGGAGACGGATAGAGCGGGAGGCGGATCTAAGTCTTCAACTGTAGCCTTGTTGCAGTGTTAGTGTTAAGGTGAACGGAATGGATCTTCCCGCGGAGACACCAGAAGGGAATGAATGGGCGAGTGACTCACTCCGCGATATTTGTCGGCCCATGATGATTGAGGGATTGAGTGCGCTGTGCTTGCATCGAGTTTCTCGCGGACGAAGGCTTCGCTGGCGTTCATGTAGGAGGCCATTTTGGCGGGGCTGAGAGAGGGGTAGAGAAGTGACGGGAAGCTGAATTGGCGGAGGATGGTATTTTCACGGACAATTGCAATATCAGTATTGTAGAGAAACCTGATTATATCGTCGAAATGCTATGTGCCGCGTCAGAGAGGTTGGTAGTTATGCGCAGGTTGTTGAAATTGAGCGGATGAAATTGTCAACCAAAGGTCGAGGCCGTTGCAGTGACACTGACCCACTCACTTTTGTAGATATGGGTCACATGTCTATACGTCATCTTGCGATAAACACAAACCAGCAATGCTTATTTTGTGTTCTATACTTTTGGTAAACATAGCTGGGTTTTACTTGCTTTTATTAATTGACATGAAGTCAGCAATAAAACGGCCGTCTGCCTTTTGGTTGGATAGAATTTGATGAAAACAGATAACTTCTTGCCCTGGCACTAAAGGAAAATTGGCCGCTAAATAATTTACTCGCAACTTGATATCATATTCTGACTTCTTCCTCCGAGTAGTGCCTATTTTACCAACCAATATACAAAGCTCGCATCGAGAGCAAGGGCATGACGGAGACCAGCCGTTTCATGCCCGGGTATTTTATTATATGCTATTAGATGTGCCGGATTGCAACTTTCTGTTCCCTTCAACCCATAAATATGATTCCAAATACCGGAGAGGAGAGTCTAGGAGTAGAGACGGAAAGATGGTCCAGGAGTTCGAAGTACGTAAGTTGAGCTAGGACCCAACATACCAAACCTCGACACCCAGAACATCGAATTTGACACCCTCGTCAGAGAGTGGTTCGTTCCCGAATGTCTGGCATGAGGCGCTGACACCTTTTTCGAGAATGGAGTCGAGCCAAAGGCCATAGTGTCCGTCCCTGGAGAGAGAAAGTATTAGTTCTGGACTATCATTGCTATTGTGGGGCTGCTGGGATTAAAAGGGGGAAGGGGAGGACTCACCCTCCACCTAGACTGAGAAATCCCGTTTCGCAAAACATCATGTAATCATTTACGCCGCTATAAGGGAACGCCTTGAAGCGGATTCTGTCGGGGGTAGTAGTTCCGCTATTTGTAGGGCGAGACTGTGCCAGGGCGTGCATATGCGGAGAAAGCGATTTCGACTGTAGTTTTTCACCTCTTAGTGTCGTTGATCGACCGACGTTTGTTGTATCCGCGCTTGGTGGTGGGGGAAAGCCTGCCTTTTCAAGTGCCTCCTCGGAGTATATGCCCCCATCTCCGTCGGAATTGAGTAGTGAGGGTGGCGGAGGGAGAACACTGGCTCTCCATAGAAAGCATTCGCCCGTGCCGAAATAATGTGCATCTGGGTGTGGGGGGTCCGTCATGTAGGCGCCGAAGACCGTTGATGCTGAGGGGGACGCATCGCGGATGACGAGGACGTAGCCGGCCCTCGGGCTGCGGGATGAGACCTCACGGCAATTGTCGTAGAGTGTCGAGAGGGAAGCACCATCGCGATCGAGGCTATATGCGAGACGCCAGGTGTCAACTAGTTGAAGGCGAGGCGGGACAAGGAGACGGATTTCTTCAGCGAGGGCGCGTGAGAGGAGTTGGTTCTGGGGGGCGAGGGGGATTGCCGTGCTTTCTTCGTTTGCGAGAAGCGTTAAAGGAGTCAGGGGCGGTGGCTGAAAGGGGGACACCGTGCGGACGGGTGTGAAGACTGGATACTGGGAGGTGGAGGAGATGGAGGAGGATGAAGAGGAGGGGTCGGCGTTGTTGCGACGCAGACGGGACATCATATTGCCGTTGTTGCTTGTTGGGGGGTCGGTTAGACGACGGTAAAGGCCCGAGACAACGTGTGTGACAGGGTATGAGAAGTAGGAGGCGGCGGATTGATGGGAGTGAGCGTCGTTCGAGCTCTTATTGCCTTTCGACTCGGAGTGAGGAGGATCGGTACCCGGCGACGAGGTTGAGGTGGCGGGAGTGGGAGTAGAGGAGGATAAATCACCTTGGGAGGCAGACGACATCGAGAGCTCCTTTTGTTCAGAAATTGATTTTCAATTGGTGGGGAAGATCGGCCCTGAGATCCAGACCAGAGACGAATGAGGCCAAAGTGGACGGAGTCGAGAAACTGGGAATTCGGGAGAGATGGAGGTGGAGTTGAGGCTGACCATTGGGTTTGGTTCGGCGGGGTGAAGGCTCCTGCCCGGCTTGTAAGGCTAACCAGTAACCAGCGGCCGCTGAGGCTACGCCTACTTAGGTAGATAGCTTACTCGACGGACATAGCTATCTTTCTTAAATTGTTTTTCATTTTTTTTTTCTAAACCATCACTAAAGCTACAGGGGATCAGCTAGACTCGGTGCTTGCACATGGGGAATAAACACTGATAGGTATCGAAAATGCAAAAGGATCATGAGCGTAAATCGTGATCATAGCTTGTTCACCCGCTGGTCGACCGTCTCGAACTCTAGCCCATTGGCCTCAAATACGTGTCCCGGGCGCAGGGCGTCGGTGTAGAGGTTAGTTTCGGCGTGTGGATGAAACAAGCCCGTCTGAGTACAGCCTAGGACAGACTTGAGCCCCGGTGGGTCTGTCAAACGGAAGACCCCCCAGTTGGGGGTTTGACTCGGTGCACAAACAATCGCAATACTCTCAGGGAGCATCACCTGGTAGCCGCAATGCGTATGTAGGTCCCTTGAGCTCATGAAGCAGGTCTGGGTGGGGTGCGTGTGGATCCAGCCAAGCACCATTAGATCTTCGGAGTCGCAGTAATCAAATATTGCGGATTCATTCACTGTCTCGCATGTGTCTGACGTGGATATTTGTTCAGGGATAAGGAGTCGTGAGATGAAAAGAGCGTTGGATATCAGCGTGCCACAAAGGATGCCACACGTTTCCAAGTTTTTGCGGGTGTTCGATGCAGCGAGAGAAAGGAAATGCGATCGTAGTTGAGGTGGGAGAAAGACAGTGCGAAGCGGAGTGCCGTTCTCAAGATAGGCGGATGGTTTGAATGTGAAACTGGCAGGGTCCAAACCCTTACGTTTATCATCCGGGGCCACTTTTGTAGGTACCGTTGGTGCAGCTTCTGACAATATTTCCTGCGGGACTTTGTCTGGGCGAGGCGGTACTCCATCTAGATCGCTCGGTTGGTTGATCTGGAAACCCTCTTTCGGAGGAAGTGCCGGCGGCGGTTTCGTGAGCTTGCGGGGTTCAGCGCGCGGCTTCTCTAACGCAGAAGGCGGGATATCAAGAGGTTTTTGTCGGGGAACAGTTGGGTACTTGTAGGTGGATGTAGACGGAACCTCTGCTAACGGCCGCGTTCCAGACTTGGCTTTCCGACTGTCTGTCTGCGGTCTACCCTCTAGATTGAGACGCACTTCTTGGATGCGGCGGCTCAGATCACCTGCTTCTTTCCCTTCATTTCGTTGCAGGGCTTCTTCCCAATCTCCCCAGATCCCTGCGGCGCGTCGGCTCGACTCATCCCCATCGCTGAGTTGGCGTATGGCATTCCTGGCTGTTGCCCTTCGACTGATCTCAGTTCGTGCCAATTTGACGGCCAGATCACTGTCCTTCCCAGCCTCCAGGGGTTCAGTTACCCCCGAAAGGGCAGGGTCCGGGGGTTGTAGCTGTTGACTTGATGCGGCGGGGCTCACTGCAGCGGACGACGACAAGCGGGATTGCCGCTCACGCATCAATTGCGTATGCCGCTCATATCGCTTGTTGATTCTCGGTTTCAGTTTTTCCAGTATCTCCAAATTCTCCTTGACCTCCTTCTCAGCAGTTACCAAAGCCTTCCGCTCTTCTCTCACATCCTTCCCGTCCTTCAAGTCTGGATGGCCGGCCAAATGCACGAGCACCAATTGGGCATGTCGGAATAGGAGTAGGTACGCCTGTTCATCGTGTCCTTCACGCAGGTAAATCCGCGCCTACCATAACCAGTTAGCCTTTTAAAAAAGAAGAAAATGTAAAATAGAGGAAATGGGCCACAAACTTCGCGAACGAGTGTAGCAGCGGTCCTCAGCCAGTAACGCAGAGGAACCGAGGGGTTGAATTTGTAATCTTGGGCAAGACGAGTGATCTTCTCCACGCTCTGCGGAGCAGAGGCCCCAGTGTTCGGGGGAGAAGGTAGAGATGCCATGACAGTTTGGGAGTCCGACTGGGAGAGCTTGAAGCCGGAAGCCAGGCTCAGACCGTGAGGCAGGCAGTCGCGGAGTAAATATCGAGTCAGGCGAGAGAGGTGTTAGGCAGCAGGCAGAGAGTGATGTCACGGACGGCTAGACGGATCATAATCAAAAAGAGCTATTCCATCCGCAGAGGAATGGAATGATCAAGGAAAATGTCGAGCCATCGAAGAGGGTCGCGTGGGAAGGGGGTGATGGAGGAGGATGATGGCCGCAAGGTCGGCGGGGCTCCGGAGGTTCTGGTGTCTCCCGCGTCGCAACTCCGGCGCAAAGCAAAAAGCTCCCAGAGCTCTCAAGCTTCTTCCACACTTGTCGACGACTCAAGCCGCGAAGCTCATTTGATGTGATGGAGTCTCGATCGAATTCCGTCTGATGCTAACCTAAATTCTCCTTCACAGTTTTGCATTTCACTATGTCAATAATCCCTCGATGGGCGCCCGTCAAGCAGTTTCCCATCACTAAAACGCTTCACGGACTCCTGCCCAGAAGCAAGGCGGGGGGTAACAAACCCAATATCGTGAGTGAAGGTCTATGTGGTCAGTCTATAATTTCCCTTTCTCTTTCTGCATTGGGCTAACACCGATTATCCATAGACGATATCGTGCAGCGCCTCTCCCCGTTCCTCCGGCGAAACGCTCCAGTCGACATCCTCGATCTATGGCCTGGGCCCGGCCTCTTGTCGTCCAAAATAAATGATTTTTTGAAACCGCGCAGGCATGTCCTCATTGAGCCAGACCTTAAATTACACAAGTCCTTCCTCGAGCCTCTGTGCGAACGATGTCCAAGCTACAAACTAGTTTCGACGGACCTAACCGCTGTACGAGACTGGAAAACTGTTCTTACTGAACACTTCCCCGAACAAGGGCCACCGAGAAAGAAGTCCCAAGCGGATCTACCAAAAAATAATACACTCCTAGTCTTAGCCAATCCTCCGGGCCCCCGGAGCACGAAGGATCATTTCAGCGGCGCACGATGGATGTCGGTGTTTTTGGAGGAATGTATGCGGCAGGCTGGTCTTCATACCTACGGGAGCGTACGACTACTGGCGTCGTTGTCTTCACAGGATGTATCGGCGGTCCTTCCACGCCATATCAGTGCCCGTGTTCGTCCATCACTTCTAGCTGAGCAGGTCGCACTTCGTGCATTCGAGGTAGCATCCTCAGTGGATGACACAAGGGGAAATTGGGGGGCTCAGAAGCAGTGGGATGTGCTATCTGAGGGCACGACCCGCGTCGAGAAGAGAGCCTCGAGCAAAAGAGTCATTGTTCCTAAAGGCAGAGCATATCCACCAATCGAACAGGCACCTGAGAGTCCGCTACCAGATCGGAAGCGAACTCCTTACGCTCCGCGTATCAAGACCAGACAGAACGAGAAATACCTCGAGATTTTCGAAAATTTCAACAATGCGGACCCAGAAAGTGACGAGTACGAGAATCTCAGAAAGGGCTATCGGCGCACATGTACTCTACTCCTGCAAGAAAACAGCCAGACTCACCAGCGTGCCAGTATTATCGCTAAGCAGAACGAAGTCGACGACCTTAACAAATCCATCTCGCGGCGCGCGGCAGATCCCAATACCAAATTATGGGCTCTGGAACGCACGGTGACGAGAATTGAAAATCTCCGCGAATCAATGAATGAAGAAATATCCAAAACGCATTTTGATATCACTCGCGCACTTCCCCATCTCATGGATGATAGACGTGCAGCCTTCCATACAGGAGACTTCGACGACGCCCTTCTCCTCTTCGACCGCCGCCCGTTCCAACCTCTCGTCATCCATCCCGACGAAATATACCCACGCGAGGTCTACAGGACCTTCGTATACTTCGAGGCAGACCCCAACCCGCCAGCAGTAGTGCGCTTAAACCGCCTCGACCCCAAGAAACGAGAAGCCGCCACGCGGTTCTTCACAGCCTTCACCAACTCCCTACAAACAAACAACCTCCTCACGGTCCCAACCCTAATGAGGCTTTTCTTCCCAAACCACACCGCAAACTCCATCGTCAAAGCCATCCCCAGTCTCGCCCAATACGCCTCCAAGCGCCCTAGGAAAGACTACGAGTCTCTCCCTACGACCCTGATTTCAGACCTAGACAAACACCCCGAAGACCTACAACGCACGACCAAGGGCAAATCCACAACAGCCTCGGCGAAAGCGGCACAACCAAACCCGATAGCTTCGTACCAGGAAAACCTCGACTACGATCTTAGCGATGTCCGTTGCCGCATCCTCTCCATCCCAACACTCTGCGATCTGGCCATAGAGTACGCGAACACAGGATCAGATGCGTCTGCTGTGCAGCTGAGTCGGCTATTGGGGGGCTCGATGACAAGCGCACAGACCAGAGAGTTCCTCACTGATGGGACGAGGAAGAAATGGTGATTTCTTTCTTTCTTTTTTTTTTTTTCCTCTCCAACCTTGTACTTTTATTATATACCTCGCCTCCCTTCTCTCATTTGATTGTATTCCAATATTGCATTGTTTGCGTGGGTTGGTTCGTTGGCTTCGGTGTTAATTTGGATGGGAAACGGAGTTCGGCTTCGGTGGCTTTGGGTAGGAATGATGAGAGGTCAGTGCGCCAAATCGCCGATGCATTCGGGTCGTATCGTATAAAATGTATCATATAGATAGAGATATTTATAGATAGACAGATAGATGATGGGCATACCAAACAGATTACTCTTTGGACTGTATCGTCTCTCTTCCCTCTAATATTACTCGGTGGAGAGTAAGAAATCAAGCTGCTTTTGATCTAGGCCGAGCGTGGCAATATGATCCGACTCAGGATTTTACCAAATTCTATACATATATCTATTTATGAATGGATGGTAAACTACATACTTATTACCATGATATAGGAAGTCACTGGTGGATGAAACATCTCACATTGCGGAGTACATGAAACCCGATTATAGGGTATATATGGCACACCATATAGTAAAAACAAACAAGCAAGCAAACACGAACGCTTAAGCAAACAGTGCACGCAGAACAAGGGTCTCCACATGATCTGTATAACAAATAACAGTATAAAGGGTATCATCGAATTGGGATCTGAGAAGGAAAAATAGTACATATGCAATCCAAGATGCAAGAGGATATAGCAACATATAGTGAAAACAAATTGTCGAAAGAGAAAAATAGGAAGGTAGTCGTAGTCGTAGATTTGTTGAAAGACGGCTCCGGCAAGCGGCTACGCCCCAACAGACTCAGCCAGTTGCAGCCACGCACTAGGGACGACCCGCTCAGCGGGATCCTTAGCGATGGCAGGCTTGATGATATTCTCGACTGTTCCGTTCTTAGGGACGCGCGAGCCGTTGTTGCCGGACCGGGCGAAGTCGATAACGAGGTGGCCATCCTTTGCGCGCATCAGGCGCTGGGGCCCGTTGAAGCCAGAGTAGATAAGGAGATCACCTGTTGCGGCGGCGAGGAGGGTCACGGCGAGGGAGAAGACGTCTGACGCCGGGGTGGGGATAGCGTCTGGTGAGGAGAGATTGCGAAGAAGTTCTGGAGCCGTGAATGGAGGTGTGACGGCTGATAGAGCAGTGCCTGTTGGTTTTTCCGAGGCAGTGATTGAGTAGGAGGATGAGAAGTCGGCAAGTAGTGGTTCATACGGAAACTCTACCGAGTCCATGTCATTGTCGAGGGCCGTGCGCGGCTGGAGGAGGATGTTGTGTGGCTTGATGTCGCCGTGCACGATTTGTGCATTGGAATGGAGCCATGATAAACTGGTAATGAGCTTCTTGGCGAGGTCATACCACTGGGCTGGCCCTAGGACGGGATCAAGCATGGTTCTTGTGCTGAAGTTTTGCCGCGCAAGGAGTGCTTTGTCTTCGATATAGGTGGATAAAGATAGAGGAATTGCTGACATGACGATAGAGCCAGAGTCCGTGATGTAGCCGTGGAATGGTACAATGTAATGCTCTGAGTCGGGTACAGAGCTGGCGCGAGTGAGAGCGAGGGCTTCTGCATACAGAATGGCCCGTGCATCTCCTCTGCCTGGAGTTTTAACAGCCACCAAGCGACCAGTTGGGCCGGGTGAGCCTGGGGGCGTAATTGGGCGAGTAGGGTTACTCGCACGAGGTGAGGCGAAGGCTTTGTAAACGACGCTCCAAGCACCGCTACCGAATGAGATGGAACGACCTTTCTCGTCGCGCGGGTATTCCAACTCACCAGAAAACTGCGGGGGAGTCGAGCCCACCACAGCATGCGACGCGGAGCTGCTTGCACAAGCCTCCGAGGGGTTGCAGTCGTCTATGGTCGGGGTTACTGGAGGCGTAAGGCCAAGCCCTGGCACGGTGACGGTGCCATTATGGGGCTTGGTGGAGATAGAGAGTATCATGGGTGTATGAGTAGCCATGGCTCACGATGGAGCGCTAGAAAAGCTGCTTCAAGGAGGGATAGTTCGCGTGCGTATAAAAATGTATATTTGAAGTACGGAATGAGTGGCGTATTGATATGGCGATTAAGTTGAGACGACAGAGAGTCCAAGTTTAATGAACGTGCTAGAGAATGAAGATGGATGGAGAAGGAGAGAGGAGAGTAGAGCAGCAGTCTCTATTTGAACCAAGCCCGTTATGAGTCAAGAGCTTACACTTGAACTCAGTGCTGGTGGCAAGATGAATCGAGTTCCGGAAGCGAAGCAAAGTTTAACTCTATGGTCAGGAACGGGTGGTCGAGCCAGAGAAGCGACGGAGTTGGATCGAGAGGCGTATGAGAAGCATGTTGAAGGGGGCTGGGTCTGCCAGGTCAATAACAGAGCATCAGAGACGAGGAAAGATAAGAAATAAAATAAGGGCGAGGGCGTGCGAGAGAAATAGAGAAAAAGAAACGGCGCGCCAGAATAAAATGAGAGATCGGCGGCGAGCTTAATTGCGATGGGGGAACCGTGGAACTTGCTTTGTGTCCTTACGTGTCGCACAGCACCGTATCAGCATCCCGCTTAGTCCTACTGCTACGTCGGATTAGAGATACCACATTTACTCGACAGGCTCGTGTACGGCGTAGTTGCAGTCATGTTGGAGTGGCGCAAACCGGATTCAAAGTCCAGAATCTGTGGTGCCGTATCAAATACACGGCGTACACACGCATTACCGCGCTAGGCCCAATCCAGACCCTTCGGCTCAACAAATGCGGCAACCCGGCATAGGATGATAGTGCCCACCCAACTCTCTTTGTACAGCAGTCGTTCAAGCCAATTTTAATCGCTGTAAGAAGCTAATCATCTTCCATGGTATAGAAACTAGGGGGTATTCAAAAGAGTGACCAGAGATATCTGTCTGGTCCAAGCTTATCTACTACGAAGTATTAAGTATATAATCCTGACACTATAGTTCAGTTTCACTCACGTTCTCTCTACACAGCAGTTGTTGCCTTAATTTGCGGGCTCCATTAATATTCTTGCTGTCTATCGCTCCAAACTCCAGGCATGAAACAAAGAAGTTATATACCAGAGAAAAACGGTCCAAATACTATGATTCAAATGGTGCCGTAGGCCTTGGCATTCAGGTTCCAGGTTGCGAGTCTTTGGGACCAATAAACTGGAAAGACAGAAGAAAAGAATAAAGCAATTATAAGCCCTTTGAACAGCATACAACGTAGTATAGCTTCTTATCTGGCAGTCGAGAACAAGAGAAATATGCTCCTACCCTACATAAGAGACTCAAGGAGTGCTTTTGCACGGGTATGGCCCAGTGGTCGAATGGCTTGGGTATAGCATTTGCCACGCTCTGCACAAACCTTTTTTTTTGGGTTCTTTATTAGACAAAAGGCCGTAGGTACTTAGTGCTTTTGTATAAACGCTACCAGTGGTTGCGGCGATACATCCGAGTATATAGTCACCTCGTAAACTAAAATTTCGTAAGATTTTGCGACAATGAGTATCCGAAGAGCGTTGGTACCTAGGGACCTACCTAAGGTACTGTACCTACCCGGTCTGGTGGTAGTAGCTTTGCTCCTTCCTCCTCCAGAACAACAACAGTTCTGAAAAGGGAAGTCACCAACATGCGTACGGTCTGACACGGCATATATGATTCTGGTTCCCGCCCCTCAATTCGATTCATTTTTTCTTTCTTTTCTTTTGGTAGTGCAGAGTGTGTCTCTAACCCAGCTATATGCTGGGAATTAGAGCAGGGCCGTACCTATGTCGTCGTTCCTTTCGAGAGGCGTCGCCATTTTTGAAACTCAAATCCCTCCATGGTCCGCTCAATAGCGAGCGAAGTTCCCCTGGGAAGTCTCCCTTTGCATGACATGGATCTAGCCATGTCATTGCTTCTGGCCCTACGGGAAGCTTCCACTGTGCCTGATCCTGGATCTGGCTTGCCGCTAGCGATGTAATAACCTCACAATAACGGAATTCCTATTCACGAAACACATGCGTCGTTATTTTGACCAGATCCGTTCCATCGGGAGTCTTTCAGCATCATTTGTGGCTTGTAAGTGTCTCCCCGTGTCTAACCCTAAGTCGTATCTGGGTTATTGATCAGGCGATATTTGCATATCGACCGGAATATCATCGCTACGATATCCGACTTTATACTCAGGATTTATCCTCTTCAAACCACAGACGTCGACATATGTTATTTGCTGTCTAGATCTGGCAATGTTTTACTAACACAGAGCGTGGATATGTGGTTAGGTTGGGGGTTGAAGTTCGAACGCAAACTTGCCAAGTGGCCGTGGTTTAGGTGATGAGGTAGGTAGCTAGGCCGGGGGATCATTGTCATACTCTTTCTTATTGCATTCTTCCTTTGTCTATTGATTGTGTATGCCGGGGAATCGAGAGACCTGTGTACAAGATATTTAATGCTAAAAACGTGCGGATGCTCTCTCGGTCTTTGGCGTTGGGTAGAAGGCATGGGCTTGCTTCAGCAACAGGCTACTACTCGCAGTCAAAAATCGCATAATCAGTCTCGGTCCTTCAGACCTCACCCAGGCATGGCGTATCCTGAGTCGACGCACATGTGTCAAAGAGCACTCCAGGTGCTCTCGAGCCAGTCCTTGCCCCACGTGGGTCCGCTTATTTTACAGCTAGTGTTACGAGTACAACCTTGCTTTCCTTTGACAGTTCGACTGGCCGAGACTTAGTGATCTTCGCTGCTCCAGCGGCCCGTCGCCGTTGCTAACAGTTCCAACTCCCCAAGCCACATCCTGCGCCGTGATATCATCCGTCAGATTCACTCCCAGCCCGGGTCCCAGCGGATCGGGAATAAGGCTGCTAGACGACAACAACAGCAACCCCGCGCACAGATTTCTCCGAACACGTGTACGTATACTGAATAAGGACTCGATCTATTTCCCGACATTCTTCGCCTCACTCTCCGCAAATCCCTTCAACCCCTCCTCCCAAGCCCCGAAATTCCCCCTCAACCGGCCCTCAAACATCCACTTCACTGCATAAGCAAGATACCCCACCTGGCTCTCCCAATTGCGCACCTCGGTCACCCTGTTCCCATTCCCATCCTCAACCTCGGAAACTTCATGCACGCGCTCGGCAGTAAGAAGTGCGGATACCAGCCCGCCTGCATCGGGATCACTCGCCCAGACAACTCTGCCCTTTTTACCTTCAGTCGTCGGCGCTTTAATCTCAATAATCTGGAGAAATGTATCCTGTAACCCCGATGCATCCGGCTGCGGGACGTCGTTGGTCTCCGGGTACATGTTAACGTGGAAGGTGAATTTCGTTCCGTTTCTCAGGACCGCATCGTCGCTATTAGAGTCCTCCGGCTGCTTGCGCACCGTCACTCGCGGCACGAACCGGTTCCACTTTGGGTATGTTGATGTGTCTGTGAGTGCGTTCCAGACGTCTTGGATGGGTGCGTCGATGAGGATGGAGCTTTGGATCCGAAGGACGGCGGAGGAGGTGGGGATGTTGGGGGTGTCTGGGTGGTTGCCTGGGTCGGACATTGTTTGTTGCTTGGGGTATCGGGGTGGAAGAATACGAGTTGGAGGCAGGAAGCGTAAGGTGTTGCAGCTGTTGGCAAGGTCACCGCTGTATTAAAACTGGGATGAGGTCAGCTCCAAGGTAGGTTGTTAACTAGCTAACTTAGTTGAGGGTCCTAGCTATGCCCCTCACGTGAACCCGTAAGCTCCCACACCCCCATTCACCAGTTCACCTACTTGACAATCAATATCAACACTCAAGGTTGAAGCTATATACTTCGCACTCGCTATGGTTTTAGGAACTCGTGCTGTGTAACTCAAACTCACGATGGCTGAGATTCTCCCCGCTTCTTTGGCTATATCTCCTGGTCTATTCTTGTCCTAGTAACCATCGGTCATTTTACGCCCCTACGGCCCCATTCCGACGGGCTCAAGTAGGGCGGAGATTCTGGTGACTCGGCTGTGCATATCAAACTCGAAATGCAGATACCGACCGTTGACCTTGTACCGCTCGAAATTCGGCCCAGCAAGTTCCGGATCGCCTAGGAACGCCGTGACTTCGGCGCGGCTAGCGGTAGCAGACAGTCCATCTACCAGCGCTGCCGGTCGTGGATACAGCCCGTCGATCGAGGTCCCATCCTGGCTGTCCGGTTGGGTCCGTACCGTGATCATTTCCAAGATATCATTCTCAAAGACCAGTTCTGTTCCTGTTCGCTTGAAGCTGAAGTGCGTCGACTTCAAGCCATCGCCATCGTCAAACTCCTTGACCTCCATCGCAGGGCCTACTAGGATAATAGCTTCAAGAATTTGGCTGTCGCCCTGGCGGTGTCCCAGCACGTCCAGCATCACTGCTATTTCACCAGTAACTGTAGGCATATCCCCCTTCTTTCAATTCTCAGCGGCAGACTGTATAAAAGACCCTATTAATTCTTTTAGATAGAAAACCGTGACTCATAAGGCTCTCGCGGGAATTGAAGGTCTTGTTGAGGAGACGTATAAATTAAATATTTCAGCGATTCAGGGGTAAAGTATTGAAACCCTCCGCTTGATCGAAGCTGCTCTGGATACGAAGCAGATCATGGATCTATTCCCGCTAAACCTACCTGGGCTTCTGAGATCGTATCCAGGTCCATGAACACTGAGCCAACACTCATACTGTAGACACATCCCAACTCCGGCAGCCTTGTCTGTCCCGGAATCTCTATCGGGCATGCTCTCTTACCAAACTACTGCTCCCCGTCCTTGAAAATACAGCTGCTTTATCGGACTCACTCGTTTCTTCACTCCATGAATATGTATTTCGAGGTGAAGACAAAAGCTTTGCTGACAATGTTCAATTTACAACTATCTATTTCAAGTCTAATCTGTCTATACTAATTCCCAGAAAAGCTCCGAGTAGCATCATGTAAAAATAACGTCCTTGAGATGCCATCAATTTTAGCCCACTGGGCTACAATTTTGCCTTCTCAATGTTCCCGCCATTCCTTCGTGTCAAAATAGGCCTTTCAAGCTGCTGCTCAACCTGTATCTCGTCATTCTCTGAAGGAAGGCGGAAACGGACTGATTTTGTTATACGTCCTTGACGCGACACTCGGCCGGATTGGGCGTCTTCCTGGACTCGTGTTGGATCGCGCTTGATCTGGTTGATTACGGATGTCTTTTGGGCCTTTGTGTTGGAGTTTGGTGTCCGACCTTGCGAAGTCTTTTGACTGTTTCGATTAAAAGGCGCGAGGGCACCACCAATATTGGAACTCCTCGCAATTTTATACTCACCAGCAGCGGTACCTGGTACCTTTTTCTGAACCGAATTCATCGAACTCAAAGTGCCGTGTATATGAGTTCCCGAGTTTGTTCGACTCCGCAGGACTGGAGCTAAATGACCGGATTCGTATCCACGAAGAGTTGCTCCTCGAGAAGGTCCCGGGGCAAGATGTGGTGTCAGACGGCAATTACTCCCTCTTTGACTAGTCTTGGTTCGCTGAGGAGTTGGTGTATCTCTTAAAACCGAGTCGTCTTCACAAGCATGAGAGTCTGGTGCACTGTGAGATCCTCCTGAACCTTTCTGGTCTGAGTCACCGTGACCGTCATCCTGTTGAGTCGGCGAATCATCTGGCTCTTCAGAATAATCGTGGTTTGAGGAATTTTGAGGGTCAGGAGGGTCCTGGGGGTCTTCGGGGTCTTTAGGGTCTCGTGGATTTCCCGTGTCGTTCGAAGTTTGCGAGTCATTCTCGTCCTCATCTGATGAGTCCTGCTGCTTTTGAGAATCATCAGAGGTATTTCCATCATTGTCTGGCTCATCTAATGGGGGTTGCAAATTCTGAAGATCGGGTACATCTGCCTCCTCCCCATCATCATATTTCGAGCCAGGCGCGTCTCTTGATCTTCCAGTGCTTTCCAAAGCCTGCCAGTTTGACAAAGGGGGATGGGAATAATCAGACAGTAGTTGAGCGTTTTCGTGATGGATGCCGAGAACTCGCTTCTTAGCAGCTCCCCTATCCTGTAATCCCTTTTGGTACGCGCCGACTAGCATAGAGGCTACTTTCTCTTGTAGATAAGCCGGATCATAGTCGCCCAGGCGCGGTATCTCAGCCATCCACAAATCCAGTTCCGAGGGATTGCCATCCGCATTTACCATCCAGCCGGGAATTTCATAATCACTTCCAGTTTGCTCTGACACTGAGCCGGATGGATCGCTGGCAGATGCAGGACCTGGCATACTGGGCCCAGGTGGTCCAGGTGGTCCTTGAGATCCGTGAGACCCTGACAATCCTTGTTGACTTTGGTTACTGTGCTGGGACCGCTGATCTTCTTCATCAAGATCGCGGCGCTCAAATTCCGATGACTCGCTTTGTATACGCAACCTTTCCAATGCGTTGTCAAGCTCCTCCGAATCCACCCCAGTCGGATCCAGCTGGGAAGGCCCTATTACATTGGTATTCGGGGGTGGAAGCTGTGGCTCCCCTTCCCATGCCTCCTCCTCTTCCTCTTCCCCTACTGGTACACCGTTCGCCAAAGGCGGCTGCGAAGTCATGGTTGGCAGGAGCCCCCACATAAACTCTGCAACCCTTATGACACACATTCCAACAATAGGACGTTGAAGGACTGAATGGAAAGGTGGGTGCTGCAAAAGAGGGCCACTATACGCCGTGGGAATGGGGATATCTTTGTCGTATACAGGTATTTTAGAAAGGCCTGAAAGTTCCTTATAGCTGGCGATGGTTTGCGGGACAAGGGCCGCAATGTCGACAGCACTGGGGGACTTGGTTGCCTTCTGGCGACTGTGTGTTGCACAGATTGAAGATCCGATGTCGTTACCGGACTCAGATGCACTTCGATGAAGCGTGTTGTCGACGCTGTTTAGACAATATTGGCAGATGACATCGTACTCCCCTTCTCGGGGTACGATGCTGGTGGTGGCTGGAATCATAAACATGTAAAGTTTTGGGTCGTTCCAGTCGAGGAAACCGATCTGGAGCCACGATGGCAGTTCGTCGAGAGGGATCAGGGGTACTTGTTTGGCGTCTGGTCGAAGGATGTAGAACTTGGGAAAGGGCGGCCACATAGAGGTTGTTATCTGGGGTTAAATGAACTGGAACGATAAAAGAATGTGATATAAAACGAATGAAGGGGTGATGTGACTGAAATGATGTTGACAAGAATGGGTGTTCAGGAGGATGTGTCCAAGTAGGCTGGATGTTATTACAGAGCCATTACGTTTCTCATTATGGAAAGTGCACCCCTGTAGGTGCTCCTTCCATGTAGGCCGAGGGAGTTATTGCCCCAGGTGCAACTGGTATGAGTCTGACTGCATATTTCTATGCTTGAATTTAATGGATCATAATTATCACATCTGACTTTGTTCTATCTCTAGTTATATAACGTCTATTCAAATTGGATAGTGGGAGTTGGAACCCGGCTAGGCTCTCCTCTCTCCGGCTCTGCATTTTCGCTCCCGCTAGCAATAGAACCCGTCACCCACCGCAACTCCCTCACGACCTGGATGCCGTCCTCACAAGGCGAGGCTGAGTCGTGGTCCGCGCTTACGGAGACATCCGCAGAGTAACTAGCCGGACCTGTGAAAGGACCCCAGGTGTACCCTGGGTCTTGCAATCGCTTCTCTGAATGGCGGCTGTAATTTTTGCGAGCACTTGAGGGGAAAATGCGTGGGAAGATGTGTAGGATGAGTTGTCTGAATGTCGGCAGACTGGCGCAGACAAGGGCGACATTGGCTTCAACGAATGACCATATTGCAACGAGGCCATTATGCTCTGGTACCACCCAGTTAGTTGTACTTATTCCTACAAGACATTGGAAGGGCCAAACCATACTGCTGTAATCTCTCTCCTTAGTTTGTATAAGCTTGACCAGGGAATATAAACGAGCTATGCTCGTAGCACACACACTAGAATGCAATTATGTTAGCAGCGTCCCAAACCTGAGGCAAAATCATCTGGGGTAACGAACAATAAACCAAGGGCAAAGATCAGCATCAGACAGATCCTCTGTCTGAGAGGGATCCGCAACTTGACAAGCAAGGGCATAGGTAGGATGACAATGACAAAATCGCTCGTAATTTGAAGGCCAGCATTGACAAGCCATACTGCTGTGCGCGAGTTGCACCCCGGGTGGTCGGTTTGCGTGCTCCAAAATTCATGGACGGGCACGCATACAAGAAACGTGCCAATGACCATGTATAGTGTAACTCCAACGAATACTACCAGTATGGTCATCAATACCCTGCGGTAGACTTTTGTCGGGAAAAGGCGCAGGTATAGAATGATCATCGAGATCTTCGTGAGCTGGAGCGTCAGGTTGTACAAGGGGACAGAAACCCATAACATCTATTCAAGCGTCATTGTAAGTACATAAGTCTACTCGTCGCCCTCGGACATTGCAATGCTCACCTTGAGTTGATTCCGATATGTGTCCTCTGAGAGCACCCTCTCTGCGGTCCCTAGGCCGTATTCATGCTCTAGACCAAGTTAGCACTCTATACATCCAGCAGTCGAAGCCAGAATCTCGCACCAGCTATCAAAACGCCGAAGAATGCATAATCCGTTATCTATAACCGATTAGTCCAACCAACCCATTACAAACCCCTCAAAGGTTAACGGCGCACACACCAAGGCAAGCAGCAGAAACCAATCATCCCAGCCTGGAGAATTAAGCAGGCGAATGCGCGTGAAAAGCCTTAGGGCCACTACTATGGTGGCCACCGAGATAAATACTATCGACACAGGAAGGACGTACATCCTGCACTTCGACAGCGCGGTCGGCGCGCGAGCTGGTGTGAGTGCCTGGCTAGAACTACAGTTGTGAAGAAAACCATGTGTGAGAGGGGACTAGGAATACCGCCACTGTGACATGGTTGACACTGCCTGTTAAGAATGCCCCAATTGCGTCAAGGACTAGTAGGTGGCGGCCAACCGAATTACCGCAATGCACTGCATAATTGAGACTCTCCCGAGGAGAATTGGCTCCTGGCACTTCGCGGAAGGGGGATCCGATCCATGGGACGGAGAGATGTAACCTTGGAATGTTGTATAGTGACAGCCGTTATGTAACTATGAAACTATGACTCGCCGGTTACGAAAAAGGGAAAAAGGGCCGGCCGAGAAAAGCCCGCGCTGAAGAGTTGCCTACAGGCGAGAACATGAAATATTGGCTAGGTAGGTAACGAATCATTTCTATCTAAAGCGAAAGCTAAGCTGTATATTCGTAGTGGCAAGTCCAGCAAGCGACCGTCATACCTAGAGCTATCGAGGTAAAGATAACCTTCGCTTCCAGGTCTCCGGTAAGAATGAGACATAACCAAAAGAGAAGATTCTGCCGTAAGGCTCCTCCGCATGTTCGCTTTCCATGTAAGAACGAACTTTTCATTCTTCATCCCCACGAGTCCGAGATGTACAGTGTCAGTTGTCGGATCCCGTATGAAGCCACCCCAAAGATCTAGTTAGAATCCAGCCAACAATCGTTGTGTGCTAGAGCAGGTATCGTAATGGTTGAAACGCGCAAGGAAAATCATATACAAAACGCTAGATCATGGTATATTTACAGGCGGGACTTCAGGTTGGAACGGAGTCTGCGCTCGACAGCAGCCATGTACTCGCGGGTGGTGACCCACGCCTCACGATCCTTGCGGCCACAGGCAAGAGCAAGATCCTTGGTCATGATGCCCTCGTCGTTGACAACGTCGATACAGGCGCGCTCGAGCTCCTCGGCGAACTTGACGACATCGGGGGTCTCATCAAGGGTACCACGCTGAACAAGACCACGGGTCCAGGCGAAGATGGAAGCAATGGGGTTGGTAGAGGTCTCGCGGCCCTTCTGGTGTTCACGGTAGTGGCGGGTGACGGTGCCGTGGGCGGCCTCAGACTCGAAGGTCTCGCCGTCAGGAGTAATGAGAGTCGAGGTCATCAGACCGAGGGAGCCGAAGCCTTGAGCAACAATGTCGGACTGGACGTCACCGTCGTAGTCTAGAGAAGGCGTTAACAGTGGAATTCAATGCCTGCCATTTCATGTCCAACTTACTCTTAAGAGCCATGATGAAACCACCCTCGCTCTTGATCATCTGGGCAACCATGTCGTCAATAAGACGGTGCTCATACCAGATACCCTTGGCATCGAATTCCTTCTTGTAGGTGGTGTCGAAGATCTCCTGGAAGATATCCTTGAAGCGGCCATCGTACTTCTTGAGGATGGTGTTCTTGGTGCTCATGTACAGAGGGAGGCTCTTGGCGATGGCGAGCTTGAAACTGGCGTGAGCGAAGCCACTAATAGACTCATCGGTGTTGTACTGGGTCTGGGCGATGCCGCCGCCGCCCTGGAAGTCGTAGACCTTGATAGACTCGGGCTGGCCACCCTGGGGAGTGTAGACAAGCTCAAGCTTGCCGGGGCCGGGGATCACACGGTCAGTAGCACGGTACTGGTCACCGAAGGCGTGACGGCCGATGATGATAGGCTTGGTCCAGCCGGGAACGAGACGGGGAATGCGAGGAATGACGATGGGCTCACGGAAGACGGTGCCACCGCTAAAAAAGATATTAGCACACACCGACAACAGTTAAAGATAAGGGGGACGTACAGGATGTTACGGATAGTGCCGTTGGGAGAGAGCCACACTATAGAGAAGACATGTTAGCCAGCCGCCCTGCTCTGTTGGAGTTCTATGCTTACTCTTCTTCAGCTTGAACTCCTCGACACGGGCCTCATCAGGAGTGATGGTGGCGCACTTGACACCGACACCATACTTCTTGATGGCCTCAGCGGACTCGACCGTGACCTTGTCATCGGTCTGGTCACGGTACTCGAGACCCTACAGGAAAAGGTTAGTACGGTGGAGATATGTAGTAGGAGTCATGGGATGCGTACCAGGTCGTAGTACTTGAGATCGACGTCAAGGAAGCTAGCTTGTCTCAGCCAAGGTACTACAAAGCCGAGGAGTATGTTCACAACAACTTACGGCAAGATCAACTATAGCAGCAAGCGATTGTTAGCCATTGAGCTCGGCCAAAGGCGGGTGCCACATCAAGACATGACGCAGCAGAGATCAATAACCGAAGACTCACCTTCTCTCTGATTTCCTTCCAGATAATACGGGTCATCTAGGGAGGGGGAGGTCAGTGACATGTGACAAACTAAATAGCATGAAGCACGCTTGTTGGCTGCAGAGTCTTGACCCTCGGGGCATTGACGTCGGCCAAACAGGGAAGCAGGGCAAATGTCGCCGTTTTCCCCCGCGTTTACGGAGGGTCACCACGAAAATGCGGCTCCGATGATCAAGACAACCAAGATATAAGGGTGCAGTCGCACAGCGCACGGCCAGACTATGCAGCCCGAACCCCAACGCGCGGAATGGGCAGTTTATTTCAATTTCGCGTTTGACCACGCCTGGAATGAACCTACCTCATCACCGTCCAACTCCACGACGGGGTTCTTAACCTTGATCTTGGGTCCTTCAGTCGCCATGGTGCGGGATTGGATGCGGTACAGAGCACGAGTTGCTGCGGGACGGGTGATGCGGGCAGAAGATGAAGCGAGGGCGCGAGCGGTAGAGGGGGAAGCAGAAGAAGAGGAAGAATAAGAAGATCGGGCAGAATAAGAGGCAGAGGAGAATGAGCGAAGAGCGGAGGAACAAGGAGGGGCAGCGCAGGAGAGAGGGGAGTTGAGGGAGCGGCGAGCCAATGCGGAAGTGAACCGAACCGACGACATGGTGGAAGAATGGAAGCGGGCTTATTTCGCAATCAATGCAACTGGGTAAACGATACTAGGGTGTGGAGGAGGGGCGGATGATTGCCCGTGGTCTGCGAGAAGCGGATTCGACAATCGGTAAGTAGAGGCCTTCGCAGTGAACCTTGGAGAAGGCGATTCAACGTACCCGAGGGAACTGAGGCAGAAGACTCGGGTGGAAGGAGAGACGGTGGAGTCGCAGAGGGACAGCAGCAGCGATCTGGCGGAACAGGGCGAGGTATCGCGGAGCAGAACGGAGCTGGCCGGAAAATGATTAACTGCCAGAGGAGAAGGACGAGAGATGCGGAATCTGCGAGCTGGTGTGTTGGAAGAGACGAGGAGACTCTTTCTTATCCCCACGAGGCCGTGATGGAGCTCTTCCTTTTCCGCCCACCGTGCGCGCCGAAGCCGGCCGTCTTGAATAACACAATCAATAATGGGAACGAGGGAGCTACAGCGATATCCAGTTTTTGGAACAGCGATATCCAGGTTACAGAGAGGCGAGACAAATCGACGACTACGAGCGGCGGTATAAGAAGCTGGTGACGTTGGTCAGACGACTCTCCATACTCCAGACTCTGGGTGAGGTTCATGCGAACTGCGGAGTGCAGCCGGCGGCTTGGGAGGCGACATTTCTCCGTCCACAGAGGGTTTCCATAGCTGACACTGTGTCATTTTACTGCTGCTAACGGTGCGCATTTCAAATCAGCGCCAGAGAATATCTCCGTTGGCTGCTGGGCACTGAATGTGATCCCGGCACAGCCTGGAAGCTGCTCGAGCGTTTTCCCGCGGTCCCTGCAAATTTCCCGCCGGCCACAACGCCGAACGTGCGATCTTCGGATGTTGCGTCGCATTCGCCGCAGCCGGTTTCCTGTGCTACCACGGAGTTGGTACACTCTTCCGCGGCTATCCACGGTAAGTTAGGCACTAAGCTGAATAATAATTAATATTCTCTGTATAACTATTTTATGTATAAATCCCTATCCTGTTGAAGTTGTATAACCCTGAGTTTCCATACCATCCGCTGGGCTCGACAAGTTGAAATGAACCCTCCCAATGCTACCATGCTAGTCGTAAATTTAACAAGAAGAAAAGAAGACAAGAAGACATCTACTTGTAATGCCGGAAAAAAGGTGTATCAACGGAGAAGCTCTAGAAGAGTCCATCGATCTCCCCGGTCTCGGGGTCAATATCCACATTCAAGTATCCAGGAGCTGTCGGCAACCCGGGGATTGTCTGAATGTCCGCCGCAAGCGCGTACCTAGTGAAGAACCATCGGTTAGTTAAACTCTAAAACGCTAGCTATGTAGCCAAAGTGGGAGGGGGAAGAGCCTTACAGATATCCACCGCCCACGGCCAACCGCACGTCGCGGATGGGGACAGTAAATCCAGTGGGAGCCCCCTTGAGTGCCGGGTCGTGACTCAGGGAGTACTGGGTTTTGGCGATACAGATCGGAAGGTTAGAGAAGCCTTGGGCGGTGTATGTGTCGACCTTCTTCTGCGCCAGCTCGCTGAACTCGACCTTGTCCGCACCGTACATGGCCTTACCGATGCGTTCGATGCGCTCCTGGATGCTGCCCTCCAGATCGTACAGGAGCTTAAAGTCCTTGGGTTTGGAGCTGGCAATTATGACAGCCTTGGCTAGGTCGACAGCACCAGCTCCGCCCTCGGCCCAGTGGTTGGCGGAGACGGCGTCCTCGGCACCAGCCGAAATGGCTTCTTCGCGGATAATTGCGATCTCGGCCTCTGAGTCCGTCTCGAAGCGGTTGATGGCCACAACGACTGGGACTCCATATTGACGGGCGTTCTCAATGTGCTTCTTCAGGTTTACGCAGCCCTTGCGGAGAATTTCAGTGTTTTCTGTGCGGTAAACCTCGTGAAGGGCAGCTCCCGGGCTAATTTCAGGACCGCCGCCATGAACCTTCAAAGCGCGTACGGTCGCAACAATAACAACCGTGTCTGGGGAAAGACCGGAGGATCGGCACTTGATGTTGAAGAAGCGCTCTCCTCCCATGGTAAAATCGAAACCAGCTTCCGTAACGACGAAACCGGTCTTGGACTCGTGGTCCTCCTCGGGTTCGGTACCAGCGAGCTTGAGCGCTACCCGATCCGCCAGCACTGAACTGGCTCCGATACTGATGTTGGCGAAGGGACCGGCGTGGACCAGAACAGGCGTGCCCTCCAGACTCTGCATCAGGTTGGGCTTGATTGCGTCCTTCATCAGTGCTGCGAGGGCGCCTCCTGCGCCAATATCGTCGCAGGTGACCGGCTCTCCCCGCTTTGAGGTAGCAACAACCATACGGCCAAGTCTCTCCCGCATATCCTCAAGATCACTGCTCAAGGCGAGGATGGCCATACACTCACTGGCAACAGAAATGTCGAATCCAGTTTCGCGCGTAAGCCCCTTCTCTGTCGGCGCCTGGCCAACGGTAATTCCTCGAAGATGTCGGTCATTGACATCCAAAACACGACGCCAGGTGATGGTTGAGGGGTCAATGTCAAGACGGGCAAACCGGTTAATTTCATCCTCAGTAAGTTCGTTGGGGTCAGTCTTGGTTATTCCCAGCTTCTTCAGTCGCTTGAACATGATAGGCTTAAACTCGCGCTGGCCCTTCTTCTCGGGGACAAGGCGTCTGTAAAGAGCACCATCCTTCTGGGTAGCCTCGTGGAACATGCGTGTCTCAATGGCAGCGGCAAGCAAATTGTTGGCGGCGGTGATTGCGTGGATATCACCTGTCAAGTGCAAATTAAACTCGTCCATAGGGATAACCTGACTGTATCCTCCACCGGCGGCTCCACCCTTGATACCAAAGGTCGGGCCCTGACTGGGCTGACGGACGTTGGCAAAGGCAACGCGGTTGAGATGTGCGCCTAGGGCTTGGCTCAGACCCAATGTAGTCGTAGACTTGCCCTCACCAAGTGGGGTAGGAGTGATACCGCAAACCAAAACATATCGGCCATTGCGGCGGTGACTTAGCCGGTTGAGAAGTCCAAGGCTGACCTTGCCCTTTGTATGACCGTACGGCTCAAGCTCGTGGGGTGCAATGCCAATCTCAGAGGCAACTTGTGTGATAGCTTTAGGGTATTGTGAGCGGGAGATGGCAATGTCTGACGGTACCGGGGTAGCCAATTTGATCGGGAGCGGGGTGATATGCCTCTCTTTCTGTTTCTCAAAGTACGCTTTGGCCGATGAGACGACGTTGTCCAGCAGCATAGCCACTGTCATGGGACCGACGCCACCGGGAACTGGTGTGATCTTTGACGCCACCTGGGAGGCAGACTCAAAGTCGACATCTCCGACCAGACGCTGGCCTGACTTTTTAGTAGAATCAGGCTTGTAGTTGATACCAACGTCAATAACAACAACACCTGGCTTCAACCATTCGCCTTTCACAAATTCGGTCTTCCCAATGGCCGCGACAAGAATATCCGCCTTCTTCAGAGTGCCTGCAATGTCGGGGGTTTTCGAATGGCACACAGTCACGGTTGCGTCAGCGTCTTTGAGGAGGTAGCTCACAGGGCTCCCAACAATGTCACTTCGGCCGAGGACAACCGCCTCCTTGCCTGCTGGGTCGACACCGCTAGCCTTGAGGAGAGCCATCACGGCCTTGGGTGTGCAGGGAACGAAGAGGGGGTGACCGCCTCGTTTGGCGAGTTCGCCAATGTTGACCGCTCCGAATCCATCGACGTCCTTTTCGTCAGCCACAGCGGAGGTGACTGCGTGCTCAGAAAGGTGCTGGGGTAGCGGTAATTGGACGAGAATGCCATGTACTGATGGGTCGTTGTTGGCTTGGCTGATCTCCTGAAGAATCTCGGCCTGTGTAATAGACTCGGGGAAATTGACAATCTTGCAGAGGATGTTTGCCTTGACGGAGGAATACAGTTAGCCGATGCACATAACTTAGAGAGAGTTGCGAACAGATACTAGAACATACTTCTTCAGCGGCCCTCAACTTCATACGCACATAAGTGCCTGGACGTATGATAAATTAGTACCCTCAAGACATTGAACACCACTGCAATCGGACTCACTCGAATCGGACCTGTCTCCCACTTCATAGTTCAATGTCAGTACTGCTCCGGCATGTTTGTAATTTCGAGGCAGCCTACATACCTTGAAAGATCACCAGGCTGGGCTTGAATCTTGGGTTGATATCCTGGATCTTCTGAATTTCATCCTTCAACCCCGCGCGGATATCCTTCGCGATCTGCGTGCCATCGATCCTTTCGGCTGCCATCGCAACGTCAGTGCTCGAAAATGGCCGGGTCTGACACAGTAAAACGGGAAAGTTTTTGAGGTTTCCCGATGAGGGTCGGGCAACGAACGGTATCCGACGAGTCTTGGTAGAGAGTCCCGATCGACCAAAGCACTGTTGAGAGGATGGAAAAAAGGAAGGGTTGGGGAAGGGAGATGGGCGTGAGGAGAAATATCGACACTGAACCCACGGAGGGAGACCAAAGCTGTTTGCGCGAGCAGCACAGCGGGGTAGGGTCGCCGAATGGGCGGGGGGATATGGCATCAATTTACTCCTTTCGGGTGCGTCGCGCCGGAGAACTGGGCATGCAGATAGGGAAATGGTCGACCCAGCGGAGTCGATTTGGAATAGCAATGAATAACGGGCTCGGAGTTACACAATTGAATAATAGGGCCAGCAGCAAAGAATAACAGCACAATAGCAACACCCTCCTCTCAATAATCCGATGACTTTCGACTGTATACAGCGTCGTCCTCCTGATGATTTTCCCTTCGCTCCGAGTGATGAACGGCTCCGAGATAGCTGGCTTCCTATTGGCCCAGAGTGCAGGGCAGCTGATGTCAGCAACCCGAGGCAGGTGTAGATCACACTATGCCATTTGTGAAAACGATTGTAGGGCTACCAGAATCACATGATCTAATACCTTCGTACCGGAATATCTAAGTCTCCGGTATGATCTGGGTCATATAGAACGCCTAATGGGGAAGTCTTGGCGCTGGACCCGCGGACTGTGCGATGAAATTCGTGATCTTGCCGGGTGAAGTTAAAGAAAGGCCGCCGCAATCAACCCCGCCAGACAATCAGCCTCAACACGCAGTTGGTATCACAGATAGCATCCATCTGTGTTCCAAGTTATTATACCCCTTTGCGATATCAGCTAAATCACATATTGGCTGCTCAAAATGAGACCGATTTTGCTTGCGGGCCATGTGCGTTTCCCTCAGTCTCGGAAGAGCCTGCTCAAGTCTTCTCGCTGGCCTAAGCTGCCTAAACCAGTCGCTAATCTTGAATAATCTTGCAGGAACGGTCCCTTAACCAGATCAAATTCAACCGCGACGGTGACCTCCTTTTCTCAGTATCCAAAGATAAGATTGTGTGCGCTTGGTGGTCCGCCAACGGTGAACGACTTGGTACCTATGCCGGACATTTGGGTGCTGTCTGGACAGTCGATGTCAGCCCCAACACCATTCTCCTCGCGACCGGCTCTGCAGACAACACCGTGCGACTATGGAACGTAAAGTCTGGCGAGAACGTTAAGACATGGGAATTCCCTACGGCAGTTAAGCGGGTCGAATTCAGTCCGGATGGAAGCAAACTACTGGCCGTGACAGAGAAGCGTATGGGTTTCTTGGGTACGATTGTCGTTCTCGATGTAAACTACGATGGCGAATTCACGGACCAGGCTGAGGAGCCCAGCCTGAAAATCACCTGCAACGAGAGCAAGGCCACAGTTGCGGGATGGAGTTATCTGGGCAAGTACATTATTGCTGGACACGAAGACGGAAGCGTTAGCCAGTATGACGGAAAGGTGTGATAGGACTCCTGGATTTGATGAGAAGAGGGACGGGATGTGCTGATATTTTTGTTATAGACCGGTGAACAGCTGGAAAACGTCCAGGCACACGAGTTCGACCAGCAGATCAACGACATTCAATTCTCCCCCGACCGCAGCCACTTCCTTACGGCCTCTAAAGACAAGTCCGCCAAGGTAGGCAGTTTTAACCTTCGTTAAGAAATTATAACTAATTCAAACCAGCTTATGTCTTCCCGTAACCTCGCTATCATGAAAACCTACGTCTCCGATACCCCACTGAACAGCGCCGCCATCACAGCCAAAAAGGACTACGTTATTCTGGGAGGTGGTCAGGCCGCCATGGATGTCACTACAACCTCCGCCCGCCAGGGTAAATTCGAGGCCCGCTTTTACCACAAGGTCTTCGAGGACGAGATTGGCCGTGTCAAGGGTCACTTCGGTCCTCTCAACACCATTCACGTCCACCCTGCTGGTACGGCCTATGCTTCTGGTGGTGAGGATGGTTACATTCGTGTTCACCATTTCGATAAGCCTTACTTTGACTTTATGTATGAGGTTGAGAGGGAGCAGTTGAGGCGGTGAAGTGCATGATGTTTGAAACGACTGTAGAATTTCCTTTTTCCAGTTTATTGCATCTCTTGAATGTGTCATGAAGTGATGGCATACATTTGTTTACAACAAAAGCACAGAAAAGAGACAGCTGCACGTGGTGGGTTCAAGGAAGACCTGAGTGATTGATGTGGTAAGCTACATTTCCTCTATATCATGATAAGACGGAGTTGGTATCATTTTCGTGTCCTAATAAAAGAACCTTTTACTACACCAAAAATTTCTTAAGTTTGTAGATGGCATGAGATGATGGAATTTTATTCCTCTAAATCGCCGAAAATATTCATGTCTTAACCAGTTCAACACCAAGTTGACGCTTATGAACGCAAATCAAGTCACCGAATAAAACATGTCATATCATTCAATGGAGGGCATAAAATAACAACCGAGAAACAGCCTGGGACATGAAGGCCAAAGAAAAAAAAAAAAGTCATTAACGATGCCCCCCCTCCCCCAAAGAAAAAGTCGCGGGCTCACCCCCGGTCTCTTTACTTTTTCTTAGGGAACTTCTCCTTTCCGATGTCACTGCCTCTCAGCTTGACGTTGAGTACGCGCTCCATAGCGCTAAGTACCTTCTGGTCGGGGGTAGCTGATCCCCTCTCGAAATCCTGGATGACGGTAACTGTGGTGTTGCACTTGGTGGCGAGCTCCTTCTGTGTCATCTTGTATCCCTCATCAGTTCGACGCTTCTTGATGGCGTCTGCAACTTGCAGCCCGACGGTCTTGGGCTTAACGATGTCGTCGCTGCGGTCGACCTTAGTGAGATGTTGGCCTTCGGGTGCACCAGAGCGGCCAGCCTAAAGATAATTAGTATGTGGCGGGCAAAGAAAATTATGTTTCTGCAGTTAAATGCGACTTACTGTGTTTCCGGATGCATATTTCTTCTCGGTTCCAATAACGAGGCCCTGGCGTTGGGCGGCGTTCAAAGCGCTCTTGCCCTTGACGACGGTCTCGCGGGGAGCGGGGCCACCCTTGTGCTTGGTGCCAATGCGAGTAACGGAGTCCCAGCCTTCGCTCATGATTGCTTTAAAATTAAAAGATCGGGTAGAAAGAGTGATTCGGTGTGTGTGTCTATAGAGGTCTATCAGGAGGGTCGGGAAGGTTGACGGTTAGAGGATTGCGATCGCGTGAGGTTTGAAAGAGGAATGCTCAAGCCTCACGGTGGCCCACCGTATTTATATGGATGACACAGATTGGAAGTTTCTCGAGCCTTTGATGGCGGAGTCCCAATTCGGGCGGAATGTGCTAACTTATTATGGACTAGTGCACTGACATCATTGGGCCTTGAGTCACTTTCAGAGCGGCCCCGGAGGCAAATGTCGGCCCTGTCATCCATGAACAGAGGGACATATGGTGCAAATGTCCATGGTACTGGACGAGTGAAGGCGAAAGGCGAATATTCAATCGGAATAGAGAGAAAACTCTAGTGTTGCTTCTGCTGCCGCAGATGGCAAGTATAGATATAACTGCGTTGATGCAACCCCGGCGGATACCTTATCGTGTGCCTTATCTTAGGCAGTCTGGCGGGCTTTGCTGGATAAAAAAATTCACCACTAATTCACAGAGCCGTAAGCAGCCATACCAACAGAGATGATTGAGCCAACATCCATGGCCGGCTGTGGCTTCCAGTACTCGAAGCCCGCAGTGTCTCATATTCATTTCATAATTCAAAGTGCCTGAGGAAACAAACCCGACCGAATCCACCATTCCCACCAATGGGAATTGTTCAGCCTAGCAGTCCGGGCGGCCTCAGGAACCAACGATTGTCTCGTCCCTGCTCGGCCCCATTCATCCATCCATCAACATCCATCCATCTCATTGCTGATCAACGACTTCCCATTCGGAGATCTCGTTTTTACACCCGGCCTCTTTAACGGACCAAATACGTTTTCTTGAATTTACCAGTCGGTTTTCTGACCCAGTCTCTTTCGTCTGTCATGGCATCCCAAGAGATGTTCCAATCCGCCTTGACCAGCCGGTCGCTCCGTAATGTCCGCTCGGTATGGTCCTCCCCCTTGATTTGTATGGTGATTGCGAGACTGTTCGTCATGTATGCTAATATACTTCGCCCTCTAGGAACTGGAGTTTCTAGCAGATGCCTCCGTCATTACCCCTCAGCAACTTTCGTCCATGTTGTCACAGCTACCCAATTCGAGTGAGAGCACACGTCAACTGCCTGTACACTCAGAGCCATCTCCGGTGCAGCTGCCACCTGCAACTGCCCAAGTCATACCCCCACCGGCTCCTGTTCAGGCTACACCCTCGCCCGCTCCATACTCACCTCCTACGGCTCAGTTTGGGAACACTTCGTTGAATGAGAAGCACCAAGCCCCCGTGAACACGCCCCCGCCTCAGCAATATTACTCAAGCCCACCTCCTGCTTACCCGCAGGCGCCAACTGTGCTTTCTGTCGCCTCGGCCCTCTACGCGTACACCCCAACGGATGCGGGAGACTTGGCTTTGCAGCCGAATGATCGCGTCCAGGTTCTAGAGCATATGAATCCTGATTGTATGTTTACCCTCCTAGAAACAACCATGAGGCCTGATACTAATCCACTACAGGGTGGCGTGGTCGCAACGAGCGCACAAACCTCGAGGGTATCTTCCCTCGCAGCTATGTCAATGTCTTGGACGAAAAGGCCCCCCCACAGCCTTCTAACTACGGAAACATGCCGCTCGATGTCAGCCAGAGTGGCTCTGGGGCACCTGGCAAACACGGAAAGTTTGAGGAGCACGGCAAGAAGTTTGGCAAGAAGATGGGTAATGCTGGTATGTCACCAAAATAACTATTCCGGTCTCCAACGTGCTCAGAACTAACTTTATTTTGCAGCAATCTTCGGTGCTGGTGCTACGATCGGTTCCAACATTGTTAATAGCGTTTTCTAATCCCGCGTTTTCTTGATGCATGGCCTGGATTGCTGTGTCTTCATTGAAATCGGAACGCAAATCGCGTTTCTCCAATCTTTTACCTCTCGTTTGTCCCATGGGGTGGCGTTGGTGGATCGGTTTTTCTTATAATTCTGTGCATGAAGGGCCGGCCCATAGTACATTATGCCCCTAAGAGTTAATGGTGTCCACTTCAGGGTATATGTTACGGGTCTTTCCGTTATCAAGTTTCTGACTTGGCTTTCTAGGGTATCTACATGCAAAAAGGCGTTTTTGGTAATTAATATTCTTAGGGAAAGAAACCAACTAATGCGGAAACTATCTGTACGGACCTTAGGAATCTTACCGCGGTGCCGTCGCATTGGATCCTGTTTCTGTTTCATTTGGCGCCGTATGGTCGTTCTATATTAAGATTCGCTGCTGCACTTAAGCGCCGACAAACGTGGCGGTCTCCCATCGTAGATCTTGACACTCCCCCACGAACTTGCGTTACTGGGCTCTTGATCTGGGCCCCAGCTAGATGATTCCATGGACAATTATTGGCCTCGACAGGTTTGTTGCCGCAGCCAACTTGCGGGTCGTTTCTAAGTAAATGGATCATCATCCCCGATTCAATGTGTAGGCTGCGGCAAGGCGACCCCCAACTCCCAAGGCTGATCCGTGCCCCCCCCCCCAAGTCTGGTTTGCTATTTAATTAAAATCTAGCCCCTTCATGTCTCTTCGTGGTGATGGGTTCCGTGGTCCATTGTAAACTCTGCTCATATCTAGTCCGCTGGGAGGACTAAACCCGAAACAATGCCGGTCATGGTCTGGCACTATATCTTGCTCATGCTCTTTGGGGTAACGAGCGTTCGAGCAGAACCCTGGGAAGATTTTGCAAATAACTTCGCTGCAGACTTGGTATTTGCTCAATTCTTTCTCCACCTCATTTGGCTACCATTTGCGCTGACGCTCGGTTTCCCTTCAAGGCACCCCTGGTCGCTCTCTTTGGCGAGCGACTAACAAAACAATTCCTGGCCGAATCCACCAGCCTTCTCGACAACTTGATCTTCGCTGTATGTCCGCTAGGGATCTTGACGGCTGTGGTGTCTCTCATTCGAATATGCGGGAATTCGTCTCTCCGAGCTTTCGTCGGCAGGGCTAACGAAGCTCCTGGAGAGGCAGAGAATGAGCTGCTCTCCTGTGTATCCGAAGGTACGGCGGAGTTATTTAATAATGGTGGCATCTCTAGGGTGTCTGGCAGGCCCAGAATCTTGGAAGTTGTTGTATGGGAAGAGCAAGGCTCTTACAAACTTGGGCATCTGCGAGATGCCCTCGAGGATGGTGCTTGGTCTGAAGAGGGGGAAGAGATTCAACATGAGAAAGGACTCCATTCTCTCCCTGAACTTGATATACCAAATTTGTCATTGAATAAGGGTATCAAACGGAGAGGAGTTGCATGGTTCTACCTTGCTGCTTTAATGGGTATAGCCCTACAAGGAGGTGTGTTCTCGATTCCAATTCCTTAGTTGACTCTCAAGGCGGTTCCTTTTACTGATGCGAAACTAGGTACACTTATATATGCGGCCATGACGGTCTTCTGGTATTCCAAAATTTTCAAAGATGATTGGGATTCGCCCGCCAACTATGCTCTCCCGCTTTATTGTTACGGGTCGGTATCCCTTTGCCTGGGCATGTTTCTATGTGCCTTCCTTATCGAACGTTCATCAAACGAGCGCTACTTATATTCAACAAAACCAAGCAAGATATACTGGTTGCAGCCGGGGCGGCAGTCAATTGGAGATCAGGACTTTGGAGCTTTCCTTGCTGTTGACGAAGGCCCGCTCTCATCAACTACGCAACACCTAACATACACAAAATCCGTTCGCGGCCCTACACCAAAAGGCAGACGGCCTTTCCTCGTCTTCACAATTTGCCTCACTGCTACCGGATTCATTGCACAATTCGTTGGACTCCGTGGCCTGCATCCATCTGTCATAATTGCAGATGTTGGATCTACCCTTCTTATGGCTGTGGTACGCACACTGCTGAGAACTAAGCGAATTGGCTCAGAGGGAAATCGGTTTAGTAAGGAGGATCGAGAGGTATTCTCCCACAATCAACAAGAACTGGATTGCTTTGCGTATCAGCTTGAGAACGTTGAATCTTTCCGTTTAGTATCAAGCCCTGTGCATCACACTGCGCGGTCACGGTCTGGGTCATGTTCGACGGACAGCTCCTCGCAAACATCAATCCAGGCTTCTGATCTCGGGGCAAGGCTCATAAGAACCAGAGCTCAACTAGCTCAGCTCACTTCCTGCGGTCGCCACCCAAGTATGGATTGGGACGATCTCCCAATCCGGAAAGTGGCCCAGGATTTGGCAAGCACGATCGAGATGACAATGGAGGTCGTCTCAAGATGGAAGGAGATTCCCAGTAGCACCTGCAGTTTTGAGCTTTCCTTCGCCTGCCAGCACAGTCACAGCCACAAGTCCATGAGCTCCCCACTGGAGACGTACTCTATTACGCTTACACGGTCAGACGATACGCTTCAATGGAGTGTTGACGAGAACGAGCTGGAGGCAATATTAGGGCTTTGGACCTTTTCGTTGTTGAAGTCAGATCCGAAATGGTTACAGAAGGGCCTTGGACGGGCCGTGGGACTGACTAAGGCCGAAGCCAGCGCTGAAGCAACGGACCTATATTTCCACAAATGGATCTACCGCCAAAGGGAAGCTATGATGGTATCATCCAAGATGATATCCTTCTCAGAGCAGAGTTTTGGTTACTACTCTGACAGCCACCTGGATAGCAAGGAAATCCTTGTTGTGAAAACTGAAAACAACTTGGAGGTTATGGCCGCGCAGGACATCTACATTCAATTTCTCATGAGTATCCTGACGGGAACCAAGTCTCTCAGCGGTGGCGTTGACATCCTTCCGGTCTCTCACAACGGCTTTCTGGCCCAAAGCACTGACATTGACGAACTTGTAAGCTGCTTCGAATCTGGAAACCTAGGCTCGAGGGAGGATGCTTTGCTGTGTGTTGTACCGGTCCTTAACCATTTGGGTCTTCTTCCTGTGCTTGCAGGCGATACAGCCACCGTACGGGGGCGCGTTCAAAAGCTTATCTCTGACGGAAAATGGGATGATGCATTTTCCACGCTTCAATGGCTTTCCATGCGATGCGAAGGCGACGAATTTGAAAGTTCTATATTTGAGCTCGGTCTTCTCTGTCAGCGAGCAATACTTACTAGAAAGGCAGATGTTCGAGATAAGGGCCTCGAAATGGCCAAATCCCTCCTCCAGTGTGATGCTAGATTCAGGTTTTTCAGCGGCCTTCGAAGCCCGCGGCCCTCGAACTGGATGGGCTCACACGACCGAAGGAAATGGTGGGCTAATTTTTCTCGCCAGCTGGGATGGGCTATATGGCACATTGCCAACAGGCTGGGTCAGCAGGAAATGGCAGCTTTTCTAGAATCGATCGGGTTTTCAAGCAACTTGGTCCTACAAACGAACTGTGCCAGTGTTGACCACATGGAGCCTGGCATTGCACCGCTCATGGTACTGGCTTCCCTGGATCCCGAGCAAGTGGTCGAGCTTCAGGGTAACTACCAATATGAGAATGATTTGTACCTGGCTGAGTGCTTAGAATGGGTCAACTCAAATGAGCAAACAGCTCTGCGGTACTGGTTTTTGGCTAGATGGGCGGAGGTTGGACAGCAGCTTCCACATCAGGCCATGAGAGCATTCGTGCGTGCGGCGCAAAGCCACTCGGATTCGACTATTCAAACTCTTTGTCGACTAGGAGCGGATATCGATGCGATTGGAAACGAGGGTTGTACTGCTCTAATGGAGTTGGTTGCAACCGGAAATATGGAAGCGACAGAAAAATTACTTATGCATGGAGCTGACGTGAACTCAAGCTCTGCAATGAACAAAATGACTTCATTGATCTTCGCCGCCATTCAAGGCCGCGAGGATTTTCTGGTTCTTCTCCTCGATCATGGCGCAGATCTCGAGCTGCGCAATTTGGTCGGCTATACGGCTTTCCACTCGGCCTGTACAGAGAATCAATTGCTCTGTGCCGCCCTGCTTCTCGAGAAAGGTGCAGATGTTGAGACAATTGCCGCAGATGGACGCACTCCTCTCCTCTCTGTCGCAGTTAGCGGTGATATGAACATGGTCAACTTTCTCATAGACATGGGGGTCAACATTAACGCCACGGACCCTCAAGGCGACACGGCACTGACGTTGGCGACAAACTTGGAATACGAAGAAGTTGTCCGCCTCTTACTGGGTAGACAGGCCGATACAGAGAAGAGGAATAACATGGGTAGGGCGGCGCTTGACATAGCGAAAGAGCGCGAAAATGCGTCGATTGTAGCTATTTTGGAAGCTGCATAGATATTTAGCGGCGGCGGGTGCCCGCACGGGGCACCACTTACATTGGGATAATAGGAGTTTGAAACGAGAATCATCTCTGTCAACGGCCAATCTTCTTTCTTTAATTTTATAATTTCCCCACCACTGCAGCGTCGTCAACTCCTCATGCTTAGGACCTTGGCCTGGATGCTGGCGCCAAACCGCCGAAGCCAATTGGCGTGCGATCTGCCATTCAGGTGCATCGTCTAAGCGCCGAGTGACGGCCGCGGGGGGGCACCATGCAGTAGCAGGAGCAGCGGCGGCCCCACGGTAAGACTGGAAGCTTTTAAATCGGGACGCTCTTCACGTTCTGATGCTTTTTATTCCCCTGTTCTGTTTTCCTCGAAAACACTCGAGCGCTGTTGTGTAGGGGCTTTTCTCTCTTCTCTTTAGCTTTGGCTAACGGCCCGAAAAGATATAGATATCGCGGGCATTAAGTGCCTGCAGAAGCTCTCGTTATTCACCATGTCACAACATCCAATGCACTACCCTCCCCCTCCAACTCAAGGACCTCAATACGCTCGTACGTTGTCTTTTCTACCAAGTTTCTGTTATTTGATATCTAACCATCTTGCAGAGATTCAGAAAACTGGATGTACGACACCCAGGACCCCGGATCTACAGAACCATGTCTCACATACTCTATAGCTTTCCCAGTTGCTCAACCATCCCCCGGTTTTCCTCCGCCAAATTTCAGTTATCCTCCTCCTCCCACACAACAAGCTCCACAGACAGAGTTTCCGCCTCCCCCGTCTGTGAGCCCTCCAAACGAGAAGAGCTTCGCTTCCCAAAATGCTGCTGCGTTTGCCGCGAACACAGCCCTCCCTCAATCACCACCTCCCCCATTCAACGAAAAGGCCTACGCCCAGTCGATAGTTTCTCAACCCACGCCATCTCAAGCCTCCCATGGAGCATCACAGTCACTCGGTGGAGGGTCCTTTGTAGGGGTCACCTCTACAACTCCAGACGATGTGGGAACCTTTAACGGTGGGAGTTACCGTGTCAGTCATCGAGATTGTAACACCGTCCTCACCCTTCAACTGGCTGTTGGGTGCCCACTTCGTGTGAAACCCGGTTTGTTAAGCATTGTATAGTTATTTCATTTACATGTCTAATCAGGTACTAGGTGTCATGATTGGCATGTCTCCTACGATGACACTCAAAGGTACAATCAACTTTGGGCTAGTGAAGCTGATTTCGGGAGGTGAAATGGCTACATCTGAGTACACTGGACCAGGTGAACTCTTGATTGCACCAACAGTCCTTGGTGATGTTACCGTCATCCGACTTGCGGAGCCACAAAAATGGCAAGTCGGCAGAGATGCATTTCTCGCCTCAACAAGCGGCGTCAAATATGACCACAAAGCTCAGAGCTTGTCCAAAACATTCTTTTCTGGTGAGGGACTGTGGATATACAGTTTCTATGGGACCGGTTTGCTGTGGTTGCAAAGTTTCGGAGCAATCCTTAAGAAGGACGTAAGTAAATTTCTTCCTCTCCAGATGTTGTTTTCGTTATACTAATGAGTCTGTATGTCCAGCTTGCGGACGGCGAAACATACTTCATCAACAACGGCCATCTTGTAGCCTGGAACTGCAAGTACAAGCTTGAACGCGTGGCCTCCGGCGGCATCCTTTCCAACATCAGTGCAGGCGAGGGCTTGGCCTGTAAATTCATCGGCCCCGGCACCGTGTATCTCCAATCCCGCAACGTAGCGGCGTTCGCTATGCAAATTGGGGCTGCGAAGTTACGTTGAACGGCTCACACGGCCATCGTCCGTATATCATGGCATTCCCTTATATAGCCTTCCATCTATGAGTTATGTAGCGTGTACCCTGTCTATCCTTTCTGTTAGCATAAACAAATATCCTGTGTTTTGCCATATACACTGTCAATATACTTTTGGACTATTATCATGTTGCGATTTACTCCAATACCCTAAAGGTCTCAAGGACAATGGTACTTAGTTTGAGGTGTGGAAAACAGAAACAATACTATAAACCGTCATATCATTCCATATACTTGTCAGTCATGCCATTCTAATGATATCATCACCGCTTTTTGTTCATTCAACCACACAGCACAACCGCGCCGCGGCTGTAAATTCTCTCCTCGTCAACTCAGTATTACCCCCATCTCCCCAGACAACCATCATCCAAATTCAATCAAAAGATCAAAGTGTCTTTACATGGAAGAAATAGAACGAGAAAGAGGAGAGAAAACGAAGAGATACCTCCATTCGCCAAGAGATCGATAGATAGAAAAGAGGAAAGAGACGGGGGAAAAAACGAGATCTTCTTATCTCCTCTACCCCCAGGCGTATATCCTACTGGCACCTCCTCTGCGAAACCGGAACCGAAACTTAACCCAGAGTTTAACCCTGTCTTCTTCTGCGGCCGACTTGTCCACGGAAACCGGTCTTGATGGCGGCGACGGAACGACGAGATCCGCACGAGTTGCAGGTAACGAAGTACAGACGGTTCTCTCCCTTGTTGAGCTCTGTGTCGGGGCTGCGGCAGGTCTTGCAGGTGACGTACTCGACTAGTTCAAATTAGACCCTGATATTGATACACACTAGGGGGGCGAAGACAACATACCGATATACCGTCTGAGAACGTTCTCAATCTGCTTCTGCTGGAAACGACCCTTGATGACAAGACGTCTGCTTCCATCAACACTACCACTGGTACCCAATTCCGCGAACAAGAACTGCATGACGTGGTCGTCGGACCGCTTCATGCGCTTGCAGATATCAGCAATGTTGGCAAAGATAGTACGTCTGTTACCCTCACGCAGACACTGCGGTGGGGGGATCTTGTACGACTTGGTACCGCTGGACAACAGATCGGGGTGGTGGCTCTGAATGAGGGAGAAGAATCGGGAGACGAGCAGCGAGTAGGGGATGGCTTGGGTGGCGTCGTGGGCCCAGATGCCTGTGCCGGCTTCGAGGTCGCCCTCGGGCACCTCTTCCTCTTTGCTCTCTGCTTCCTTCTCTGCGAGACCGGCCTCGGCGAGCTTAGCTTCGAAGTCGGCGGGGTCCTTGGGCTTCTTCGTCTTCTTCTTCTTCTTCAGGGCTGTGGGGTCGAATTCGCCGTCTGCGCCGGGAGCGGGCGAGGACTCATCGTCGGCGGCTTCGCCGTCCTTGGGCTTCTTGGTCTTCTTCTTCTTTGAAAGACCCTTGAATAGGTCGGTTACTTCGTCGACGGCCTTGTCTTCTGTTTGGGTTGGTATTGTGTTAGGCTCGATATCCGATCGGGGAGGGGAGTGTTGGTCTCAACGGTAATTTTCGTACCTTGCTCCTCGACAGGCTTCTCCAGCTGCTGTGTGACTTCGCCGTTTGTATCCATAATGACGGTTCCTTCACTGAATGCGACGGACTTGCGTTGTTTTCGAATCGTAGGTTCGGCCTGTATGGAGCCAGTCCAGATAACACGTTAGTGGGGGGCAGAAATAAAAACCCAAAGATGCCAAGCAGTTTAAAAAGGCGGCCAGAAGGCTAGAGTGCAAGAAGAAAAGAGAATTGCAAAGTATTCTCCTTCAGCGCAGAAACAGTAGCCAAGCACGCGGTAGTTGGGCAGAACAGATGAGTAGCAGCACCCTCAATCAGCGACTGGAAAGTGCACAAGAAAATGTGGGCGATCGGTAAAAGTACAGCAGAGAAAACAAGGGTGTGTGACGTACAGTCTCCGCCATCGTGGGAGGATTTGAGGCAAGAAAGACGTGGTATATAGCAACTACCACACCTATATAAAGAAAAAAGTAGTTTCTTACCCTGTAAAGAAGAGAAACGAGTGCCTTTGCAATGTCGATATCTCGTCTTCGCGCAGTTGCTTTGAGTTCGATGGCAAGCCTGTTATCGCAGAGGCTGGTCACGTGGCGGAGATGACTCAAGGTTTGGTACCCGTAATTACCACAATACAAACACGTGATATTCAACCTGATAAACACCTCAGGCACCAAGGCTGCATACAAGCTGCCTCGCTTGCTTGGCTTGCCTATCTGGAACCTCATCTTCCTTGAACCCGTACATCTAATGCTGCGATTCTCATTCAGGCGGTAGGCAGGCCACTGCTTGACAACTAGACATCTCAACCTCCTTCTCTCGCTTCCTTTTCCACCACAGTTTGCCCAGTCCAACAAATCCGCCCTCTTCATCAACAACCCAAACAACCCCCGTTGAACTCCGCAATACATCACCGCTCCTCAACACCTTCGCCCCTATCAAGCTAGTCAATTATCCAAGCTGAACCCTACCTGGCACTACAACACCACAACGCTACAACCAGAATGTCCACCTCCGGTTCCGCCTCCGTCTCCGACTCCTCCTACATCCTCCCTACCCCAACATCGTCCACCGCCTCCCCGCGCTCCCGCGGTCTTAGCTACGCCAGCGTAGACTCGCTCGGCGACGAAATCGCCTCACTCCCCTCCGAAAGCACGTCTCCATCGGACCTCGACACGCTCTCCGATTACTCCGATGCCGAGGCCGAGTGGCAGGAAAGCATCGAGCAACTGGAGCTCTTGCTCACGATGGTGATTGTGCCGTTTGTTGGGAAGTTTTTGGGGCGGAAGTGTGCTTATTGGAGTATGTCATCCTGTTTTGATTCTTTATTTTTCCATATTGTGCTGTGATTTGTCCGGTTTGGTTGAGGATTTGTGCTAACCAGCCGTGTTCGAATAGGTTGGACGAGATTCATGGAGTGGAAATACCCGATTGATGGAGTAGTGGAGAAGGGTTCTGGGCCGAAGGCTGGGAGCGTGAAGACTTTTGCGTCGTTGTAAACCAGTGTTTATGGATGGTTGAATATACAACAATATTATCCAGTGCGTCGCTAGGTTAAGCGCCGTGCTGAAAGTTTGGAGAGCTAGAGGCCTTACGGTTGTATAGTATTCGGAGCGCCTGTGACCCTGTTCGGATAGTAATTTGCAGGCTTTGGCATAGAAAGAGCGGCGTTGTCTTGACTTATTGGGCAGACTCGTCTGTCGAAGTGACACCTATACAAGCGTGCTACGCTAATTATACCCAATTAATGCACAAGTCATTACTTAATTGCCTTCAATTTTTTCGGAGAGTGTAAAGCTAGGTATGACATCAACAGCCATATCTGCCATAGGTATATAGTGTGGGAGATGTCGGCGCGCAGTACAACATCGAGCCTGAACATTCAAAGTTACCGAGACGATGTTTCTGGCGCATGAAGAACCTCCTCTTTTGTAGCCTTCACATGATCGCGAGTCATATCAGTGCTCTTTTTTGCCCCGTATCTAAAGCCCATGTTTGCTAGAGTGGGACGACTGAAGTAACTTGGGTCGCTGGATCCTGGAGTGAGATACCGCTCTAGTGGAGTTTCGATGTACATGAAAGGGCGCTGCTGCTCAAACATCTTGAGATAATCCGCATCCGCTGTGGCGGCAGTGAAAGAGGACCGCATGCCTTGTTCAAGACAATCCAAGTAGTCATCAATATCAACATCTCCGGCCTTCAGTTGCATGTCGGCGAGGGTCTTGCTCATCCGGGAAGATGAACGGTGAGTCTGCTCTTCTGCAATGACCTTTTCCAACCACGTAGTGACAGCGTCGGTGGCAGGTTGCTATTTAAGATAACGTCTTAAATTAGGGCAAGCTCGTGATTGAATACCGATAAGTCAAGTGAAACAGATAAACTCACGACGGGAAGAAGCTGACTGTGTTGTTCGAGATTCTGCTTGGTTAAGGGCTTTTTCGAAAACGCGGTAGCCATATTTAATCGTAGGGAGGAGAGGCGAGGTTAAATGCCAATGAGTCTCGGGAGTGTGGATGGCCCTCGGGCAGGTCGTCAACGAAAAAGAGGGGGACAGAAACTTTGAATGGCACTGCTGTACCCGGTCAGCAGAGCTCCTTTTATATGTATTCTGTTTTTGAATGCCTACCATCCAAAGGGTCGGCTCACCAAGGCCGGCGCGGGCAGGAGGGTTCCCTGCCTGTCGTCTCCCTGAAAACAAAAGACCAGCTGAGATAAAAGTACCTATGATCAACACTGGTCCATTGCATTGGTAAATAACTCACTTCTCGGCTTCAACCCGTCAACAAGACCCCTGTCTAGACTCAGACTTGCGGTGTATTCGACGGCGACAATTGGATGAGATCCATGCCTTGATGCATGTCCGATAGGGAGAGGAAAGGGAAGTAGTCTGTTCTGGATGCGAGAAGATGCAGAATGGAGTTTCAGCCAAGCTGCAGGAAGGAGGAACCAACCAGCTGGAGATTGTGCTCGTCTTCACAGAGTGGCACGACTACAACTACTTTAGGCAGGCACTAACCCGGCAACCAGGTTCCTGGGCCCAATTCATCCATGACGTTGAAGGGCGCAACGCTCAGCCTTGGGCGCGAGAAACCAATGGACAACAGGGGTCAAAGGGTCAAACCAATGAGAGAAGCAACAAAAGCACAGGCTTCAAGCTTCCCTTTCATAGTACGTGCCCCGATATTTGAATCCCTGTCCCTGGTCTCTTTCCTTTCCGGGGTTAGAGAGGAAAAGGAAAATGATATAAAAAGCAAACATGCAAATGAATGAATTCAATGGCTTTGAGAGCCTGTGCGCTGCATTAGTCTACCGTTCGCCCGGGTCCAAACATACAGACTCCAATGAGCATCAAGCGTGCTCCAACCTCCGGCTCACACACCCCAAATTCCCAGTAAGCACACTGGATCAGCACGTAGCTGCTAATACCCAGGAAAACGGGTCAAATATTTCTAGGGATTTCCAGCCTGTTGAAATGAAGATCAAAATACTCCGAGGGTATTTGCAGTTCTCTGGGCAAAGGTGGACCAGCATCGCTTCGTAACCTGAGCTTCGGTGCCACAATCTGAGCCTCAAACCAAGACTTAAATCCTTCAGCAGAATTGTCCGTTAGCTTCGTCACTTCTGATAAGGTCAATGAGCAAAAGCTTGCCTAAAATTAGTGAGGTGTATCGACAGCGCTGTTGCTATCAGTCCACCAACCATGGTGCTCTACCAAACAGAATAAACCATATACAGTGTACAACAGTCACTGTGGTCATAGGCTGCATAGGATGCCACAAAGTGAGCTCAATATAGTTTGTTTTGGCGCCAAAAGTTTTTCATTTGGTCAATTGTCACAAAATCGAGCTTGTTTGCCTCGAGTCCCTTCCATTCTTGTACTTGCCCCGAATCCATAGACGAGACCTTCTCCATGGGTAGCAGAGCTTCTTGGCTGGCACAAGGTTCCCCAAAATATGAACGGTGCCGCTCATAGTGTCCGCTCGCTGCTGTATAAATGGCCATTTCACTGGCTTGCTGACCGGCAAGAAGCGTCTCCTGCCCGATATGGGAAAGGCTCAACGTCTCTTCGTCCTTTAAGCCCCACTCCCAAGGCGCATGTAATGGAACATTTCCATCATTACTACTCGTAATGGTCTTAATCGTCGGCACGCATTCCAAGGCGTTAGGTGGTGCATCTGGTTCTGACCGCATGATTGCCTCATATGCAGCATCAAGCGCTTCATGAATGAACGATGCATCCTCGTCGTGGACGAAGCCCACTCCTCTGTATGGGCAAGGGCGCTGAGGCTGAAACGAGTTTCCTTCCACGGCGTAATCTATCTGCGCGTGCGTAGGAAGAGGCTTCCCGAAAGGAAAATCAATGCCCGAGCCAGTAAATGAGCAAGGATCCAAAGCTGCGGTTCGGGGGCTCGTGCTTCTGTCGCTCGGGTCAATTTCGGATCTCTGACCATATCCCTGGGTTCTTCTTCTTTTCGACAACTTTCCATGGGTGTTCTTCTTGTCCTGGGACGAGGTATGTTTTCGTTTTCGTGAGCCTGTCTGCAGCCAAGAACCAGAAGTCGTTGTACTGTCTTCGTCCTCTGACTTCCATGAAGAAATCCTTTGCTGCATAATACTCTTGAGATCCTCTAAGGTCCAATATACCTTTGCCGGATTTTCGGTAACATTTTCTTTCGGTGAGTGCATTTTGAAGTCTAAAAGTCCCATGGTCTTAGGTTCAGCTATAATGTCTGCAGCTGATCGCGATTCCTGTTTCATCGGGGAGTAGATCATAGGTTCCTCGCTAGGGCCTTTTTTCTCTTTCCCATAACAAAATAGTAGGCTATCACTTGTCTCTGCTTGTTCGTCAGGCGCATGTCGTATAGCAGTATCATCAAAATTCAATGCTATGCTCTCAGACGGTGGCTGTGGCTCAGTTTCTCTATGGGATTGACCACTATTTTCTATTCCAATGTCGTATTCGAGCAAATTTGCTTTCTCGTGTTGGATAACGTAGTTTGCTTGTGCGCCAATAGGGGTTTTGCTCAGGAACTCAGTTTCGGAGAAGCCCTGGTCGAGTACTAGACAGAATGCACAGGAATAAGTATAAAAGTGCCTGCAGCTGAAATTGATATTCTTACCGTGAGTCTTAATGGGAGATGACCTCTTTCCTCTGTTGAAAATCCCCAAATTCGTAGCAGGATGAAGCTATTATAAGGTCAACCTCGTCTCTTTCAGATTACCTTACAGGTAAGTACCGTCAAGCGGCTCGAGGGGACATTCGAAGCCTGGAAATCTTCATTGATAGTATGTTTCCTCTTTTGCCTCGATGACTTCCTAGTCCGCACGGTTGAATTTCCATTGTTCTTCACCGAACTCTTTCCCTTATACTCGTATCGGTCCTCTTTGGTCTTTGCCCTTGGAATGCGCTTATACCCGTTTCTCTCTATTCTTGACATTCCGGATTCGGTTCCTTTTGTTGTGGGCCTCGATAAACATGGTTTCCCAGAGTCCTTGAGCTCAAGATGGGTTTGCTGCCATCTTCTTGCTTGTGGTGGTAGCCTTTGAGGGTTGAGGTTCGGATCAGGGATCTGCTTTTCAATGGGAACCCCTATTAATGTGAGTCAAAGAGGCCTGGCATGTATAATAAGCCTTAATTTGGCACATAAAAGAACATACCATCAAAAATAGATCTTGCAGAGGGCCGATTGTCGCTCTGTGGAATGACCGGCTCGGCTTCGTGCAATTGCGACAGCCAGCTAAGGAATCTCTTCTCGTCGGCGACAATCATAAAGCCGAAAACTGTTGTCGATTGACACTTGAGCTATGTTGACCGCTAATCTGTCGTCTCATTGTACTTACTAGTAGGTAGATAGCAGCAATGATGTGGGCGGGGTGCTAAAGGGAATGTAAACAAACTCGGCCCATTAAAGACGAGGAAGGAAGTACGGAGCACCTCACGGCCGCAGTGATGTTGGATAAGTGGTAAGTACTAAATACCAGCCTCTTCTAGTAAATAATTGGCTCCATAAAAATTCCTATTCATACATAATGCAGGTCCAATATTGTGTAAAACATCGGCCCCAGAACGAGATGAAGTCTTGCCATCCATAAGTAGAATCCATAATCATATGTATAAATGGCGTCGTTACTCTGCTCGCTTTCCAAGGATTCCCAGTCAGCCTGGATACCTTCACAAGTAACTGTTTTCAGGGTTCGACCAGCATCCCATTGCATCTATAAGCGATGTTGTTTGCAGCGCAGGCATGCCCGTACCTCACAGTTAGGGCATTCCATTATAAAATCCGGAAGTACGTCACCACAAATATCACAATCAAAGCCATAATCATCGGCGTCTTCGTCGTCACGATCTTCATCATCATCATTCTCCAGGGCCTCAATCCTTCTCCAAACACGGGCGTGTTGATTCTGGCAGGGCCCCTCTCTTATTCTTTCTACTACCTCCCTAACATCCTCTTGTGCAGGTGGCCTCTCAGCATTTCGAGCTGCCACCACGCGAGCCCTATCATACAGTCTATCCTCATCCCATCTTGCACAACCGCAGGTCTTCCACTTCGCAGTGCAGAGGTAGCAGAATTCATGCCGGCAGCGGCATCTAAGGGGGTAAAATACTGTTAGTATAATAGCATAGAAGTACCGTTAATTTTCTTACGTGATATGGTTGCAGCCTGTATTCAATTCAATTAGGTGATGACAGTGTGGGCATTGCTGCCACCCAGACTGCTTTGCTAATTCCATTATTTCATTATCTTCGTCAATACAAGGACCGTCATGGGCAAGTCGTTTGCACAAAGTGCATGTTTTTGCGTGGCATGTGTGGCAAGTGCCGACGTATCCGTCCACTTGTGGAGGTGGAATATATTTCGCACAGTGGGCGTTTGAACAGTAGGTTCTGTAAGGATCGTTGCTCTCAATTTCTTTCTCTTCAAAGCTCCTGGCAAGTCCCGGATCGAGATGTTTCTTCAACTCTGATGGAGGTATTGGTATGCAGCAGCATCTGGGAGGGAAGAGCGACTGGTCTTTGAGGGCACCCTTGATTAGGTGGATCATACAATCCTTGCAGAACAAATGTGGGCAATGTGCCTGAATCATGTCGCAAGCAGGCTTTCTGTCGTTGCAGGCCGCGCACTCAGCCTGCAGTCCAGCGATGCATTGACGACCCTCGGCGGTCTTGGAACTTTCGGCCACACAGCGTCTTTTGTTGGGACGGTTTTCGCGTAAGAAATTGTCTTGAGCATCGATCTGAGAAGCGACTCCTTCAGAGAACACAGTGCCAACGAGCCTCAAAGGCTGTTCGTGTGCGGAGGGCTGTTCATTTGCCGGTGGAGTTTTGCCAGCGAGTTGGAAAGCCAGCCTCCGGTCTGCAAACGCTCTGTCCTCTTCCTGGGCTGCAAGAGTGATAGCAACACCATCTTCAGATACAGCATTGGCAATGCTTAACGCCATTTGGTGATCCTGGATAAGTGTAGAGGACTGGTTGAGCTGACCAGACCATTCTTGCATGGCCAACTCACCATCTGTGAAAACCCCAGCCCTTTGTTTTCCCTTGTGCCTGTTGGACTCCTCCAGTGCATCTTGTGTTAGGAGCTGGAGAATCAAATTCCTGCTTGCTTCGTCCATGTTCCACAGCAGCATGGTGGTTGATAAAATTGATGTCAATAACCAGGAAAGATCGAGTGTTAATTAAGGCTAACGGGAGAGAGTAAGGAGAAAAAGAGTGTCAAAGGCAAACAGAGGGAGAAGGAGCTGTTTACCAGCAGATTGTTTTGCATGCCTCCATTGGATGGAAAGCACCTGTTTGAGCTGTTTTCCATGGTGCTAAATGAGTTAGTTTGAAACCTATCGTGATTTCTTTGCAGAATCAATCAGATTTATTTTGCGCAAATTCTTCAGTCCGAGGAGAAAATGGGCAGGAAGATGAAATCTACGAAATTTCTTGACGTGAGAATGGATCGAAATATATGCTGTATCCAGAAAGCAATGCGGTTTCGCCAGCGTGGTCTAGCCTCCCCGCCAGGGCCTAGACAGGAGCAAGAGCCATTTGAGCAGCATAAAGTTTGCAGCTTGAAAGCGATAAAATCTGACTTGAGCTGCATGTGCAGGCTTAGTCGCAGATAGTCCACGCCACTACGACAAACTGAGGAAAGCAACGGCCGCCAGTGGCAGCACGGAGAACAAAAAGGGAAAGAGGGGGACAACCGGAAGAAGTTCAGAACGGGAGCCAACCCCGCTATCTCGACGTCGCCTTTCTCCCAGGACATGAGAAATCCCCCCTCGTCGCCCGCCGATTCGTCGCAATTCTTGTGGTGAGCGAAAAAAGGCCACCTGGGCAGAACCCTCTGAGGCTATTGGCGAAAAGGGGACTGAGCAACCCCTCCAAAATGTGATTTGGCTATCTCTGCATCCCATCACAGCACTCGCGCCGCTGTGCCGCCAATCCTCTTCCCCCGCTCTGCCGGACTGTGCTTTCGTGCTCCGGTGTCTGCCTTTCGCCTCATCCGTGGAGGGTATCAATTCCTGTGCAGATTGGCACTGCAGAGAGTTGCCGGAACCTTCCTGTAGCTTCCTCCCCGTGTCCACAGTCTGCGCGCCAGCATCGACTGTAAAATGTAATTCGAGAGCGGAGCTTCCCTGCACCGCGTCGCTCAACAGCGCAGTGAATAAATAATTGAGCAAGTGGGCTTGACAGAACACTTCCGTCCCCAGTCCAGCTAGTGCCACCCCTCTTGACTAAATTCCTTTCCTTCCCGGAGTTTCATCTTCCTTCTCCCATCCCCTCATCACGGTCTGATCTGCTGTTCTCGCACTCTGTCGTCCTAAACTCTGTTGCGCCCATTTGGTGATTGCAGCTATTGAACTCAGCCTCCGGTGCCAGACAACAGACTGCCCCTCCAGCTCATCCACTTCGCGGAATTTCAAGATGGCCAAGCTATTCATTGGGTCTGTCTATCCATCTCTTTTGGTCATCACCTATCCTCAACGCCTCTCTCCCTTTTCATCGGGTTGATGATTCCCCCAACTGACACAAACAACCCAACTAGAGGCCTCGCATGGCACACCACCGATGAAACTCTACGCGAGGGGTTCTCGCAGTTCGGAGCCATCGAAGAAGCTGTACGTATCGTGCCTGGAGCCTCTGCTTCATGCCGTCCTTCCCCCTCTATTTTTGCGAAAGAAGAGCCAGTATTCACATATATCAGGTCGTTGTCAAGGATCATGACACCCTGCGCAGCCGTGGGTTCGGTTTCGTCCGGTTCTCCAATGAAGCTGAGGCGCAAACTGCCATGGATAACATGAACAACCAAGAGTGCGTGCTAGACCAGACTATCCGTTGGATGACCCAGTTGGATCTAAATACTTATCCCACCCCCCAGATTTGACGGTCGTATCATCCGCGTGGACAAGGCTTCGGAAAGATCCAATCCTCGCAACGGCGGTTTCCAGGGTCGCGGAGGCTACAACCGCCCTGACCGTCCTGAGGGACAAACTTACCGTGGCGGTGGTGCCGGTGGTATGTTGCCTCCATCCATGGTATCTTTTCCACGTGGCTTTCATTATTAACACAATCCCTCCAGGCTGGCGTAACCAACCCGGCCCCTGATGGGGCCGAACTTTGTCGTTTTGCGCCTTGAAGATTGAGTTTCCTCGTTATACAGACTGCCGACACATGATACAATCTATGACACCCAGTTTTGATGGTTGATGACGCTTGGATGGAATGAATAATGCTGATCCTCATGATCCGTTGGACGAGATGAATACTTGCGTTGCGTTATTTTGAATTTTGGTGTGTTTCAGCTAGTGGTTGACATCTAATCTGGCATCCCATATGATAGCGATCTATCAACTAGTAGACGAGAGTAGAGACTTACCACCTGCAGGTTTTCTACATTCGACCCCGGATGGCATTTTTCAGAAGAGCGCTAGAGCCTACCCTTGGCTCTTCTTGATACAATCCGCTCTGCTGCCATGACAATACCACACACTCTCTCTATGGCGATTGACTTGCTAACAACCAGCCCAGCCACAATACTGAGCACTAAGTCTTGATTGCAGCACCAACTTCTTATAGCCCGCGCAGACACCCATTACTCGAACTTCTTGACGAAGTGGAAATCCAATTTCGCATCTTCATATGTTACCTAAATCCGTGTCTGCATGGAGACGGGGAATTGTTGCTCTTTCCTCTTCACCCATCTTCTACAAAATTGAAACGTCTAATTTCCTACGTTTCTCGAATTCAAGCATTTTCCAGGAACTCAAACTCCCGCACACAAACCTTAAATCCAATCTAGCATCTATGCAATCTAAACAGCCACCATCGACCACGATCTAACTTAGGCCTATTCCGACAAATCCACATCCTTCCGTCCCTCTGCCCCCTCAGCCAACGCCTCCCGAACATCCCTCTCAGCCTTCTCCTCCTCCCTCCTAGCCTCGCCACCTCCCTCAATCTCCCTAACCCTCTTCACCAAATCCGTAACATGCCCATCCGCAGTCCCCAGCCCAACCCCTTCAAGCGCCTTCTCCAGCAAATACAAGTACTCCGTGTTCTTCCCGCTCTGTCCATGGCCGCGGCTAATAACCTCCGCAACATCCTGAGGCTCGCGGCGCGCCGAGTCTCGCAGGAATTGCGGGTTGGTGGGCTGTCCTATGTACACCATGCATGTTATTGACGACGTCGACCCGGGTTGGTCTGTGTTGGTAGACGCCGCGGTTGTCACCGGGTGAAACGGCGTGTAGTGCACGCTGTAGCCATCGATTTCCCGCACGTCAAGGTAGTCGTGGACTTCCTCGGCGTGGGAGGCGGGGATGTGGTATGCGGCACCCCAGACGCGGGTTGTCTCGGCATCGAGGTGGGCTAGCTGTTGGGGGTGTTAGTTGGTAGATAAGCACTTAGTTTTAACGTCGGGGTTACGTACTGGGTCATCCAGTGTCTCCCAAAAGCCACGCTCGATCACTGTTACCACGCGGCCTGGTTGCTCGGGTGTTCCTCTGTGGTCGGTACTGGGAGGTGCACCTTGATTAGATTGAGCTTGACCACCTTCTCTTCTGTGGGCGCTTACCTAGCCTATATTTCTCATGGTCTTAGCTTAGTAAAACAAGTGTTTAAAACAGGGCTAAGTTCATAGAGGGGCCACTAACCTGCCAGAATCGGCGCACATACCCATCAATATACCCCGGCACCCGTTGGTCTATTGCAGTCTTCAGTATTTATTCCGGACCGAGCCTGCGGATTACCTTGCAGAATTCTGAACTTACCGTAGTGAGGTGGAGGCTTCCATATCAAACTCCTTTGTCGACAGGTTAACTCGACGAGCGTCTAAATGAAGAGTCAAAGAGCACCCACCCATAACCAAACACCCACAAATCACCTTTGGGGAAGTACTGGCGCCACGTTCGGCCATCTGTTGGTTCTTGGGTTTCTTTGGTTGCGGAACTCATGTTCTTTTAGTTCTCTTAGGTTGAGTAAATCACAAAATTGGTTGCTGTTGTCTCTTGATGTAGAACCCAAAATGACTCAATGTTGTAGCGGGAGATATATAAACGGGAAGTGGGCAAAACAGAATGAGAGAAATGTTAAAAACCCAGTGTAGTGCTTGTCCGGGTAATTCCTTCTAAGAGTCAGCTTACAATGTACAATTAAAGTAACCGAAAGTGAATTACCCGGCTGAATTTATAATGTAGACTGACTGAGGTATACAATTTATCATCAAGCCCACCTTGCTGGTGATGAAAGGTGGTACACAAATCGCATCAATGTTTGTAGTGTTTGTATGAACTATATGCCTAAGGCAGCTATTTACAAGGGTGGATGTTGGCGACAATTCAATCACCATGACCTGTCGCTGCAATCGCATGTCTTGCATGATTCAGAGGACTTGGCTCTGATTTTCCTTCGCAAGCTATTTCCATTCATGTTGATTGCAAGATACGGGCTTGCTTATCGAGACCCCTCTGGATTTCCACTGTTCGCCCATCAACTAAGGATTATAATGCTTGTAATGCTTTGGTGTTGCTTTTGAAAACAAAGTCACATCGATCATCCGTTTGTAAACAGGCTATCCTCTCGAAGGCAGTCTTTGCATTTCGGTTGACTGCTCAGACCAGATCGTATCCGTATCCCCAAGCTCTTTTGGGTCGCCCCAGGCACAGCGGGGTCGCCCAGACGCCGAAGCGGGTCTGGCAATCAACTAAATTCTGCTCCCTGAGCTACCGACTCCACGTCATGATTCAGTTACTGCGCGCATTTTCGAGGAGCCATTTTATATCTTCCGGAATTGAGGGGAACATCGAGCAGCAGATATATTTCTCTAACGTTACTAGTTCTCTTTCGACACCCTTGGATACAGCAACCACTTTGATTGATTGCAACGAGTTGGCATATACATCATGGCGGGCTTAATCCGACTCCTCAGAACGCAATTCAACCCCCCGACAGAGCCAACCGTCTCATTCGCGGGGAAAACGGTAGTCCTAACCGGTGCGACAGCCGGGCTAGGATTTGAAGCAGCTATCAAGCTTCTGAAGCTAGGGGTGGAGTCATTGATCATCGGCAGCCGAAGCCTCCAGCGCGGCGAAGCAACCAAGACAGAGCTTGAGAAACGAACAGACAGACACGGGGCAGTACAGGTATGGGAGTTGGAAATGAACAGTTTCCAAAGTGTGAAGGATTTTGCAGCCCGCGTCAATGCGCTAAAGCAGTTGGACGTTGCGCTTCTGAATGCTGGACTTTGGAATCGGGAATTTACAACCTCGCCGGAGGGGTGGGAGGAGACGTTGCAGGTCAACACGCTATCTACATCTCTGCTGGCGATTTTGCTACTTCCAAAGTTGAGGAGCTGTTCATCTGATTCAAATCCGACACACTTGAGTGTCGTCTCGAGCCAGCAGTTTGTTCGGGTCCAAGCGAAGAGTCTCCAGACGGACGGCCCGTTACTGGAACATCTGAACGACGCTCAAAATTTCAGCGGTCCGAAGCAATATGGAGTATCGAAGCTTCTTTTGGAGTATGTTCTTAAGACGATAGCTGGGCGTTTGCGCAACGAAAATGGAACAGTCCCGGTGATTATAAACACCGTAAGCCCGGGCTTGTGCGCGTCATCGCTTGGGCGCCAATACACCAGATTCTACCACCGACTGGTTGTATGGGTAATGTATAAGCTCTTTGCTCGTACAGCAGAACAAGGAAGTCGGTCATTAGTTAGTGCGACATATCAAGGGTTGGAATCGCATGGGAGGTGTTGGCGAAGTGACGGATATTTGGAGTAAGTCGGTCCCGCGTGGGTATTTTGTTGAACAGGCTAACTAATATCCCAAGCGAGTCAACCGCGTTAACTACAGGGTTGGAAGGAAAGCAATTCCAGGCAAAGGCGTGGAAGGAGATAATGGATGTGCTCAAGCAGCAGACGGGCGGCTTTGATGACGTATTAGAGGGATATGATCGTCCAACCTAACGAAGGAGATCGCATTATGTATACGTACTTTGATATGACATGAGATTTAGTTAGAACGCGTGGGACTTATAGCGCGAGCTGACGATTCGGTCGTCGTCAGAAATAAGTGCGCCTGGTTGTGTTGCTATTAATACTTGTATACTAGCAGTCGGGGAGGAACCACTGGACATGGATCGCCATCGCACGCTTCCCAACCTTTCCCAACATTCGAACAGCTGCCTCAACGGCACTGAACGCGCATGTCTTTGCATGAGCTGATAGCGAAAACAGTAGCTAATGCCGCAGGGCCTGGATCTGTGCGCATTCTTCGTATCGATATACAAAGAGGGCAAGCAGAGCTTTTGTTCGATTCTTGGCAGCTGGTCAATCCTTAATCCCCGACTGACGACCCACTGGCTCCGCCCGCTCATGACAACAACAGCCCTCGCGAGGAAGAATGGTGCGAGCCGAACTCCTTATTCTCTGCAGGCCCAATTTTCACTCTTTCGCCTCTCTCCTTTGACTGATAGCTATGCTTGCTCTCCCTCGATGAAAAAGGGCTCCTGCTTCGACCTCCTCACCATAAACCCCTCTGAATTGCGCCCGCACTACGTCAGTCGTTGCGACCATGGCGTACAATAAGGCTTACAATCCAGATGCGCTCCCAGCGTAAGTGAGATATCGATCCGGGCACGCTCGATGATGATGAAACGCTAATACAGGCGCCTTTTGAATTTAGACATGCGGAGCCTGAACAGGTATGGTAACCACGTTGGCTGCTCAATCTGCTCATTGCGGCCACTCACTGTTTAATCTTTCTAGGCAGCCCAAATGATCGGTGCGATGCAGATTAAGCCAGGAAACCAGAAAAATCAACATAGACCTCCACAACAACAACAACCTTCGCATGGCGGAGTCCCACCTCGCGTGCCAGCACCGTCAAGCGCTCCAAGTTCTCATCAATACCCTGCACCCCATCGGCCCCCTGCAGGTCCCCCGCGTTCAGCCTTAGACCGACCTCTACCCAACGTGCCTCTAGGCCAAAGCCAACAACGGCCTGGTGGCCTTCTACACCCTTCTCCTCCGCCCCAGAACTACGGATTCGGGCCTCCTCCGTCGCAGCCTGTGCGCAATCGCCCCCCGCCTGCATCACGTCCTCCTGCAACGCCGCAGCCACTAGCTGTCCCCAATGATGACCCGCAGCAGCTGTTCCCGCTGTTTCGGGCTGCCAACTCATCCCATTCAGGCGCGCTTACCGAGCAGGAGCTGGGCTCTGCTCTGGTAAACGGCGACTACACTTCTTTCCACCCCAAGACTGTGAAGATGATGATCGGCATGTTTGACCGGAACAGGAGCAACTCGATCTCGTTCGACGAGTTCGTGTCGTTGTGGCGGTACCTGGCGGCGTGGCGAGAATTGTTTGACAAGTTTGATGAGGATCGCAGTGGGCGCATCAGTCTCCGGGAGTTCGAGAAGGCATTGGTAGCGTTCGGGTATCGTCTTAGCCAGCCCTTCGTGACAGTGCTCTTCGCTACATTCGAAAAGAAGGGGCGGGTAGCTAGTGGGCCTCCGACAGCTCCTCCGCCGTCGGGAATGAGCTTCGATTTGTTTGTTCAAGCATGCATAAGTCTTCGGCGTATGACGGACGTGTTTAAGCGGTATGACGACGATCGTGATGGGTATATCACGGTGAGCTTCGAGGAGTTCCTAACGGGTAAGTCAAACCTGCCGCGGGCTGGCTATGAATTTAATATAGGATCTAATGTGTATCTTGCAGAGATCCTCCAATTACAAGATTAAGAACAGGTGCGATCGCAAACGGTCGGATTTTGGAGTCCTTGCGTATATTATTCCCTCTTGTCTATTATTCTGTAAACAGCATATATTATACCCTGACCACTCTGTTTAATCGCCGTGAAATCTGTAAGCGCTGTAGGAATATCTGAAGCGATTCTTCCCAAACAGGCAATGATCTGTAGACGACTCGAACTGCTTTTCTTCCAAAGTTCCAAGCTTCTTCTTGTCTCACATCCCGCATGCTTGCTTATTCTCAAACCATCCCGGCCAAATCAGAATCGCAGCTCGCAGCTTTGCAGACCCCAGATGGAACCCTCAGAAGGGCGGGATGACACTGTTGATCGAATGTCCTTATGAATAAGGCCCCCCTGTTGATCAGCCTCGGATTGTTACCCCCTCGCTCCATTATTATTATGCGAATGCGGAAATAACATTCTCAGCCTCGGTGAAAGGGGTCGACTGGTTGACTCAACTCTGACGCCTTCGAGAACGTGGGAACGTGGGAGGGTCTCCGCTCTGCGTCTCGCATAAATTTAACGCTGCACTTGAATTTACGACTGTCATCGGCCGCTGCTTGTCGATAATTTTCTTTCTGTATCCTGCAGTATATATACTGAACTTTTTTTTTTCTGGAAATACATCCAGCGTTTCCTTCCCTGGTTGTGCCATTGATCTAGACCCGTCGGCTTGACCCGCTTGGAAAAAGCCAAGTCCGATACTTTTTTCCTACCCCAGACCACCTCTTCGCCTCCCCTCATTATTCCTTCGCCCGTATCTCCCCTGCTGCGAACATGGCAGTGCCTGAAGCTTCGCGCGGCGAGGGCAAATACGCCCAAGACGTGGTTGAAAACTATGACGCCACTGAGAAACCATCCACACCGTCTGAGACATCTCCCGAAGAATCATCGGACGGCGCGAAGCCCCGTCCTTCGTCGACAGAGCATGGCCGTACGCAAGTGGAAGGCGATGCGCCACCAGATACTCCGAACGACAACCCGCTGGATCGGGTACCGTCTCAGGCACAGAAAATAGGAAAGAAGAAGATTGCGGTGGTTATGGGTGCACTTTGCGTATGATCTCTTTCCCCCCTAGATGTTATTATCGGATCGTATGCTAACTGATATCCTGGGACATACAGCTCGTTCTATTCCTTGCAGCTCTCGATATGGTATGGGGGATTACCTGACATTTGTCTGTATTGCTGGTTACTAACGATGATACCCTGACAGACAATTATTTCTACAGCCCTGCCGACGATGGCAGCCGATTTCCATGCCTCCGAAAGTGGATACTCGTGGATGGCGTCTTCCTTCTCTTTGACCAACGCAGCCTTTGTCCCGCTTTGGGGCAAAGTAAGTGATATCTGGGGTCGAAAACCTATTCTTCTTCTTGCCAACGCCGCATTTCTTATTGGAAGTTTGATATGTGCTTTATCAATAAACTTGCCTATGATCCTAGCTGGAAGAGCGATC